ATTTCTATAACATGTCCTCCCTTAATTTTCCCTTTTATAAAGAATGGAAATTAGGATTTCTTAATCTCTCTTCATAGGGGAAATTTTCAATTTCTGGTATTAACTTTGTCATCCTTCTTTGTGCAAGCCCAAAACTGAGCTGATTCTCAGTACCCTATTTGAATTATTTTGAATATTTATACACCGGCTTAAAGCCTCTATTTATTATAACTCCCAGATCTTCCTCGCATTCAGATCTGAATAACTTCACTGTTGTTAGGCTTGTATCCCGTTACTTTTGTTATCATCTGAGCCCAAAACCGTGCATTTGGCAGCATTAAAATATATTTAACAATCATACGAGTCCGTAGGAGATTACGCTCTGTGAATCTTACGTGTATTTTAAAAGTTTATCTAAAACATCTTCCTGCAATTTTCATTCCATTAAATATATTTCCCTCTCTATTTTGCATCATTTACAAATTTGCTAATGTTGCTATGAATAAATCACTGACACACAGAATACTGAGAATAAGTAACAATAACAGGGCTGAAAATAAATTACCTAAGGACCAAAACGTTGCCACTTTTATTGGACATTATTCATTTATACACCGATTCATTTAGTGTAGTACACTAGTACAGGTACTACCTTGTAGTAGCACACAAGTACTACTAATAGTACCTTGTACTTGTACCGCAGTATTAACCTTTGTACTACACATATCTTAAGATGTTCAACCCAATGGGGCGTATATCATCCTAAGATGTTTTAGGTGCTTTACTGCACTTCAAACTCACATAAGTACACAAGATTCTCAAGTCCAAAAAGAATCAGTCTGGACACAGTCTGTATGGTGGCAACTGCACACTGAGGAGCTTCAGGTCAAGCCAGAGCCTGTATGGTGAGATGCTGTAGGGACACTGTGGAGTATCTGGTCGAGCTTGCGACAGAGTCTGTTTGATGAGACAGCATTGGGGCACTGCAGAATGTCTGGTCAACTTGAAGGCAGAGTCTGTATGGTAAGTTGGCATCAGAACACTGTGGACCATATGGCCAGATTGGTGGCAGAGTCCATTGTTGAGATTGGCAGGGTCGAGACTGGTTGCAAGCGTACTTGTTTGCAGAATAGTTACTCATAGCTGGTCTGTAGTGATACCATTTCTGCTAGGCCAGGCTCGGCCTTATAGAACTTCCAGTCACTGATCACTTCTTGCTAATTGAGGAAAACCATCTTAGACCAGTAAAGTGTGTGGATGCAGATGCTGACAGAGCTACTACAGAGCTCCCCCTTCCCGATGGCAAGAGATATCTGTGTATAGAAAAAGAATGTGGGTGTCGTTTCCTGGGTCACTGGAGCAGCAGCTACTGTATATCCGGTATCAGAAGCAGGCAACATACAGACAGGCTCTGTGCAGTGGGACCATGTAAAAGTGATGGAGTATTAGAGAAGAGAATCATTTCTCCTTGGGACAATGATTGATGGAGTATTAGAGAAGAGAATCATTTCTCCTTGGGACAATGATGGAGCAGCGCTATCTGATACAAGTGGTAAGCATGTTGACGAAACACGTGCAGGAAGGCCATGGGAGGCAACGCAGTTTGAGAAATGTCGCACGGTGCAGAGGCATCTTGGATGGAAAGAGGTATGATGGCGGCTGGTCGGATTTAATCAGGGCAACAAGGAAGAATCCCTAGACAGCTGTAGGTCCGGCATTGCCTGGCAGTGATGGAGAGTCAGCAGGAAAGCAGGGTGCAGAGACTCGGGAAGATGCACCTGACAAAGGCACAGCTAGAAATGTCCATGATGGGAGTTACAGCTGTGGCAAGATTGGAGAAAGTGGCCCACCCCATGAAGTAACAACATAAAGGGCAGCAGCAGTAGTGGAAGGCCACCAAGTGGCCAAATTGTGGTTTGTCCAATCTGTCAAGGGCTGGGTGTGTGTTGTCACTCTTTGGGTCACCAATAGGCAAGTCTCATAGACCAGACTCAGCATTGTATACCCACCTGACACTGATCGCCAGTCATTGTTTGCTGATTGGTCAAGGAGAAGCATCTTAGTCATGCGAGGTGCATGAATGTTGTAGTAGCACTAGGGATGCTGATGTAGCTACTACAGTACAATATCTTCCCTCCACCACCATACAAAACTTTAAAGTTTCAAAACGATATGCAAAAGTTTCCAGACATTGCATGGACTCGGGAGCCGGTCGGCCGAGCGGGCAGCACGCTGGACTTGTGATCCTGTGATCCCGGGTTCGATCCCGGGCGCCGGCGAGAAACAATGGGCACAGTTTCTTTCACCCTATGCCCCTGTTACCTAGCAGTAAAATAGGTACCTGGGTGTTAGTCAGCTATCACGGGCTGCTTCCTGGGGGTGGAGGCCTGGTCGAGGACCGGGCCGCGGGGACACTAAAGCCCCGAAATCATCTCAAGATAACCTCTCAAGATAACATCATAAAAAAAATTAAAAACTATAGGTACAGTATCCCTACTAGGGATATTCAATGACTCTCATCCTTAGCACCCATCAGTACAAATTCTTGAAAAACCCTCATTCATATATTATTCCTTACTTGGGATGGAATAAAAAAACCTCAACATATACTGTAATCTAAAGGTAAATAAACCTAAGAAAATTAGTTAGATTATGTCAAACAACAAACCACCAGACATTCCAACCCATCTGCCTGTTCAGATAGTCCTTATTGTAACTATGCGGACCATCATACATACATAGACGTAACTGACAATTAGATAATAGAGTTTGATACTACAGTACATGTATTTACTTTATAGTCCAAAAAAATGAAACTGAAAAACAAACTTAAACTTTTCTAGGCCTAGTATAGCACATATATATATGTACTATATTAAGCCTCAGATACTGTGGATTAGGCCTAGGAAGGATAGTTAAGGTTTTCTTGGCAACAAATACAAAACCTTTCCCGGTTTGTCCAAATTCAATAGTACCAATTTATACCTTCTAACTGCCTTTTACGTCAATATATATGTACGATGGTTCTCACCGTTACTGTAAGCACCTGTATTACCTAAACAGGAGGATATTCAGATACAGTTATATGTATGGTTGGTCAAATTACCAGCCCAGCATACTGTACTAGGTGGTGATGCCAGAGGTCTATTTTTACACAAAAACAAAGCATTAATAGCATAAAATAAATCAATCTTGTTCCAAATAGTTTAACAAGTATCAAATGCTAAAATGCTTTATTTGCCTGCCAAAATAATTAGTTTTTTTACATGTTAACTTTCACACTGTGTGACCTAATTGGATCCCACCCATTCCCGTGAGCCATGTGCTTTTGCATTCACATTTGAAAATTCAAAGAAAATTCACCATACGCTACATTATTTACATTCTATACTTTCCTTTTTACGACTGCTCATAGCCTAGTTGATAGTGGCCATATGGCCACATATGGTCATAGTGCTACGGCCTCACATGCCTTGGGTTCCGCGGTTCAAGACCCATTCAGTCCAGAATGTATGGGTCTCATTCCCATGGAATGTTTATTTCCATGGAAATGTGGATGGCAATTTATACACACTTTTAGTTCCTATGTACCATGTGATGAAACAATCATCTGTGGATATTTTGAAGCCCAATATATAACTATATCTTTTAACCATTCTTAATATGATAAATTTCCTCTTGTCCCATCCCAAATCCTTGTCCTGACCCCTTCCCAGTGCTAAATACCAGTAGTACCCAATGCATGCCAATGGCACCTTGGAGGAAACTGTCTTTTTGATGAAAGTAAGTTTAATAATGAAACAAAGAAAGACGGCAGGGCTGATTCATGGGGTGAGGAGGGTTATAAATTCAGAGCCTGGGGAAAGAGTAGCATAGCAAACAAAGGTGCTCAAGAATCACACAGGCCTGGCAAGGACAGAGAAAATCAAAGAGGTTTCAAGCAACCAACATCTCCAGAAACCCCTAAGCCTGACTAGTAGCTGTAGGCATATTGCCAAAGACAGTAATAACAGTCTTTGTGCATATCATGTGTATGTGGATCCACATCCCGCCAAATGCACGACGAAACAACGACGTCGCTACAATGTTCAAACAGGTCTTAACACCTAACAAGTTGTAACAACCAATATATCAAGTTGTAACAACGTTCTAATACATTATACAAACGTTATAACAAGATGTAACAACTTTATTACAAGTTACAACTTGTTACAAATTTATTACAAGTTGTAACAAGAGAATCATAGGGACCGTTACGTTGTGTATTTGCAGGGATCAAACTGGCTGAGCCCCACATCCCAGCCCCCCCGGCCTTGGAACAAGGTACCAAGGAAACACGACCGACAGAGAATTCCAGCTCCAGCATACAGTTATGGACTCAAAAGATGGAGTATAAATACAACCATGAAGTGTAGGGAAAAAGACTATATAACCTTCCCCCTTTCAACCTGTGGGCCAACAGTCCCAAGAAATGTTAATCCCTGCTAAACGCAAGACTATTAGGGCTCCCATTAATAACTAAGTGCTTTCAACGAGCACTTAGATCGTTGATCTCTTCACAAGTGTCGACACTTTGGTAATCAGCATATTTTAATATATTATTAAAAACTGCAACTACAGACTAGATGTGGTTATTTTATACATAAAACTTCACTTTGAATTCATAAAATAAAGTTTCCAAATCATTATTAAGACACTAGTGTTCCAAGTGTGTTCTTCTTGAAACACAAATAATTTGCTTCAGTAGCCAAGGAGCAACAATATTACCACACTCTTCAATGCTGCACCAACCTGGTTGACCAGTCCAGCAACCAGGAGGCCTGGTCGACGACCAGGCCGCGGGGCTGCTAAGCCCCGGAAGCACCTCAAGGTAACCAACTGGCATCCTTACCATTTACTAATAATTAATGTACACCTTAGCAATGACACAGTAAATTACAGTACTGTACTGCACACCTAAACAATTAACTTCGCTCCTCAGTCCGCCAACATCAAAAAGTATGTGTGCAGATTTGACTTACCTTTGTTGGGACAGAGAACACAGTCAGGTTTGATGCCTAGTGAGCAAGTACGACAGAGCCAGGAGCCCGAGGGGATGGCTGTGATCCCGTAACACGCTTGGTGAACACATATGTTGCACGAATCACAAAACACCATCTCGTTCCCTTCTTCGCTGTCAGGCTGAAAGAATAAGCGATGAAAGTGTAACTAAAAATTAATGAACAAATGGAAGAGGAGTAAGGGAAGAGGGGAAGAGAGAGAAGGGGAAGGGATACTGTTAATATAACAGAATAGGAGCTAAGCTCATAGCTCCTATAAGGCCATCTTCCTTATAGTCTGTCATAGAGAGTTTTGAAAATTCCAACAATACCAGCACATGCCATTCAAGTTATTCCATCTACCACTCGTCGGAAATTTTTGACAATGAATTTCTATAATTTGAACCACTATCCTCATAACACAAAGGGTTAATAATTTCACATCTTTTACACTCCCTCAGAATTGACCACAAGTACAAAATCTCCTCTCTCTTTTTTCATTACTAGTTTTGTTATATAGTATTTAGCAACTCCAGCAATGGATTCGTAGCTTTTATATCTCAGGTCTGGGAGCAATTTAATAGCAGGTCTTTGCATCTTTTTTTAGGTACTTTTTGTTTTGTTTTTAAGAATGGACCATATACCATAATGGACCTGTTGCATATTATTGCTTTTCTCATGGAGCTTATGATTTTCTTTTAAGAATTTCTCCATTCACGTGACTGAAGACAATTTTGACATTTGCCACCACAACACAGGACCCTCTGACTATTCCCTTAAGCCTAACACTACTCCAATTGCTGTGAGTTTCCTCTTGTGCACAAATCACCAAATGTAATACTGAGTAGTTCTTGAATGGTTTCCAATACTTTCTTTTTTAGGCACACCATGGGGTAGGATTTTCAAATAGGTGAGCAATTTGAGGATTAATATGGTCCTTTGGCATGAGTTTAATATCCATTATCATTCCAAAGTCTCTTGCCATGGCAGCATTACCTGCTTGATGGGGTTCTGGGAGTTTTTCTACTCCCCAAGCCTGGCCTCGGGCTTGACTTGTGAGAGCTCGGTCCACCAGACTGTTGCTTGGAGCGGTTCGAAGGCCCACATATCCACCACAACCCGGTTGGTCCGGCACTTCTTGAAGAAAATTACTTCCATTCAGTAGCATCTTTCCACATAATTCATAACATGAATGCAATCTGATATCACCTTTCCCACACTTTATTACAAGGCATTTACCCATGTTAAAATTCCATTTAATTATTTTATCTAGGCTATTTTGAGGGGCAAGACAGTCCTTTACATCTGTTCTTCTTCCCAGTAGCTAAATACTTTTATGCAAACATTCAGATACCTCTCCATCCCTTCAGGTAGGTTATTAATATGAACATTACTGGAGCTAGTACCAAGCCTTGCGGAACTACAGCACCAGTAGCTTTCCTCCAGCCTAATTCACAGTCCCTAACTAGCGTTCTACTAACACGCTTCCTTCCATGCTAGTGTGCTAGTAGTGCCCCATTTCCCTCATAATTATGGTCATTCAGTATCAAGTTTTAATGCTGCTGTTAGTTTTGGCATATACCGCCCTCATTCCATCTGCTGAATCACCATTTGCAGGAGAGAATTTATGCTAGATTTTCAGTACATTTTTCTTAATTTGAAGCTATAACTTCTTGTTGTGGATTTAAAAATATTATTTGTTTAGAGTCCAGTTCAAGTACGTTTATTGAGACCATAAGATACAGCTCAGAAAGGATAGAGTAGCTTAGACCATTTCCTCCCTTTGTTAGATTAGTCACAATATTTTGTTAGTGATAATTATGTCACCTCTTATTCTCCTAACTTTTAGTTCCGATATATTCAAGTATAACATTTATTCAATGTTGATAACATTGCTTCAAAGTTGAATTAACGTTACACTTGGATAATGTGACCACTTGGCTCTTGCACCAGGCAACCAGTTACCCAGAGGACACAATATCCAAGAGTGGTATTGGTTCGTCGCAGAATTTTCACTGAAGCACAGTTGACAACGCTGATTCGGTGTTGCACATTGCCAACTGCGCAGAAGCATGTCTTTGCTATTCTTAAATTTTCTTAATTTGATTTATTTGCTTTTGAGAAATAAATGTCACATTGCTGTATATTTTAAGAGTTTACATATGAAAATTTTGTAAGCATATATATTTTCATATATAGTATTTAAAGGCAATTCTCAAAGAGTGCATACATTATGTGCATAAACATTCTTCAATGTTCTTTAATTTTTTTATTGCTTTTGAATACAGATTCCTTTCTTTTGAATATATTTAATAAGACAAATTTTGTTTAGTCTTGACTTCCATTATAATGTAATGTTGATAAATACCAGAAGGAATTTTGACCCCTGCCCAGACCAAAATAAAGATATATATATAATTTTTATTTTCTGGATTTTACATACTTCTGAATACAAATTTATCATGTCATAAGAAACACAAGTAAACTAATTATATTTCTTTTTGGGCACATACATGATAAAAATTATGATGATAGCCACACTTTACTTGGTATTAGCATTGTCATATCTCATACAATACAAGTCTGGCATCACCCCTCGGATTGTGACACTCAGTTTCCTGTCTGTTGGGTACTCCCTTACTCTGTTCAGTCTTGCCTCTTCATCCTACACACTACTTGTATATGCATCATTATCAAATCTTTTTGCAGGTCTATCCAACCCTCCCTCTCCTGTCGAATCTTGGTGACCTTGTCGTAGAACTATCTAGCCAGGTATGACCTTTCGCCTCTTTAAACAATCTTGCCCTTCCATTATTGTGTGTCATCTCTAGGTCAGCATTTCTCAACTTCTGCACTGTTGAAAATGCACAATTCCGGGTTGTACTTTAGATAAACACACTGTTTCATTGTCAACTGAAAGGAGACAATTTCTGTCTTTGCTCTTAATACTGTACTTGTTAAAATGAGAAATTAAAAAAAAAACTTTAAAACAGTATATTTACATATGATTAAAATTAGCCTTTATCACTACCTCTTGCTGAACCCCTAGCTACCTTGGGGTTCCGCTGAACCCCCAGTTAAGAAACACTGCTACCGGTGTTGTAGATTGTGATTATTTTCTCGATACAGTGTACAATATTGTAAAGTTTATTACTTTGTCAATTTGTTGAAGATTGCAACTATATATTTTCCAATCTAGTATTTTACTGAGCATTACAATTACTAGATAACATGAATATCCCAGCAGACTGTTTCAGTTGCCATGGTCTGGCCCTACTTTCTTGATTCCATATTGCTCCTCCGGGCACCTTTATTTCTCTTTGGTGACTACTATACTGTACAACATTGATTCTGACCGTCACACAGAACATAAGCTCCTACACCTGCACACCACAATCATTCTTACATGTTCCTACACCTGCACACCACAATCATTCTTACATGTTCCTACACCTGCACACCACAATCATTCTTACATGTTCCTACACCTGCACACCACAATCATTCTTACATGTTCCTACACCTGCACACCACAATCATTCTTACATGTTCCTACACCTGCACACCACAATCATTCTTACATGTTCCTACACCTGCACACCACAATCATTCTTACATGTTCCTACACCTGCACACCACAATCATTCTTACATGTTCCTACACCTGCACACCACAATCATTCTTACATGTTCCTACACCTGCACACCACAATCGCTCTTACATGTTCCTACACCTGCACACCACAATCATTCTTACATGTTCCTACACCTGCACACCACAATCATTCTTACATGTTCCTACACCTGCACACCACAATTGCTCTTACATGTTCCTACACCTGCACACCACAATCACTCTCACATGTGCACAGGCAGAGTTTAACTACTGTATGCCGACAATGAGTCACAATAACGTGGCTGAAGATATGATGAGCAAACCACATATCGGAGGATGGAGAAACAACAACGTTTCAGTCCATCCTGGACCATTATCAAGTCATGTGTGATAATGGTTCGCATACGATTTGATAATGGTTCAGGATGGACCGAAACGTCATCGTTTCTCCTCCTCCTGATGTGTGGTCTGGTCATCGTTTAACTACTGTATGTTCCTATTACCCTGTACAACTACATCGAGTGTAAGTCTCCATGATTCTGGTTTGGTAAAAACCTAAACACCATCTAACATTGGCAAAGCAATAATGCAAAGTACCACAGTTTTATTTAACAAAAATAACAAATATAAATTTATACAGGCTCCTCCTCTCTGAACCATCATCAAGCTTCAGTACTTGCAGTGGCAACCTAAACACTTCACAAACCTGTTCAAAGCACTCAAAACTTAAATTATCCAGAGTTGCTCCCTGAAGACTTGCTTCTACAGTAGTTCCTTCTCGTTGCACAACTTCTGTTTCCACTTTTCCCAAACCACAATGCCCCAGAGGTTCTTATTGTGGCTCAAAACGCGTATGTTTCCAGAGCAATCATCCCCAGAGAAACAATGTTTTAATTTTCAAACAGCCTTACGATTTTTTATCAATAGATTAAAAACTCGTTATTCTGAAGGAAGATAACTCTGGCTGGTAACTTTAGTTCTGATGCTGGTAGATTGCTTCTTAAAAAGATTCGCAGGCATGGCTCCTTGTTTAGCATTCTCCATTTATATATATACACTGGAGAAATCTTATTTCTAAGTAGGAAGAACAGGTCAAATGTCAACTTTCTTTTAGATAAAACATGCAGGGACCATATTCTTCATTGACAACAGACCCTGAAAATCAACTGTCTTGAAGCAATTCATGCTAAGTAGTGTACACTTAGGCTGTAAGTACACTTCCTTCTTATTCTACAGATGATTCGTCTTCTGTTGCTGAAACAGTCAGAAAGAGATTTGTCTGAGAAAACAACTTGATACCAGTCATCCCCAGTTTGGCTTTCATGCTTGACAAAATATAGTAAGAGGCAGTCCTAGTTACGTTTCAAGCTGAAAGGAGACTTCGTTGCCAACCTGCACGAGGATAAATCATTATGCACCCAGTGTCTTCAGACGTTGATATTGCTTTCATTCATATTGCCTACAAATACCCTTGCAATTGCAGACTGATGGATATGTTTTATGCACTATGAATTTGCACAAAAGACATTTTGGTCATCAAAAAGATTGTGTCTAACTCTTTCCACCACTGCCCTTGGGATGGGTATCAGGTGCATAATAAAGAAAGAAATTGAAGAAATTGAAAACCCAAACACTTTCTTTGTAAATTTCCCATGCCAAGCTTTGAATGATCTTGCCGACAGTGCCTTAATCTCTGGCAGGATTCCGATGGCTGATTAGACCTTCCTCGTGAAGAACAATGGAAGGCTAAGAAATTTTCTGGCAATGTTTGAGAAAGTATTCTGGGTATATCTAAACAAAAAACATTGAATGATCAACATATGAACAAAAATAATTTTAGTAAGCCTCAACAGAAACAAAGCACGGGGTACAACTTCATTAAGTTGAACTCATAGCAGCATATAAAACGAGTTCTGTGCCTGTAGAACATGATGAACAGCAATGGTAGACTTCTCTGTTGATCTAATCCCAAAGATCAGTAGCACCATAAGTACTGCAGATAAATTGTTAGCAGAACAAATTCATGGCCATACACTTACTATATATCAAGTGTAATCACTACAACTGTAGTTCAAAACAGAATAATGTAAGCTTAAATGCCCCAAAAAATCATAATTGATACAATACTTGAGGACTTGTAATCACTAACATCCTTTGTATCCCTTCTGTCTTCAATCGTACACCTCCTTGCAGTCCTTGAAAGACATCTACACCTTATGAAGATAATGAGTCACAATAATGTAACTGAAGATATGTTGACCAGACCACACACCAGAAGATGAAGAGACGACGATGTTTCGGTCCGTCCTGGACCTTTATCACAACGGACTTGATAGCGGTCCAGGACGGACCGAAACATCGTCGTCTCTTCATCTTCTGGTGTGTGGTCTGGCCATCACCTACACCTTGCAATCTTTCTCACATGCCCTTTTACTATTAACATTTTGTTCACACACGTCTTCCGATGCAAAATTTCACAATACAGTAAATTATGCCATGGGTTCGGGAGGTTAAGTATGCCACAGGGTCAAGAAAGACTAGCCTTCAAGGCACTCTTTACTACTACTACAGTCTTGGAAATTACAACTTCATTCCAAGTAGAAACTGCCTTGATTAATCTGATGAATAATAAGCAGTTGCTTTCAAATCTAGAAGAACTCATCATTTTCACCAATAAATTCTTAGTAACAGCCCTTCTTTGCGATGAATGTGTTCTTCGTTGTAATACACAAGTTAACTCAACTCAAACACTTTAGTTAACATGCAGACGAAGAGTCACAATAACGCGGCTGAAGATTAAACCACACACCCGAAGATGAGGAGACGACGACGTTTCGGTCCGTCCTGGACCATCATCAAGTCGATCTTGATAATGCTCCAGGACGAACCGAAACGTCGTCGTATCCTCACATTCTGGCATGTGGTTTAGTTATCGCTCGAGTCAACCAAATATTGAAATTGTAGTGATTAACAGGAAGCTGTTTTATATTAATATACTCTAACTCATTTTATACAAATATGAGAGCTGGAAAAAATATACAAAAGCTCTTTGCTAATGAATTTAGGAAGCAAATTCAGTGAAGTATACTTGGCATGTGAAATATACTGAATACTAAAAAGGTTGAGAGATGTAGTGTGGCAAAGTGGAATATACTATAGGAGATAGCAGGTTAGAGGATATACAATAGTGTTACAGAGGTTACAAAGACCACAAAAAAGCTTTGCAGATACAGTGAAACAAGTAGTTACAGGGATATTACAAAGGATAACTTCCATAGAGTAACTATGAGCCATGATCAATAAAAGAACTTTGAGGGAAGAAAGACGTGAGAGTAAATGTAGGTGTATAGTCCGGCTACACGACAAGGATATTACGAACGGTAACACCATAAGAATACTACGAATCACAATCAGGACAAGGAACGCAAGGAAGGGGATGTAAAGGCAAATGGAGTTGGAGAAATCCTTTGACAAATCCACTAAGTGAACACAAGTGAACAAAAAAATGAAGCGCTGTTGCAGTGTGGAAGAAGCTGTTCACTCCAACTCACTGTGAACAAGTCGAGGGTACACAGGGGAGAGATGAGGGGTTGATCGATGGTTGATACACTCCATTTCTATGGGAAGGGAGGCAGAGATAACAGATAGGTATTTAATGAAGATTTCTCCTTGTTTGCACCAATATATAAAGTGTAAGGACAATATGGAGTGCTTGAGCAGGAATGTTTGGTAAAGGCACATCATACAACAGCACACACACACACACACACACACACAAGAGAAGGTGGTGGAGGCCAAGACCGTCAGTAGTTTCAAAGCGTTATATGACAAAGAGTGCTGGGAATACGGGACACCATGAGCGTAGCTCTCATCCTGTAACTACACTTAGGTAATTACACACACACACACACACACACATTATCTTGTGTAATTACCTATTTTAATTGTGTAATAGCCAGAATGCACTACTCGGCCTAGTATATAGCAAGGCCCAATTTGCCTAATAGGAAGTAATTTTCGTTATTTAAAAAAAAAAAATTCTAATTGGTTTATTTGAATTAATATTACATTATTATATTAAGAATATGAATTACTAACTTCGTTATGTTAGCTAAGGTTAGGTTAAGATAGGTTAGGTAAGGTCATATTTCTACGTTAAAACTAACTCAAATAAAAAATAATGAACTCATATATAATGTAATGGAAAGCTTTATCATTGCACAAGAAAAAAAATATATAACTTCAGGAAAACTTGGCTTATTAGGCAAATTGGGCCTTGGATAGTAGGCAAAGTAGTGCATTTTGGCTATTAGGTACAACATATATATAATATAATATATATGCATGCAGTACTCTAAGTGTAGTTACAGGATGAGAGCTAAGCTCGTGGTGTCCCGTCTTCCCAGTACTCTCTGTCGTATAACACTTTGGAACTACTGACAGTTTTGACCTCCACCACCACCACATTTAACCTGTTCCAACCGTCTAACCACTCTGTTTTCAAAAGAAAACTTTCTAATATTTTTTGACACCTTTGTTTCCTTAGATTGAATCTGTGTTTTCTTGTTCTTGAAATTGTTGATTTCACGATTTCTTCTTTGTCAATTTGGTCAATTCCTGTTGTTGTTTTGTTGACTAGAGCGCGTCTGGGAACACACAGCGCGTAGGTTTGGAATAGGGTCGAACCCTCATCAAGGCCCTTGTGGATTTGTTCATTTGATATATCACATTGTAGTATTGTGATTTCTGTGTGTACCCGCCTAGTTGTGCTTGCGGCTCTTTGGTCCCACCTCTCAACCGTCAATCTACTAGTGTACAGATTCCTGTGTATTGAAGTTGGGGCATCAGAGGTAGAACTATTTAACTGACAGAGCTCGTGTGCATGGGGGGGAATTGTGTGAACCCCGGGTTAGGCTTCAGTGGAAGTCTCGGGATCCTCGTGGGGGCAGTAGCACGCCAGGTTGCAATTCTTTTCCATGTCATGGTACAGTTGACTAGAGTGCGTTTGGGAACTGTTCCTGATCTTTGCTATTGGTATTGGTTCAACTAGAAAAACTGGACACAACAATGACTCAAAAATACATTTGCATATGTTTAGAATTACCCTATTTATCACTGTCTCTAGTGGAACCCCTAATTATCTTTGGTTCCATGGATCCCAAGTTAAGAAATGCTGATCCGAGGTATTCAACCCTTTCATCCAAGGAATTTCAACCCTTTCACCCAAGGATTTTAATCCTTTCACCCAATGTATTCCACCTTTTCATCTAAGGTATTCAACCCTTTCAACTAATGTATTCAACCCAATCATCAAAGGTATGCACCCATTCTAAGGTACTCAACATACAGTAATACAATTTACCACTTTGATTATAAGCAAATAACATTCATCTCTCTCTTACCTTTACATTCATATTCTTTATTAGTTTATTAAATTACACACACACACACACAGTTAAAGAATGCAGCAACTGCCAACTTACCGATCTACACACATCACAGATAACATCTTCATCGAACTCGATGGAGAGAGACTCCTCTGTTTTGAGCAACTTGTGGATGTTTTCATAGCACGTCTCCTCAAGATGTTCAATGATCATCTCGAAGATTAGTGACGGAACTGGAGCAGCACCTGCAAAATACCTCGTAACAATTTATTGAGCACAAAGGTGATGTCATATTTTCAGAAAGAGCACAAGCTCAAATTAATAGGCAGTCTTTCCTTTTTCTCTCACTTTACTGTACAGTATTTGGAGTCTAACCCACTGTGTTGAATAACATTCATTTCAGTTATTATTTTCTTAGCTTTTGAAAAATTTTTTAAAACCAAACAGTCTCCTTTTGTAGCTATATCTGTCTCTGTACTATATACCCACATCTGAAATAGTTAATTATGTTGATTAAAAAACAAAATAAATTATTAAACTATAAATTAATATCAAATTATACATCCCCTCCTGTGTATAACAGAAAAGCCATCAGTTAATCCATCTTTATCTAAATACAAATCCTATATCCATGCTCATTCTGCTCTCAACAGGACCTCTGCCATATGTAGATCTCTACTCTGTGTCCATCCGATTGGTCCCCCACTCTTCATTATAGACCCTTTTAGCTCATTATTGTTTCGTTTTTCTTCTCCAATTTTCATTCCTAACATATTAATAAAGCCCAATTCAGCCTCGAGTATTTTCTTAATTCCCTAGAATACAGACCGTACATAGCTGACACATGAAGTCTTTTACATTCCTCTCTCTCTACACCCGCATCCTCTTCCTGAATTTCATCTCCCCATCCCTCTACCTCCCCCATCCTTTCCATTCCCTATGGACATCAAAGCAAAAGCTTTTACATTTTCAAAATTCTTTTCTTGTAAACAGTCCCTACAATCTCAAAGCCCATATTCACGACCAACTATCAAAAGTCTGTCTATAATATTATCTTTCATTTGCATAACACTGCAATTTCCCAAGAAGGTTATTCCTATCTGAAGACAGTGACAATAACAGGAAAGCATTCAAGCTGTCTATTTCAAGCAGATTCTTCTAGTTTACAGTAACCTTACGCTTTCGGTGGTTCTTCCCTGTGCGTATTCCTACACTTCCCTCTTAATCAGTGTTATTTTCAGTGCACCTCTTATCATTTCTAGCTCATTAATGTACCACTGTACTGTGCACACCAAGATACCATGAAGACGGGACGATGTACACACCAGCATATCATGTTTGTTAGTACACGTTAAGATTCAAAACTCCCGTGGGTACATGGGGCTCGCATCCTGTTTCTCAGGACTCCAGGAAACAGACACCATCTTGAAAAGATCCCGAGTCCCTTATTTTTCATTCTAGAGCCTTAATAAAAAACAAATGAGAACCATATCTAGCAACATCACCCCTCCAGTGTGTGAATGTACAGGCGGCCGTACTAGAAGCCATTGAACTTTTAACAACAGCAAATGATAGATTACCATGTATATATTTCAGGCAAAACTAGTGCAATGTGCAATTATAAGATTTAGGCTTATATAAAAATATATTACTTTGAAACATTGTGTGTGTGTGAATTTATACACATATCTGTACATACACATATTTTAAAGTTATACGTAATGAGCACCACCACTGACACATCAACACAACTTGTTAAGAGTGAAAAAGTCCAGCGTTGAATGTAATGAAACGCCATTTTCTGGGTGAGCCCCTGAGGCTCCCTGGAGCTATCGGGGTATTAGTCTAAGGAGTTTGACCTACCGGGGAACCACGAGCCAGAACCTGCAACCTCCCCCTCCCCGCACCGACTACCAAGCACTCCAGTTTGGAAGCCAAGCATCAAACAATGCGAAAAACCCCCGACTGGAGGGAGGGAGGTTTTAACCCAGATAAAGGCATTTCATTATATTCAATGCTGGTTTTCTGTGGGGAGCCCCTACGGCTCTCTGAAGCTACATGACCAAAGATAAGGAAAAGAGGCACTTACCCCGGGTGGCGGCCGCCTCAAATTACTCAATGGAAAGTCGAGACAACAGCTTGCAACCTGCGACCCAAAGCAACAAAGCAATGCCCAGGAGCAGGAACATTAACCAAATAATGGGCGGCCAGGACCCTGTTCGACCTCCAAAATCCCCATGCCCGAATATCAGCCCAAGACATGTTGCCAAACACAGCAACCAATGCAGCAAACTTCCTGACATCATGGGCACGAGGATAGACAGCAGGCTGGCAAGACTTAATAACCTTGTGGACGACCTGGGAGACCCAAGCCCTGGAACAGGAAATGAGGGAAAACCGGATCAACCCAAAGCACATCCCCCAGCCACCAAAGCTGAAGCGTGCAGATAACAGTGGAGAGCCGCAGCCAGACACGACACATGATGCACCCTCTGGCCTGACCAACCAAGCATCAATGACCTAAGGACCCCTCCGGAAAGAAACCATCTTGTTCTTCACCAGAAAAGAAGGAGAAGGCTGCAACCAAACAAACCTACCACCAGGCCCGAAAGAACAAAAATCCCTGTGCCAGAGGAGAACATGAAGCTCCCCCACCCCCAGAGGCCAATGCCAATGGAAACAGAGCCTTAGAAAAACAATCTTGAACCGAAGGGGCCGCCACAAACCGAGTAGAGGAAAGGTAGTAGAGCACCCTGTCCAAGAACCAGGTGGATGGCTCAGGTGGCACATGAGCAGGCCAGAGGTGAAACAAAGCAAGAGAAAGCTTACAGAACGGGGCAGAAGAGACAACCACCACAAACGAAGCTGGAGCAGCTCTGCCAGCACCACACTATACGAGGCGACAGTATAAGGTATCAAATGACAGTCCTGAAAAAGCCAAGACAGAAAGGACAAGACAACCTGATTCAAAATAGAAGACAACCTACGAAGAGAGAAAATGGCAGAAAGAATGCCAGGAAACTTCATACTGTTGCCAAGACAAAGCTCTCAGGGGGGACACCATCAACGGAGCCACCTGATCACCATGCAAATGGTGATAAACCTGCACCAAAAGACCAGATGCGAAGAGCAGAGGAGAAGACCAAACCAGCTGTGTATTGGACTGGTCCGACCTGCTGGAAGAAGCGGAGCCGCAGGAAACGTCCTGGGGTTCACACACCGAGCAAGCAGTGCCTGGAACCAAGGCTGGGCTGAAGAGGCCACAAGGACTATTGTCCCTTGGTAGGACTAACTGAGTAAGAACTTGAAACAACAGCTGGACCAGGGGGAAGATGTACAGGTAACCCCACTTCGACCAGTCCTGCCGAAAGGCATCCACCGCAAGTCTCACAGTCCGGGAAGGACGCCACATAGATCAGGAGACACCGAGACCACACCAATGCGAAGAGGTCCACATCCGGGAGTCCATACTTCCAGCAAAGCCAAGTGAAAGAGTCTGCGTCAGCCATCCATTCTGTGGACAGAGGGATGAACTGAGACAGGCCGCCCGCCAGGACGTTGGACACTCCCCAGATATGAACTCCACGGAGAGCCAAACCTCGAGAAGCCAGCATACGAACCACTCGAAGTGATCAGCCCCAAAGAGGCAAGGACCAAAGAGAACCCCCATGGTTCAGGCACTGAACCACCAGAGAACAGTTCGAATGGAGCCGGATGATCGAACCCCGAACCCTCCGAAGCGAAAGCCAAACCGAGGCGAACTCCCGCACCGTGCTGTGAGCCCAACGGAAGAATGGACCCCATCGCCCCTGGCCTGCCTGGTGAGCACTGGTCACAAAGCCCCAGCCGAGAGACGACATGTCCGTGAACGCATCGAGCGAGGGTTCGGGTAGGTGCCAAGGCACCAAATCCCGGAAACCCCGAAGAGGACTTCGCCATGCTGGTCTACCAGCACGGAGAAGATCAAACACCTGCACAACTGCTCGAGCACCCGCCTAGTGACCCGGGACCTCCCCAGAAACAGCCGAAGGTGGGACCGCAGCCGCAGCAATGCCTCCGGAGGGAGAGTCAATGGCCTGAGAGTCCCAAGCAAGATCCAGCCAGGTCCGAACCTGGGACGGAACCAGATGGAACGTCCTCCAGTTCACCAAGAACCCGAACCCGGTAAGCTGGGAAAGAACCACACCCCTGGCAAGCAGACAAGCGGACTGACTAGGAGCCCACACCAGATGGCAAGAAAAATGGCAAAAACCCACGTCAGAAAGTCCCAACTTGTAAAGAAGCAGAGAAGGTTGAACCAGCAAGGAACATTGCTGGACTGATTCCTTGAAAGAGGCAGAGCCACAGAAAAACACCCAGGTTCAGACACCTGGCTGGTCACTAAGGAGAGAGGAGGAGCACCCTCCCTGAGAAAAACTTCAGTCTGAAAAGAACCCATAGCAACAATTGAACCAGGACAAAAAAACAAAAAAAAAGAGGTAAATGCACCCCACCTCGAACAGACCAGCTGAGAAGCAAGTGGGGAATGGTACCATGAAGGCTGGAAAGCGTAGGTTCCGTGCTGATATTAAGACATCCACCTTGGGGCAACCTAACGTTTCACAAAGCCACTGGAAAGATACGTCAACAACGGTCCAGTCTGTTGAGACGGAACAGAACCAAGACAAACTGCCCATGAGAACAATGGAAACACCCCCCATGTGGACTGCACGGAGAAGCCAGAAGATGAGCCACTTGCAGTATCCAGCACCACAGGAGAGGACCAAAGACACCCCTACAAGTTTCAGGTAATGGCCCACTGGGGGAATAATTGTAGTGGAGCCAAATCACAGAGCCCAGAGGGCACTAAATCTTCCATAACGCCTGCTGCACAGCTGCGAACTCGCACACCGTACTGTGGGCATGAAGCAAAAGATCTGACCACCATCCCTGGGAAGCCTGGCGAGTGCTGGTTATAAAACTCCAACTAAGAGCCAACGTGTCCGTAAAGAAAACGAGTGATGGAGCTGGAAGACAAGATGGAGTCTAACAATTGTAGCAGCAGTGAAATGGGCAGAACTGACAGAACCAGTAGAGTCCGGAGCCCAGCTCTGCCCAAGGGAAACACTGTGCAAGCAAAACTGACAAAGTTGATCAACCGCCAAGTCACACTTGGCCGACCCAACACCAGATGCCAACAGAGCTGTAGGCGGAGCAGGGCTAAAAGAGGCCGGGAAAAAAGGACACCAACTGAGAATTCTAGAAGAGACCCGGCCAAGACTGAACCTGAAACAGAACAATCTAGGACTTCCACCAAGTAATCAGGAACCTGATCCCAGCAAGTTAGGAAAGTACCAGATCCCTGGCTAGCTGCCACGTGAACTGGCTGGGAGCCCAAACCAGCCAGTCATCGAGGAAGGACAAAACACGAACCCCCAAGACACACGGAATCACAGCACATGCTAACCTGGAGAAATACAGGGAGCCAGAATCAAGTTGAAAGACAGAACCTGAAAGTGGTAAGGATGAAGCTCACTGCAAAAACTTAACAGTCCCTGAAGTCCAAATGGAAAGGAACATGCCAGAATGCATCTTGGAGATCCCGGGACACTATCTAAGCCCCCCGTTAAAAAACCAGGCAAACTTGGGCAAAAGTGATCATGCAGAAGGATGAACAGGCAAGCTGTTCAGACCCGAATGATCGAGGATAAACTGCAAGTTCAACAAGTCCCTCATGGGGACAAGAACAAACAGGATACCCAACAAAGGAATGATGTCGACTCAACTATGTTATTGCCCAAAGATGGTACAATGACTTGACATAGTAAAGGGAGAAGAAAACTGATCCACCAGTTTCGGCCTCAAAAAGGGGGGTAGAACTGACCAGCTTCACTGTACGCTCAGGGAAACAACCCGGAATGCCCACAGATTATGGGACCAAGAACTGGCAAAGTGAGCGAGACAACCCTTCATGTCATCATCAAAAGAGGGGAACAGCAAAAAAGCTGACATGAATCACAAGAAGTGCCATCCTTCTGTGATGCAAATGAGTGGCACCAAACAGCAGAAGTATGCCCCGCAGGAACCGTAACAGCTTGAGAAACTGGCAACCCTGAGGGCCCACCCAAACCAGCAGCAGGTGTAGCCCCAGCCCTTCCAGACTGCCTCCAATCACGGGAAACAAACCCCAAGAAACCAAAAGACTGAAAACAGATGGCAGGAAGCAGCTACCAACGAAAGGAACTGCACCACAATATCCTCAGGAAAGAGGAGACAAAAAAAAAGAAGTAGCAGAGAAAAGGGTTAAGAACCAATCCACCGGGGATCGAACCCGGAACCTTAAGACTACGAATCCTGAGCGCTGTCCACTCAGCTGTTGGGCCCCTATTGTATACCCCTACCAATGACAGCTCAACATACCAATGACCCCTTGCCATACCAATGACCCCTTGCCATACCAACAATGCCTCAGCATACCATGACACGTCGCCATACCAAAAATACCTAATCATCAGATAAGAACAATTCCAGACCCCCAACCCTGCATTAAGAACATCCTCACAACATTGTGATACATCACACATTTTACTCAAGTACTAAATATGATTAACATACCCATTCTTGCTCTTTCTCCATTATAAGCGTTGAGCCACTTGTCGTCTAGGTCATCCATGTCGTAGCGGCACATCTTCTCCGCCTTAGTTGGAAGGTTGCTGAGGATGTGCTGCTCATTGCTGAAGAAGTCGTCATGGTTCACGCGGATAAACTTGTCCTTTGTACTAGAGAGAGAGAAAAAAAGTCAATTTGAAATATTTAAATCATTATCACTGCCCCATTTCCCACTTTCATTAGGTAGGGAGGGAAGCAGGTGCCTCAAGAAGACAGAAGAGCAGCAAGCCTAAAGAAGGTGAAGATTGCAAAAGAGTACATCGTCATTCACCATATTCCAAACAACATATAGTGTCATGTAGCACCAGCAAACGTACTCCAGAAAATTATCCGCCAAAGCACCCCTCTCCCCCATCCCCTGCTATACAGTACTACTACTGGTGGAACAAGATATCAATCTTCCTGCTATACAGTACTATATAATAAATGAACTTCAAGATGCTTTGTATCATTTCCTTTATATAATACTATACCATACATCTGCAGACAAGGCAATACTGTATTTTGTCCACAATATTGCAAATACATAGTACAGCAATTACCAAATTTTTGCCTAGCCAGAGGTATTCTATTAACATATTTGTCTATTACTATTACTTGACATAGGGTTGGACAGATACCCCTATGAAAGAAATGGGACAATAGAAAGCACAGGATAAGCTCGATGACAAGAAATGCATCTTTTAAACAGTAATTTTACATGGGAATAAAGGAAGCCTGTTTAAATTAAAAAGTGGTAGGACAAGACCACATGCAATAGAGTCAAAGAGATATAAGGAAGTCCTCGTTCTCTACACCTGAATGCACTGAAGAGGGCGTTGAAGCCAATTCTATCCACAACTTACACAAAAATAACATGAAAATGTTAATGCCGAGAGAAATAATTAGCATGTCAGGTATGAAAGGCTAGGAGGTGAAGCATAAAGAACTAGATCTCGTTCCCCCATAATCTTGCTTCTGAATTACTGCGAGTTGCTAGAACTTTTCCACTTTCATTCCAGAGAAAAAAATACAATCTGTACCTCAAATGTATTCTTCAAACAGTATTGAAATTAAATTGAAAACAGCACATACTTTTTATCAACCAGCCATGTTAAATACCATTACTCTTGATAAGCACTATTATAAATTCTACATAGAAAGCATATTATTACATTTACAGACTCCCACAAGAAACTTTGATCTAATCTTTTCTTGCAATTCAGTATAAACAGAAAATGTCTCGTTAATTTTGAGTTCCGAGATTGCTCCATTAAACTTACAGCGTAAAGCTTCATATAGAGTAGCATTATCATTCAAGCATGTCACGTTATGAATAAGGACCTATCATACAATACTTAGTTACAATCCATGGGATACTTACAGCCTAAAGTTGGCTTCACGGTCACGATGTTGTCTTTGTACAGTAACGGTGACACTAGACTCAGGTAGGGAGTCAGGATTGACGGGGACCTGGACGCCTCGCTCCCATTCCTGTTTCCATGGGTCACCAATGCCCCAATAATCTTCGGAACTTAGTGGTTCATTATCCGCAAGTTTCATCGCCGAGATCAGGTCCTTGCGGAACAACTGCAATAAAACGTAAAGAAAGGGTTATAAAATCTTTACAACAATGTACACTGTGTAAACAGTATACAAGTCCAAATGACAAACTAATAAGAGCAAAAAATGAAACTTCACGCACAGAGAAATCACAATAACGTGATGCAACAAATGAACAAATCCACAAGGTTCGAATGAGGATTCGAACTTACTTCCAGGATGATCCTCAGATGCTAAGTCTGGGATCCTAGTCTTGAGGTTATCTTGAGATGATTTTGGGGCTTTTAGTGTCCCTGTGGCCCGGTCCTTGACCAGGCCTCCACCCCCAGGAAGCAGCCCGTGACAGCTGACTAACACCCAGGTACCTATTTTACTGCTAGGTAACAGGGGCATAGGGTGAAAGAAACTCTGCCCCATTGTTTCTCGCCGGCGCCTGGGATCGAACCCAGGACCACAAGATCACAAGTCCAGCATGCTGTCCGCTCGGCCGACTGGCTCCCTACACTGTACTCCCTGTACAGTAAAACAAAATTCACAACCTAGTCGACTAAGACAGCATCTGGGATCATCCCAGACGTAAGTTCGAACCCTCATCACGGTCCTTGTGGATTTGTTCAACTTCACGTAATTGCAATAGTATCCTCTCTTGAAATTTTGTATTCACCTTTACACTTCTATGCTTTATCCTCTGAAACCTTCATTCTCACTCCTATAATCCTGTAAACTGTACACTCTTCAAACTACAGCAGAGTATATACGTCTTCCACACCCTTCACATACATAGTCACTTCTGCCTATGCTCTTTCTCTTTCTTCAATTACTTCCAACCATTGCACCTTGCTGCAATATAGCATCATTTAACCCTTTATCTTCCATTTATTTCCCTCTCTCATCACATCAGTCTTACTAAATATTTAAGTTTTGTGAACTCACGAATACTGTCGCTGAAAAGATCAAGATGTGAATGATTGACTATGATTGATCAATAAAAATGTCATAAGTAAATGGTTGATAATGTGTGAGCATTAACATACCTCAGCAGGGGCTTCTGAAGCGGACCGATTGTATGCCCGCAAATCACCCAGATGTTTGGGGGTCCAAACAGATCGCTCTTCATCATCTGATCCAGAATTGTCAATACGGCGCTTTTTGCGAGCAGCAGCAGATGGGGCGCCCCCTCCCCCTTCGGCCGAGCCCCCAGCCTTGCTTAGCTGTCTCTTAATGCGCGTTGACATCTTTACCTTGTCATAATTTCCTACGGTCCACTATAGGGGAATCTGAAACGGAAAATGATAAAAATCAGCAATCGTAACGAGTTCAATCTTCAATCCAAATACTAAACTTCAGTTTTAACTAGATTACAGGCCATCATGTACAAGGACAAATAAGCGTGAACATAGTACAGTATTGACACGAGTACCTTTCGTTCACTTCCTACGTATCACGAAACCTAAACAACATATGCTTCGTGTACAGTAGCCAGAGTTGGCTTGGGAGCTACCCATACCCACCTGGACCAGGTATTTTACTTTAAAAAATGAAGATGGGTTTAAGAACTTTTTTGGGGGGCGAAGAAGGCTTTAGTATGGGCAATAGTGAAGCATATTTTGAAGCATTTTAATGAAGCATGAAGCATATTTTACTTCATTAGGTTTAAACTACAACTGACACAATGTTAGAAAGACAAACCATGTAATCGCGAAAATAAGTAATTCTATTTACAGTCTTACTGTACACTATTCAGAAAGACATCCACAAATAACTATCCTTGCTTAAATGCATTAGACAATACTGCAATAATTATTTAACTACAAAATGTGCTTAATTTTAACAATTTTAGTTGGGATATTTCTTAAAAATAATATGCTAATACAGTAAATAATGGGCTGCCTTTGACAGATTCAGTTTCCTCAACCTTACTGATTTCTTCTCACATTCCATTTAAAAAATCATTATGTTTCTTAAGGCTAATCAGCCATTTCAAAAGCCATAAGCATTCCCAGGGGTCAATACTGTTTAAGATCACTGATTTTCTTACAGTCAATAGGATTATACAAGATAAATATACTGTACTTAAGTTTATGCTAAAGAAGCACTATGAAAAGTATTAAGAAAAACTATACCAAAATAATACAATGAATACCTCACTATAAATATCTTACAAATGAAGGTATTCCATTCTTTTGTGATTCATCAAGAATTAAAAATACAGTGTAATGTCTAATTTATTAAGTATTCTGCACTGATAATGCAATACCCCTTGACATAACACTATCGAATAAACACCTTGATATCAAATCCAAATTTATAGAAAGAAACACACAGAAATCACAGTAGCGTGATGCATTAAATGTTCATTTCCCGATTGCAATTCTTTTGACCATGTCGTAGCTCAGTCGATTAAGGCGCATCTGGGATCCTCTCAGACGTAGGTTCAAACCCTCGTCACGGCCCTTGTGGATTTGTTAACTTTATAGAAAGAAAACTTCCGATGATATTTAATAAAGCCTCATCAGGAAAATGTCATCTTCATGAAAATTTGTTCTTGACCGAGTTTTTTGTTTCTACATTGTTATGAGCACTTTGGTTAAATAAAACTTACAGTAATGTTGCTTTTTAGAATAAACTAAATTTTGTGTATTTCCCGTTAGATACTGCATACTGTACTTGGCTTCTTCAGTTCAACACAGCTTTTCCCCCTTGCAATACAGTGTTGAGCTGCTCCAGTTCCACACCGCTTCCCCCTTGCAATACAGTGGTTTGCTACTCATTCCACACCACTTTTCCCTTGCAATACAGTGGTTTGCTACTCATTCCACACCACTTTTCCCTTGCAATACAGTGGTTTGCTACTCATTCCACACCACTTTTCCCTTGCAATACAGTGGTTTGCTACTCATTCCACACCACTTTTCCCTTGCAATACAGTGGTTTGCTACTCATTCCACACCACTTTTCCCTTGCAATACAGTGGTTTGCTACTCATTCCACACCACTTTTCCCTTGCAATACAGTGGTTTGCTACTCATTCCACACCACTTTTCCCTTGCAATACAGTGGTTTGCTACTCATTCAACACCACTTTTCCCTTGCAATACAGTGGTTTGCTACTCATTCCACACCACTTTTCCCTTGCAATACAGTGGTTTGCTACTCATTCCACACCACTTTTCCCTTGCAATACAGTGGTTTGCTACTCATTCCACACCACTTTTCCCTTGCAATACAGTGCTTAGCTACTCCAGTTTTACACTAAACTTAAGGTCAGAAAATTTGAAAAATAATCAATATAAATTATTATTAACATACACAATATCATACATTGAAAGTTTCAGAATAATTCAGAAGTCTTTAGCATTTGATACAGCTGTGAACACATGACGTATGAAAGATATGCATACGTACAACACATATTTAAAAAGTTCCAAAACTTTTGGAAAGAAACACATATGATGATTAGGAGACGGCGACATTTCAGTCTGTCCTAGACCATCATTAAGGCGATTGTCATCTTGATCAAACGTCGTCGTCTCCTCATCATCTTGTGTTTGCTTTAGTCATCTTATCTTCAGCCACGTTATTGTGACTCATCGTCAACAAATACATAATCAGGATGGTATTTAATATGCACTTCTGGATATACCATGAAGCTACTTTGACGTTGGTCTAGAAAAACAAAACTATTATTAACTTATCACACTCAAATGACATCTCATTCACCTCCAGACACTGTGCTACAGTATATGCACTTCTCAGCACATGCACGAATATGCATTACAATTCTTCACGAGGAAGCCAGGCCTTAGGCCACTAGCCCTAACACATTGAGTTTACAACTACCAGTACTGTCATTTAAGTCATTTAAAAAATCTGAAACCCTTCTAAATTTGCACACTCAAGAAATTACCAGTACAGTATACAGTATATATTAAAAATAACTTTACAAAAGTACTGTATATATATTTTGTCCACAAGATAAAAACTACAGACACGTATAATGTATTTGTATAATTATGTGTACTAGTAAATGTAAATGAAACTTGTATAAAACAACACACTCGGACAAAAACGAGATAATGCATCAGTGGGCCTCAGTTATCCATGAAGGCAGAACCCAAGTCATGAAAGGAATGTCTTTTATATATTATTTTTTACGGGTTGGGCGGGTGGTGGGGGGGGGGGTAAGGGGCGCCACATAAAAACTGCAGTGCCCCCTATTGGTCAATCACTTCCATCTCCACTCATTTTAGATTTGCAATTGCAATTTTTACATCATGATTATATATACATACATAAATACACACACAGTATATCACTTTCTTTACTACTACTCAATTTCTCCTGTTAATTGACCTATTCAAATATTGAAGCAATTGTTAGTCTTCCAAATATTTCATTTATTTATTTATTTATATACACGAAGGTACATTGGGTTTATGAGAGTACATAGCATTGATGTTTTTACAGTCTTGTAAAACCATTAGAACCTGCCCGAAATGCTAATAGATAATTTTAAGTAGGTAGTTTCTAGCAAAATTGAAAAAATGATAACAGGATAACAGATAAATACTTATTTATTCTTTACAAAAGGTATCAAGTGCTTTATGCAGCCCAAGCAAACATACATCATATGCTTTGGCAAATGCAATGCATCTGGCACTGGATACCCGATATCATACGAGATACAGTATTGTAAAAAAAAAAAAAATTGTTAGAAACGCACTGTATATTAGTGGCTTTATGCACCGTACTTATGTGACTTATGAATCCTCCACTGTTCATGTATCTTTATTAATGTCCTTTTGTCTGAATTATATGTATTATTGTGGTTAATTATTATTTATTCACACACCATCCATTTAAGAATGTCACCAATCACATAAGCTACCTAGTAGCTGAGAGAAATAATGGATATTGACTAAGCTATGCTACACATAAATACTGTATTACAAATTCAGAGAGAAAGTGCTTAAATGAAGTTTGAAGTGCCACTTATCCAACAGAGCAAGAAATAAAGAAACAGAGTGCATAAAATAACACCAAATCAATAGGGCACTTATATACATTTTTACTTTTTTTTTTTTGCGTGCTTGTTTCCAAGGAAAAATAATCTATATTATGGAAAGTGAGGTTAGGACGGGTTAGGTTCAAGTTACACTGTTTAGTGATACATCTATCTAGAGGTTATCTTGAGACGATTTCGAGGCTTAGCGGCCCCGCGGCCCGGTCCTCGACCAGGCCTCCTTTTTGTTACACACCACCCAGGAAGCAACCCGTAGCAGCTGTCTAACTCCCAGGTACCTATTTACCCCTAGGTGAACAGTGCATCAGGGTGAAAGCAACTTTGCCCATTTGTTTCCGCCTCCACCGGGGATCGAACCCGTAACCTCAGGACTACGAATCCGAAGCGCTGTCCACTCAGCTGTGAGGCTTCTAACATTGTTAGATACAGCTCACAATTACCTCCAAACATACTGTATAGCCTATAGAACCAATAACTGGCTACACGGCATGTGACACCTCTCTTAAACGTTTCCATATTAGTTGTTTTTAGCCAAATACAAAAGTTATATCGTCATGTATCTAAACTGAGCAGTAAAATAATAGTAAATAGGTGCCCAGGAGTTAGTCAGCTTGTTGCGGGGGTTGTATCCTTGGCAGGTCAGTAATTTGACCCGGAAGTGTCGGGGATGGGGTTGGTGGGGAAACTGCAATATATGCCTAACATGTACTGAATATATATATATATACACTGGCTGCCTGTTCAACACAATGAATTTATTATTATTATTTCTATTATTATTATTACAGTATTTCTATTATTATTATTTCTTATACTGTATTATTATTATTATTATTATTATTATTACTGTATTATTATTACTATTTCAATTATAACTATTATATCAACATCACAGATGTGACCTTTGACAAGCCGCCAGCTTCCTGTCCACATCAAGGCCACTTGCGAGATCGAGACTTTCAGGTATATTCAGTTTATGTAATAGTAAAACTTAGCAGTTAATATTTCCCAATGTAAAATTGATAGAAAAATAGTATTAAGTATTCTGTACAAGATTATTATCCATCAATAGCACATGATGGATACTGGGAACTGGGACTGGGAACCACTGGTTCCCAGTCTTTTTAATGAACCGATCTATTTCATCTTAATACTAGGACAGTACTCAAACGACCCCAAGGGGGTTGACCTGCTATTTGGGAACTACCAACATATTAACTACCAAAATGTTGGAATTACCAACATACGCGCAGCGTTTCTGCCCGAAACGCTGCGCGTACTAGTGGCTTTACAAGAATGTAATTACTATACTATGTATCCTCACAATCCCAATGTACCTTCTTGTATATATATAAATAAATAAAATATACGACAGCCACAGTACCCATTGCCCCCTATTGGTCAATCTCTTCCCTCTCGACTCATTTTAGATTTGTGCTTATAAATAATCTTATAAATTTGATCAGGTTTTAAAAATTTAATAAAAAAAAATGCACAGAAATATTGTGTGCTTATACATACATAATGAATTCATTTGCAGATATAGAAAGATAACAAATTTAAGTGACGATTTACATTCTTTTAATATATTTTTTTAATTGATTGTTGTATTCTACTCAATGGCAAGTAACAGAGGGTTACTTGCTGGCAAAAATGTACTACGTACACAAAACAAATGGCCATCTAACCTTTGTGAACCCAAATACAAACAGTAATATATTGTGTAAACTTTTGACACCTTTTTGATATCATATAACTTTTTGATATCATATAACTTTTTGATATCATATAACTTTTTGATATCATATAACTTTTTGATATCATATAACTTTTTGATATCATATAACTTTTTGATATCATATAACTTTTTGATATCATATAACTTTTTGATATCATAACTTTTTGATATCATATAACTTACTTTTTGATATCATATGACCCTGTTTCATGCCTCTCTTCAGTTTCAATCATACATACAGTACAGTATCATGATTCTTCTCAACAACTGATAACAAGAAATTATATCAAAATTCGTCAGATTCTGCTCAAAATTTAAGTGTGAAAAGCAGCCTATGGCATAAGTCATCGTAATAAAGGTAGAGCAAGGGTTTAATGATGAAGCCCCAATTTTAATGCTATATGCACATAATTTCATGACTTCAAAATTTCATTTTATATACTGACACTGTACTTTAATGATTTATAACACGTAGGCATAATGAAAATGCCACAATCAAGTATAATTGCAACATAAAAATTTAGGCCTGCTGTATATGTGTTCACTTTTGTGTAGAATATCACCGATATTCTACACAAAAGTGAAATTTTTTATAAACAATTATTAACTAGTACTTTGAGCTTGAATTAAGACAGATATAGAATCATACTTATAACAAACTACATTTTTACTGCAAGTAGTATAAAAACCATGTACTGTACAATATACTGAATAGAATTTTTGGTATTTTTAGAGTACCATTTCAAGTTGCAAACATGTAAGCCTATGCAAGCACAGACAAGCGTAAATTACAGTGTATTGTAAGACGAGCAATATAATACAAGAACAAAACTCGTCAAAAGAATCGCAAGGTCTCTCACTAGTGCAACTACCTAATGAATTTGTCCCTAAATCACAAGAAAAATTGATTGAATCCTTAATTTTTACTTTCCTATGTTATCATTTCTTACTCTGCAACATTTATCATAACTAAACATAGTTATGATAGTCTCTTGTTACAGCAACAGTAGTGATAAAAGTAATGGTCTCAAAACAGCAATTTCCTAATTTATCAACCTATAAAATTAAGCAAGATATATACTGTATACAAAAATGCCAGGCATATGATCTAATTATAATCTGTTAAGCAATAAAGCTCTTGGATAATGCCTGTCAAGTGATTTTTGAGTCATTGACCCTAAATTTTTTGCTTGTAGACAAGGTCTCCAGCAAGAGCAAGTGTGCCTTTTTTTTACAATGCATATTCTGAAAGAATTTAAAAGGGTCAATCATTCATAGGTTTAGAATCACTACCTTAAAATAAATTAAAGGTCAAGCTAGCAGAGAATACATGAAAAAAGCCAAGAATAAAGTTGTCTGGGTTCATTACACCCCTGTTTACAATTTACAGTATTTGCAATATATTGATAATACAGTATTTGTAAAATTGATGCCTAGTAATACAACAATACAATATAATGTATTATCACCTAGTATGTAGATATGCATATAGGCAATTTAATACATTTGTAAGGAAATACTAAACAAAATACAAAACTTTTATAAACATTTAAGAATCTGTAAAAGTTTATGCCAATTTAAAAAGGAAGAAAAGTGTGAAAGTAAATTAATAAAATAATTATTGGACAATTTGCTAGCATGTTATCATGTCAATCATGAGGGAATCCATGATATCTTAATTATTCATTAAATCCTTACATGACACAGTACTTATTTAATAAACCTGCTTCATTAGTTCCATTCTACAATCTATATCCTGTTTAAAACCCCATGAATTTGTTATGATAGCAGCCCATAACAGCTGACACCCCACACCAATTAAAAAATAAATGATAATATGATCCAAGGTAATATATCTTCTAATAAAACTGGTTTTATTACTTGTTAACTAAATAAAAATGGCACCGGCATAGGCTAAACCCAAAAAAAGAATTTGTAATGCAAAATGTCACAGACCTGGTTATGGGGTCAATGATCTCTTGACCAAAACAAAGAAGTTAAACAATTCATTTTCCAAGTAATGTAATCTAATACAGGTATATGATTCAATAGCTTGCATCTACTATATTTTCCTTTTTGAATTTGTTAAAAAATAATACATTAAATCTCAAAATTAAAGATTCAAAACAAATAAGATTAGTATTCATTTTGAAATGTCATTTGAGCTATATTTAAAGTTTCTTATAATATAAATATCAAGACCTTATCACTGCTATTATGCACTCATATTTTAGGTAGATGTTGTATGTATTTTAGCCTTTGTGATTAATAACATTCACTAATGTTGCATTTAATTACTAAACTGACTTGCAATGCAAGCTCTTAAGTTTATTGAAGTTATTGTCAATTTCATTTGCAATATTTGCAATGAATAAATAATTACACATTTTCTAACATTCACTAATAACTAGGCCTACATATATTTCAAAAACAAACAGTTTAACTATTTGTCTAATAAAAAAGTTATCTTATATATGAACATCATATCAAGATGACATTCTTCAGGGTCTATAACATCAATTAAATTCCTTCAGCTACAAGCTCTAATTCAAACACTATATCCAACTCCAATCCAATAACTTATCTCTCAAACTATTATTTAATAGAAATAAATAGTACCCTAACCCATTTAGTATAAATGTTAACCTAACCTTCAAAATAGTTTATGAGTACTAGAATAAAGGTTATACAGTTAAATATGTTAATTGTATGGGTTAAATTTCCCCAAAAATGACAAAAATTACCAGCAAGGTAGACAATGTGTATATGACAATAGTGATTGTTGATGTTATAGAGGTTAGAAGGTTGTTGATAGTGAGGTTATCCTGGCCACAAGGAGTTGTTATCATGTGAGGCAGAATGTAAACAAGACACTTCCCACCCCCAACACACTCACCACTTGGCCCTTGCCTCGAGTGCCACTCCACACACACCCGCAGCCACAGCTGGCCCCGTGCCTCCAGGCCACCCTGGCACACACCTGGCCCCCACCACACACCTGTCAGCTCACACAACAGGCTCGCAACCTGGCATGTCAAGTCGGCAGGTGCCTCTCCTCCAGTCCTGGCCGCCTCCAGTCACAGTTTTCCGCACTTTGCACCACTTTCCCCCCTTACAATCACCCCCACTGCCACTTTGCCACATCCTCACGGCCGTCCCAAAGTCACTTAGAGCCTCAAATTTCTAGACATCTTTCGAAATTACTTTCAGATATGAAAATCAATGGCCCACTGCCAAACATAAACAGAGAAGAGGTGGCCAGGCCGGGGCCACCACACCTTATCTCGCACTCGCACATCTCTGCACAGCCTCACTAGGCCTCCTCACAGCCGCCACAGGGGAGGTTTCACCCCAAAATTCACTGTCACGGGCCGTTAATGGCCGTAAATGCCAAAAAATCAAGAGGGAGATCATCCGCGGGGGCTTCATAGATGGCAGCACTGCGCAATTTCCACTTTTTAACACCGAGCTTATTTCTCGCCCTCTCCCGCCTTATTTCCCCTCATTTCACCCCTCACGGGCACTAGTGAGGCCCTGGCCGCCTCTAAATCACCCTTAGAAGCGGCTATACGGCTCATACGAGGCGCCAAAGGGCGAAATATTGAGCGAGGAGGTGTGTTGTTTCTGTCTGACAACCCATTATTTACCCAGGGACGCATATTAACACTAGAACTACAGCCCAGCCACTTACCTGGTCAACACCTTTCATGCGCGAGAGTAAACACTGCATCTCTTTACAGCCTAAAACAGTGCTCAACAAGGATAAAACCGCCGCGGAAGAGACTAAAATTACATATAAATGTACATATACGGCTTGGCGCCATTGTGGTGGGAAAAAATAAACGTCTCTGTGGGTCACGTGACCGGGGCGAGAAGCCGCGAGAGCCCGCGAGGCTCCGCGAGATTACACACGGACCACCACTTTATTAAGTACATTTAAATGTTTAGAAGTAACGCAGCGTCTTCCCTTTCCCCCCATTAACTCCCCTACATAATCTTGATATATTCACCAACATATATCTTAACATATCCGTTATTAACCCCCATTAATTCTCTTAAATACTAATGGGGAAAAATTGTTGCTGGAACAAGTCTCTGCAATTCAGAAATGTGGAATGGTATCGACATTGCACTCATTAACATTTTCTTAATATTACCTAATTATGCAAACATAATGTATTAGCTAATTTATAAGCTTGAGCTCTTCTCTTAGCTAGATATATGAGCGTTAAGTGACACTTTAAAAAAAATAATATTATATGCGGGGAAGGTTTAAAGGGCCGTATAAGTTGCATGATCGGCGCGTTAATTGATTAGTTTAGTTAAATATGTTAATGTGGCTGATGGTTGGTGATGGTTAGTGAGGGTAGATGCGTATATATGGCCTGGCGTAAGGTTGATGTAGAGCGTAAGTGCGTAGAGGACGCACTAGCATTACTATGGCATGCGTTAGTGCCTCAGAACTGTCACATCTCGCCAGCTGATTGCCATCTACCTCCCGCGCGTTACGCTAATTCCAAAAAAAAAAAAATTTGAGGATAATAACGCCGCTGACGCAAAGACGCGCCGTTAGGAGGAGGTGTCTGAGGGAGGGTTGACAGCGGGGAGGTGCTAGATACATGAGGTGCAGCCGGGGAGGTGTCAATGAAGCGAAACAATGTGGGAGAAGCCAGTGATGAATGAACCTTCCCGCCGCGTCTCGTTCACTAGTAAACAAACCCCACGAAATGGCGGCAGAGACGGTGAGTGCCGCCGCTTGTCCTCCTCCTTTAAACCCTTCCTGCCGCCCACCCGGGCGCCCATACCGCCGCCCACGCCAGCCCTAAGGGGCGGCACTATCCTCACCACCCCTGGAACGCCCATAAACCCCGCGGGGTGGCCGCAGGAGCCATCTATACCCGCATTTTACCTGCGGCTCACCGCAGCCTCCACCTGCGACCCTTCAATGCGTCTCCTCCACCACAACTCAAAATCAAAATCAAAATCCTCGGCTCTGCAGTGGTCATACATCGGTATACATACCTCCTTCATGTATACTTTTGGCATACACTACAGCTGTCAAGATGGCGTGACGATAACAGCTGCTTTAATTGGTATTAAGTTGTAAACAGCTGACAGTTGTAAACAGCTGACAGTTGTAAACAGCTGATAGTTGTAAACAGCTGATAGTTGTAAACAGCTGACAGTTGTAAACAGCTGATAGTTGTAAACAGCTGATAGTTGTAAACAGCTGATAGTTGTAAACAGCTGATAGTTGTAAACAGCTGACAGTTGTACACAGCTGACAGTTGTAAACAGCTGATAGTTGTAAACAGCTGATAGTTGTAAACAGCTGACAGTTGTACACAGCTGACAGTTGTAAACAGCTGATAGTTGTAAACAGCTGATAGTTGTAAACAGCTGACAGTTGTAAACAGCTGACAGTTGTAAACAGCTGATAGTTGTAAACAGCTGACAGTTGTAAACAGCTGATAGTTGTACACAGCTGATAGTTGTAAACAGCTGACAGTTGTACACAGCTGATAGTTGTAAACAGCTGACAGTTGTGCACAGCTGACAGTTGTAAACAGCTGACAGTTGTAAACAGCTGACAGTTGTAAACAGCTGATAGTTGTAAACAGCTGATAGTTGTAAACAGCTGACAGTTGTAAACAGCTGATAGTTGTAAACAGCTGATAGTTGTAAACAGCTGATAGTTGTAAACAGCTGATAGTTGTAAACAGCTGACAGTTGTACACAGCTGATAGTTGTAAACAGCTGATAGTTGTAAACAGCTGACAGTTGTAAACAGCTGACAGTTGTAAACAGCTGATAGTTGTAAACAGCTGATAGTTGTAAACAGCTGACAGTTGTAAACAGCTGACAGTTGTAAACAGCTGATAGTTGTAAACAGCTGACAGTTGTAAACAGCTGATAGTTGTACACAGCTGATAGTTGTAAACAGCTGACAGTTGTACACAGCTGATAGTTGTAAACAGCTGACAGTTGTGCACAGCTGACAGTTGTAAACAGCTGACAGTTGTAAACAGCTGACAGTTGTACACAGCTGATAGTTGTAAACAGCTGACAGTTGTACACAGCTGATAGTTGTAAACAGCTGACAGTTGTACACACCTGACATTTGCGTGATGACAGGGCCGCGGGGACACCTTAAGTGCCACTTTGAAGGCAATGGTGCTTAAGTGCCACTTTGAAGGCAATGGTGTTTAAGTGCCACTTTGAAGGCAATGGTGTTTAAGTGCCACTTTGAAGGCAATGGTGCTTAAGTGCCACTTTGAAGGCATTGGTGTTTGTGTACTTCTTTGAAAGCATTGGTACTTGAATGACACTTTGAATACATTGGTGCTTGAGTGTTACTTTGAAAACATTGGTGCTTGGGCATTACTTTGAAGGCATTAGTACTCGAGTGCCACTTTAAAGTCATTGGCACTTGAGTGGCACTTTGAAAGCATTGGTGTTTGAGTGATGCTTTGAATGCATTGGTGCTTGATTGGCTCATTGAAAACATTAGTGCTTGATTGACACTTTGAAGGCATTAGTGCTTGAATGATACTTTGAAGGCATTGTGCATGAGTGACACTTTGAAAGCATCGAGCTTGAGTGATACTTTGAATGAATTGATGCTTGTTTGCTACTTTGAATTCCTTGGAATTACTGGGCAACAAGCATCACTTTGATACCAACTGGGCAACAGGTGTCACTTTGATACCAACTGGGCAACAAGCATAACTTTGATACCAACTGGGCAACAGGTGTCACTTTGATACCAACTGGGCAATAGGTGTCACTTTGATACCACCTGGGCAACAGGTGTCACTTTGATACCACCTGGGCAATAGTGTCACTTTGATACCAACTGGGCAATAGTGTCACTTTGATACCAACTGGGCAATAGGTGTCACTTTGATACCACCTGGGCAACAGGTGTCACTTTGATACCACCTGGGCAACAGGTGTCACTTTGATACCACCTGGGCAATAGGTGTCACTTTGATACCACCTGGGCAACAGGTGTCACTTTGATACCACCTGGGCAACAGGTGTCACTTTGATACCAACTGGGCAACAGGTGTCACTTTGATACCACCTGGGCAATAGGTGTCACTTTGATACCACCTGGGCAACAGGTGTCACTTTGATACCAACTGGGCAACAGGTGTCACTTTGATACCACCTGGGCAACAGGTGTCACTTTGATACCAACTGGGCAACAGGTGTCACTTTGATACCACCTGGGCAACAGGTGTCACTTTGATACCACCTGGGCAACAGGTGTCACTTTGATACCACCTGGGCAACAGGTGTCACTTTGATACCAACTGGGCAACAGGTGTCACTTTGATACCACCTGGGCAACAGGTGTCACTTTGATACCACTGGACCACAGGTTCTACTTTGATACCCACTGGTCTGCAGATGCCTCTTTGGTGCCACTGTAACACAAGTGTCACTGAGGTGCCCACTGTGATGCCCACTGGGCAATAAGCATTATTGTTAGGGGACACTGGTCGACCACGCACAGGGTGACGCTGGTCCACCACGTGCTGGGTGATGCTGGTCCACCACCCACTGAGTGACGCTGGTCCACCACACGCTGGGTGACGCTGGTCCACCACCCGCTGGGTGACGCTGTTCCACCACACGCAGGGTGACGCTGGTCCACCACGTGCTGGGTGACGCTGGTCCACCACGTGCAGGGTGACGCTGGTCCACTACACGCAGGGTGACGCTGGTCCACCACGTGCTGGGTGACGCTGGTCCACCACACGCTGGGTGATGCTGGTCCACCACCCGGTGGGTGACGCTGGTCCACCACACGCAGGGTGACGCTGGTCCACTATGCACTCTGTGATGCCGGCCGCCACAACCTGGGTGACACTGGCCATCACGCAGGTCTAGTTCTTAAGTGATATATACAATTCATAAATAAAACATTGTCTGACAGATTTATCCTATAAGTTGCATTAACCATATATTGCAGGACCGGATGAAGATACTGGAAGCCTGTACAGCCGCTGAGAACTTTACGAAGTTGTACTATGAATTTGTAGACAAGGTAAGAAGACACGCTCAGACTGGATTAGTTCTTCTGCGATTAATACCATATCCATGTTAGTCATGTTGAACATATTCTAAATTGTGCCTAAATAATAATAATAATAATAATAATATTTTACATAAAATTGTGGCAGATTTTTCAAAGTTGGTGAGAAAAATCTTGCAAACTATGACTACTTTGCATCCTACTAGGCCTTTACTTTACCTCATCACCAGATGAGGTAAACTTTTGAGTCGAGAAGAAAGTCAACCGTACTAACATTGTATGTCTCTCTCTCTCTCTCTCCAGCTTCTTGTACATTGTCTTGAATATAAAGCAAAAATAGTTACTGCATTGTGGCTTTTTCAGATGAGGCATAAGTTGTTCTTGAATATAAAGCAAAAATAGTTACTGCATTGTGGTTTTTTCAGATGAGGCATAAGTTGTCCAAATTATACTTAGAGGATGGCAAGTTGGTGTGGAATGGCACTGCCGTAGATGGCAACGTAAACATTCAAAAGTTTTATGAGGATTTGCCGACAAGTTTTCATATCATCACATGTTTGGACTCTCAGCCTGTTCGTGGTAAGTGTATTATTGCAAATTATCACCAAGATTCTTAGATTTAGAAGTGAGCTGAGATGCAAGTAGAAATTTAAATTGAAATCAGTTTATTGAGGTAAAATACACACAAAGGGATGAGGTAGCTCAAGCTGTTCTCACCCCGTTCAGTACATCGTGTTAATACATACATATAAACACATCACAAACAATAAACATATTACCAAACATTCTGAGAGATAAACATCTACATTTCCTATGCAAGTAGAGGTTTTGCATGATTTTCATAAATATTTTTAAACTTCAGTTTTTTTAATTATTACAGTATTATTATTATTCATTATTATATTATTTATAATATTAATTAAGAAAATTTATTAGGTGTGCATTACTATTCCATCATATTACCAAATTCATTGTTATAAAAACTTGTTATATATACTAAAACAATGCTTATGTTAAAGTCTTTTAACAAAATTGTCCTTGCGCTAAAACTTACCAGCCATGTCTCAGGTTGAATTGGTTTACCCATTGACTCAAGAAATTGCATGAATTTGAAGTTGTGCTTTCCATTGTCAGTGATATAACGACAGTGGCGCCTCAATTAACGAATTTAATCCGTGCTGGCACTGAGCTCGTCGTGTGAAAAGCTCGTCTTGCGAAACAACTACAGTACTACTTTGTCGTTGGAGGTGTCCGAGAACCAGCAGGAACGTTAGGAAGCACCATGTGCTTTGCTCGTTAATCGAGCGAAAGCTCGTCAATCGAGACAAATTTTCTGCGAGTGGCTCGCTCGTTACTCAAAATGCTTGTAACTGGAGTCGCTCGTCACTCGAGGTTCCACTGTATTGTTATGTAGTCCAGTATATCAATTAAATTAGCATTTCAGATCTTGGTCACGTAATTTTTTTGGTTGAAGTTTTTACGTACAGAAGTTAAGTACAGTATACGTGCTTGACCCGGATCATTTCTGTATCGGTATTACATTGAGGCTTATATATTGGCCTTTAAAATAGTATCAAACTTAGTTGTGTTCCTTCAGTACTATGCCATTATTCTTGCCTCATAACATATTTATATCTAGGACTAATTTCATTTTTTTCACTTTGATCTTCAGTGTTTTATATTAATAATGTGGTATTAAAGTAAATTCTGTCTTGGTAAACAATCTTTTTAAGTGTGTAGTGATATAAAAAGTAAGAGGATTTTGCACATTCAAGTAAGTTTATTGAAGCATAAATACACACACAAAGGGATGAGGTAGCTCGAGCTATCCTCACCCTGTTATTTTGTACATTGTAGCAAGAGGTCAATAATAAGGACTAACTATAAAAATCCAAGGTTGTGTAGATTTGATTTTACTATAAAGATAGTACAATGTAGTTATAACATTCTGTAACATTAAGTTCTAAAATACATTACATAAATATGGAGTAGAACTTACGGTAAGTTATTCCAACAAGTTTCTGAAGAGCAAAATATTAGTACTATGTTGGTAGTCACTGCCCTTCATTCTGAAAAAAAATGTGTTCAAGTGATTACTTTTTGACGCAATTTAACACTTTCGCGCTATCTGGACGCGCCGGCGCGTTCGGTTTCGTCTAACGCTAACGCATAGTGGACATAAAGTTATGTCAACTTTTAAAATATTTGTATAAAATTCAATTTTTATCCGATTTACTTTGGGTTTGTTTCAAACTGCGCGCCATGAGGCTCTCTTTCTCACCACTAGGCTTCATGGTACAATAAGTTCATGAAAGGTGTGGATAACTTCGATCAAATGGTATTTTGTCCCAAACGGGTTGCAGGTGGGTGACTTTAGCCGTTTATACTGGTAATTCTTCCCCTATATCATGTATTATATGCATATGTCTGTTTAGGGAATTTTATTCCGATCAATATACAACCAAAAATAACTGTGTGCAACAAGTATAAACTTGACAAACATAAGAAAAGTAAAAATATTTCGTGTATGTTTGACGCTCACTGATATGTTCCAGCGTTGTTTTATATTTGTCGTTATTCTAACTTACGCTTTGTTGATATTTTTTACCTATGGGCACATAGAACATTCTATTGCGAACACATTGACATAAAAATGAATGACGTACATAAAAAATTAATGTCATGAGAGTGAAATAAGTATAAACTTTCAAAGCGCCGTGCGTCGTCCCGTCACCGATACCGGAAAACAATTTCACCACTTCCCACACTCTTGCGGGCGGGCTGCATCATTATTCTACGCTTATATTCATATCACCGTGTTGGGAATTTCATTGCGAGTCTATTGATACCAAAATTAACGCTGTAGAACAAGTGTGGAGGTGATTACAATCCCAAGAGTAAAAACATTTTGTTGCTGATGGGCGCTCATGGCGAGTCATCTACGTAGTTATTTATTTGGTGCTGGTATCCCTATATGTTTCGTGACTTATTTTACTGATGTTCTTCTAGAGAATTTTATTGCGAACACGTTGGTACCAAAATGAAATACGTAGCATGAGAACTAAGGTCAGAAGAGTAAAAAGAGTATACACATTTTTGTTTTTACGCTTAAGCGATAAAAACGCAGCGCGCACATTCGGTTGGCTGAGTGACCTTTGCGGAGAGCGCGAAAGTGTTAAAGTCGGACAAATATTATGTCAACTTGGGCCATTCTTCCTAGTTTTCCTTGTGGCATTTCTCATCCCTGATTTAAATGAACAAATCCTCGTCACGGCCCTTGTGGATTTGTTCATTTGATGCATCACGTTAGTGTGATCTCTGTGTGTAGTGTAGTGTAGTGTCATCCCTGATTTGTTTCTAATGTTTCAGAGGAAGCTGTCGGCGAGCAGTCAACAATCCAGGTGACAACATCTGGCTTTGTCACCTTCAAAGAACACAAGCATCTATTTAACCAGTCATTCCTCATTACAGCCAAAGAAGATAAATGGAAAGTAGTTTCAGATGTATTTAGATTTCAGCAGTAGCATCATGAAGAAAACTACATCTTGAAGTTTTATGATAAATATGTATTTTTGGATCTAAGTATATGTTTTTTTATAAACATTTTCTTTAATTATCTTGAAATCTGTAGTAGTCAAATGAACCAGAGGACTGTAAAATTTAAGCAATGACAAAAAAAATCATTTTTTGGCATAAGAGAGCTTCATGAAACCTGTCCTAACCAAAAAATTTAATCTAGCTAAAAGATTGTACAACTACCGACACTAGTATTTACTTAACAACACTACAATTCACAGTATATTGTGACAATCAATATGAATATCATTTCCAAGCACGAGAGATCTTTCATAATACTGTACACTGTGTAGGGAAACACAGTAGTCAAAATCTTGGCAAACATTAATACTGTACTATATTCTGTGAAAGATGTCATATCAAATACCTGTGCCTTGTCACCAAGGTTTTTAATTACAACAATGTTGAAATTCTTAACCATTCTTTCCAGTACCGTACTAAATATTTTATAATCTTACAAATTTCAATAGAGGATATTAACCCTTCAGCTGCAGCCCCATACATTTGGAGGATCTAAATAAGGCACACACTAAAATTTGAATTTTCTTTTACTAATTATAAACAAATTTACCTATCTTTTTTTATAAAATTATAATAATTTATGTTATTGTCCCTATTAGGCAGGCAATGAGTCACAATAACGTGGCTAAAGTGTGTTGACCATACCACACACTAGAAGGTGAAGGGACGACGACGTTTCGGTCCGTCCTTGGCCATTCTCAAGTTGATCTGTCGAAACGTCGTTGTCCCTTCACCTTCTAGTGTGTGGTCTGGTCAACTTGTCCCTATTATTTTTTAGTAAGAATATAGGGCAAATAGCATAAGGCTAGACTCACAAGACATACAGAATAAATTGCCTGAACAAATACAGTACAACAAAATAGCAGGGGAGGAGGCTTTTTTGTTTTGTTTTTATTACATTTCTAAAGAAAATTATTACATTCTTTCCATATATACAATAAATGTCATTAGATACTTTTTAGATGATAAAATCTATTTTGGCAATTGTTAATTTTTGAGTCGATATCTGTCATTAAAGAGAGTGTATCCTTCTGTCTGTCTGAGATTGGAGACCAGATGCTCGAGACCAACTTCCTCCAACTCTCCAAGATATATGCGGGGTTACAGAAGTGTAAAGAAACTGTGCGTTTTTCATAGGTATCAGTTTTTCAGTGCTTTTGAATATTGATTTTTCCAAGAGAGGAGGGGGGGAGGGAAGTAAGAAAAGAGGGAAGGTGGGGTGGGAGAGAGATGGAGATAGGGGAAAGAAAGAGGGTACAGGAGAGAGATTCAGGCACTGCCTGGTAATCCCATTTGCTAGAATATAAATAGTGGTCCCTATACCTGATTATAAAAGTTTTCACAATGCAATGAAAATCATTATAAAAGCAAGAAATTAAACTAGAAAATGGTTATGTAATTTAAGATAAAACAAAAAGTTTGTCTTCCTTTCCTTTACAGTAACATGAATGCCTTTCTTACCAATTCATGTTTTCCAGCAATTTTGACATTTCAATACAAAAATACTGTGTATTTAGCATTAATAATAACACTTTTATAAGTGGTCAAATTTTGAAGGGTGGAGGCCAAGACCGTCAGTAGTTTCAAAGCGTTATATGACAGAGTGCTGGGAAGACGGGACACCGCAAGCGTAGCTCTCATCCTGTAAATACACTTAGGTAATTCACCTATTTAAATCCACCATACTGGCTGATATTTCAAGGTCATTCCTAAGGCCCAGATGGTCCAGACATTTATTAAAACTTGCCTGTCACATTGTAGGACAACTTTTTGTCAAGGATCCTGCTTATACTAATATATATCCCTTTTTGCCCCACACTATGAGCAAAATTTAAAATGTTAATCTTTCATGTGATGGATATCTACCAGGAGAACCTTGCCGAATACAACCGTGTTTCTTAACCTTTGTACCCCTTGAACTAATTCTGAGTTGCACTTTAGATACATACACACACACACACACACAGATTTCATTGTCAAGTGAAAGGTAACTTTCTGTCTGCTTTTGATAGTAGTTAAATGAGAAAAATTAAACACAAAAATGGCTCAAAAATATAATTGCATATGATTAGAATTAACCTATTTATCACAATCTCTTGCAGTAGAACTAATAGTTACCCCGATTAAGAAAAATGCCAGTACTATACAGTATAGAATAGGTTTCACTCACAAGGTAGTATAACATAGGTTATACTGTGTCTCTCTGCTTCTGCCTACCTGATCTTGTATAATATTGCCTAGGGTAAAATATTTGTTACATATAAATACAATACAGTACATACAACAACATATTCTATTCCATCAGCAATAATATTTACAACTGGATGCCAGCTCCAATGGTACAGTAATATGAGATACAAGTCTTGAGTATTATATCACACTTCCAATGATCTTAATGATAAAAATCAACACGATACATCCATACCATTTTAAAAATAAATATTTGGAGATTCAAATTACAAGAAAACCAAAGGTGTAATAATAATAATACACAGAGAAATCACATTAACATGATATATCAAAGAATAAATCCACAGGTGCCTCGATGAGGGTTCAAATCTATGCGCGCAACAGTTGGTACAATCGTGGTACAGTTGATTAGAGCGCGTCTGGGAATACTCAGAGCATAGGTTCGAATCCTCATCACGGCTCCTGTGGATTTATTCTTTAATATTAAGAATTCTTCATTATAAAGGTGTACAAAATTTTAATTAAAGCTAAAATTGCATAGAAATATGAAAACGCTCGGTGAAAGTAACACGCATATGAATTAGGGTGATTCAATATTACACTGAACACTCTCCTGAGAGACATGTGAATCAGGGAGCTCAGTATTACACTGAACATTCTCCTGAACGTTCTCCTGACATGCATCGTCAATACCTTGCACTTCCTCATTTGTCAGCAAGCCGCTGCCCAGTGCCTGACGATGCCTCTTCCTGCTCATGGCAATCCCTACAGCAAGAATGCCTCCAGAAACGCCAATGAGAGAGAGTACTGTGCCCATGATCAAGAGAATTCTTTTCATCTTCAAAATACTGGCATTGCCTGGAGAGCACATTGCATCCTCCACAGCGTAAGGTGAAGTTGAATTGGTTTCCAAATAAAATATGCCACCCACTCTGCAATAAAAAAAATTCATTCTAACTTTAACATAATATGTAGAGTATATTTATTTTTAAATTTAGTAAAGATTAAAATCACTTAAAACACACTTTTGAAAACCCACAACTTTGAGCACTACAGGCCATAGATTCAAACTAAGAAAACAAGTGCTAAACAATATAAATAAATTATTTTGTGAATAGAGCAGAAGACAGATAAAATCAATTAAGCAAGAGGGTAGCGAATGCCAAAATCATTAGAACCTACAAAAAAAAAAACACGACAAAGATTAGAGTGAGACGGGACACCACGTGTATACTGTACTTCTATCTAATCTCCACTATTTTAAGAACTCCTGTGATTTTCACTATTAAACCTCTCAGTACAACAACCACCTGCTCCCCCCCATAACAAAAAGTAAGGTCTTCTGATATGATAACTCCTAAATCTCTTACATTGCTTTTTTCAATCAACAGTGTGGTTTAACTGTTTTATATACGGTTTTTGCTTTGATATCCATATTAAACAACATGTTATTTTCGAGGCCCACTGAAAGACTTTATTAACGTAGGATTGGAGATTTGCTGTGTTCCCTAAATTGTCTTCACTCATGAAAATCCTAGTGTCATCTGTAAGGGATGATACAGTACTATAGTCGGTATCCTTGTCTATGTCTGATATAAGGATGAGGAAAAGTACCGGAGCAAGCACAGTACTTTGAAGGGACTGAGCTTTTCACGGTAGATGATTCAGATTTTACTATGTTGAGTATTACACTCTGGGTTCTGTTTGTTAGAAAGTTGCTGCTTCCTAACACAATAAATTAACAGAATCACATCAATAAACTGGAAAATGTGCAAAGGCATGCTACAAAATAGCTTCCAGACCTGATGAACAGGAGTTATGAAGAGAGGCTGAGACGTTAAATATGCCAAAGCTAGAAGATAGAAGAAAAAGAGGCAATATGATCTCCACTTACAAAATTAATAATGGGAATTAACTAAATTGACAAAGAGGAATTCCTGAAACCAACAACCTCAAGGACATGAGGTCATAGAGTCAAGCTAGGGAAACAAAGGTGCCAAAAATATAGTAGAAAGCTTTCTTTTGCAATCAGGAGTGCTAGACAGTTGGAACAAGTGAGAAAGTTGTGAGGCCAAAACCGTAAGTACTGTTGTTTCAAAATGCTATATAACGGTGAGTACTGGGAAGACGGAATACCACGAGCATAGCTTTCATACACTAACTACACTATTAAACACACATGCATGTTTGTGCTTATATTAAGGTCCCCCTTCCAGGATGCAACCCGACAACAAGCTGACTAACTCATGCATACTTATTTACTGCTAGGTGAAGAGAGCATAAAGTGATAGGAAACATGACCCGACTATTTCTGTCCCACCTGGGGTTCAACCCCGGAATCCCCGATTGTGAGTCGAGAATGAACCCAACTATAATACCGGGGAGAGATGAGTACATCAGTGAGGTTGAAATGTGGGTAATCTGCAGGTACGATGAGGTCTATACGGAAATTATTAAATGTCAAGGTGAAAAAGAAATGAAGTAGGTTTGGAGAATTTTCCGACAGGTTTGAAATTGCAGTCTTCACAAGCCATCAAATCTACATGTTTACATTAGCACCTTTCATAACCTGACGCCCATTAGACTTTTACGGTACTCTCTCATAATTACAATTAGGAAATTATACAAGCATTTTAATAAACAAATATTACACAAACATTACCTGGTGTCGACAAAGAAACCCATATACTGAGCATTTTCCCCACACGAGCAAAAGCCTTCTTCATAGTCATTCCAATTAGAGCAATTCCTTGCCAAGAATAATGTACTGTCAATCCCATAGTCAAGACTTTCTAGAAAATATTTGTAAGCCATCATATGGTCACAACCATATTCGCCTGCAAATACCAAAAAAAGTATTAAATAAAAATGTAAACATACATACATACATGTATATACTGTATATATAATGATAATTAAAGATATGGACTATACACAAACATGTAAAAATTCTAGATTGTCAGTTTTATGCTAATTGTTTATTTTAGGAGGCCATAGCACCTCATAACACTACATTCATACTAACTCATGCATACAATAACTTTCATTTGTCCTCTAACTGTGCACTATAAATTACATCAGTTTCCTGGTGCATATCTTTAGGACTTTTGAACATTATGGAGCATATTAAATCTCCCACAGGCAAATTGCACATGGGCCTCTATCCTTGAGGACTACAGAAGCAATTTAATGGTTAAAGAAAGCTAAATTTCCTCCATTTTTTTATCTTAATTTGTATTAATCCTGATCTTGTTCGTTTACACACACAAATTACTTTTGCTTTTGTTCGTTTACACATTCCCTTCGTTTTTCATAAATGGAATTCAATGTGGATAAATGCCATGTTATGGAATGTGGATGCGGAGAAAATAGACCACACACAACTTGCAAATTATGTAGAATGGAATTACTGAACTCTAATAACGAACGAGACCTAGGAGTGGTTTTGCATAGTAAGCTGTTGCCAGAGGAACACATAAAGAACATTGTAAGGAGCATATGCATCACATTTCAACTTCAGACTTGCTTTTAATTATATGGATGGTGAAATATTGAAGAAACTGTTGGACTTTTGCGAGACCAAAACTGGAATATGCAGCAAATCTCAAGAAGCACAGAAAGAAACTGGAAAAGGTGTAGCGCCATGCTACAAAATGGCTTCCGGAACTGAAAAACAAGTTTCGAGGAGACTACCAACATTAAACGTGCCAAAACTAGAAGATAGAAGAAAGAGGTGTAATATGATCACAACATACAAAATTCTAACAGAAATCGACCAAATTGACAAGGAGGAATTCCTTAAACCAGCAACATCACGAACAAGAGGAAACACATTCAAGTTAAGGAAACAGGTGCCGAAAAAACATTTAGAAAGTTTTCTTTTGCAAACAGAGTGGTAGACAGTTGGAACAAGCTAAGTGAGAAGGTGGTGGTGGTGGTGGTGGAGGCCAAAACTGTCAGTAGTTCCAAAGTGTTATACGACAAAGAGTACTGGGAAGACGGGACACCACGAGCTTAGCTCTCATCCTGTAACTACACTTAGGTGATTACACTTGCATTACTCCTATGAATATATACTACAATAAAAGAATTTGTATTTTATTTTAAATCCAGAAACATTCAATACTAGCACACTGGATCATTAATTAACACAATATTCTGTGTCCCCACATGCACATCGCACACCATTCACATTTGCTGAGTGGTAGACGGTTGGAACAAGCGATAGGATGGATGTCAAAACCATTAGTATTTTCAAAGCATCATATGACAGAACTGGGAAGATGGGACATCAGGAGCGTAGCTCTCATCTTTTACCTACACTTAAGTACTGTAAGTGCACTTAGATAATTACAAGTGTATTCAACAGAGTAAGGGGGCTTACCATTGGCTTGCCTGCATGCTGGTTGGTGCTCTCCCCCATTAGGCCAGAAGTCACTATGGCCAAGGTTTTCATTGAGACCATAACAATCCTGTAATTGATAGAAGTATGCTACACAATTTTGCATAATGGAGTCAAACTGGACTTTTTTTTTTCTTTAGAAGGCTATGAATAGCAAATTATAAAGGAAATCCAAAATTCAATACAGGTATCATACCAACATCTTGTCAAACATTCAGTCTTTACCACAGTGATTCCCAACCAAGGTTCGGGAAACTGAGTCGGGATGCCACAAGAAGACACCAAAAATACACTTAAATCACTGTCAAGACATCCTCAATAATATAAAAAATAAATTGCAGAAAATAGTGTAAAAAATATTATAGGCATGCAGTTTTAATAAGGCAAGCTTGTCCAACACATTATTTAATACAAAGTTATGTGTATGGCAAGTATTTACTTAGTTGTGTTTGGGGGGTTGAGCTTTGCTCTTTTGGCCTGCCTCTCAACTGTCAATCAACTGTTTACTAACTACTATTTTTTTTTTCACACCACACATACCCCAGGAAGCAGCCCGCGAGAGCTGACTAACTCCCAGGGTGAAAGAAACTTTGCCCATTTGTTTCTGCCTGGTGCGGGAATCGAACCCGTGCCACAGAATTACGAGTCCTGTGCGCTATCCACCAGGCTACCAGGCCCCCTAAAGTTATATGGAGGAATTGCAAGGTGTGCCGTCTAACAGTCTGGTTAACCAGCTCACCAACCAGCTCACCAGGTCATGGGGACACCGAGCCTCGGAACCATCTCGGGGTAACTACAAAGCAAGATCAATTCATGTCCACTATATTGATAAGAAAACAAGATTTCCATACTAGTTGCTAATGAGTTACAGTGTCTATACATGTGCCAAGTTTAGCACTTGCTAAATACAAAATATTCGAAAGATACTGTAATGTCCAAAAATATATTGAATTAAAATAAACCGAACCAAATCTTACGGTATCTTTCTTGAAAGATATACGGTAGTACCAATTACTTGTGCGAAGTTAAAATTAATGACAACATAGATCAAATACAGTAAAGTGCAACCTTGCTCGAATGGAGCCCAGTACCATAAGTAGTAAATACAGTATTAATAAAACAAAAACTATCAAATTATTTGAAATTTCTTTACTTGAATATTTAATAATAATTTAATAATAGTAATAATTTAATAATAAAATGTTGTGGAAACCAAACTAAGTAAGAATTTATTGGATCCTCAGGATGACTCTCCACAGATCAAGTCTGAAAAGAGTACCCTGTTGTAAGACTTGTGCTTACAGTAAATCTAAACATAGGCAAGGAAATGTGAGAGCACCAATAAGCTAGTCAAGCCTGGCCCGGGCCGGGCTTGTGGAGTAGAAGAACTCCCAAAACCCCATCAAGCAGGTATCAAGCAAACCTCTTAAAGCTAAATAATGCATCAATGCACACAAATTATTAAATGATCGACTGAAGCTGAACAGTTTGTGCACCATTTAAATGCCTTGGCTCCGAATAAAATCCCTGGGCACTAGAGAGAGAGGGAGCAGCAGCTCAAAAGGAGAAACCTAAACTGAATGCACTAAAAACCTGAACCAGAGAAGGAAAATTCTGCTCACACATTTTGGCAAGTTCTAGGGACATGCAATGATACTGTATACACACACATGCATATGAAGTGGTAAATAAAGCATAAGCTTATTACAGAAGAGACCAAGCAGTGTCAGAATGAACCAACTTTTACAAGTTAATTACATATCAAATAAAAGATCAATAAGTTAGTGTTCACAAGGGTGTATGGACCCTAGAAGAAAGCAAGAAGGTGGCCAATAGAATATTTACGCTAAAACAACTGCTGCCTGGTGACGAGTGGTAGATAGAAAATCTCACTGCCCCAAGAGGAAATTTGCCATGTCCAGAAAGAGCTGGGATTATTACCTATGAAGCAAATGAGTGCTCTATGCCTAGAAATGTCTGAGAACACAAACCCTCCATGGGTCCCAAAAGTTGTAGCAGCCATTAGTATGCAGAATATCCACATAATCAGCATCTGAAGAATCAATACGCTGTTCTGCAGGAACGTTGCGATACGTTAAGCCTGCTGGGTCCAAACCTGTGTAATGAAACAAATTTGTTCACAGTGCTAATCTAGACAGGTATAAATAAAATAAAAATAGCAATGCTTAAATTATTTTGTTTAATTATTCAAAAATTACTGCAAATGAAAATGAGTATGTACCTAATTTTAGTAACAAATACGAGGTTAAATTTCCTTTTCAGTCAGCTTTGTATTTAAGACATTAACGTAAGTAATTACAACAATACTGTTATTATGTAATTAAACTATTTTACTATATACTGTATACACGAAACATACAGCAAATGCTCCATCACCTAAAAATCCAGCCCAGATGGGTCAGTAGGAAGCTACCATGCCAATCTTATCCACCAGACTACGTGGGGCTGAGAAATACTATGGGTACCTAACTGACTGGAAGTTAGGTACCTTATATGCCAGCCACAATAAAAGAGAGTGATTATTCACATTTATACTCATTCCATAGTCACACGCTGACTACAATTTAAGGTTATTTCACTAAAGCCACCTTGTAGACCAGCAAACACAATGTGCAGCTACAAATTCTTAAAACACAAGCAGCAATAAATGCAAATGCTGTATATCAGGCCGTGTAGTATCGAACTACTGACTTCCGATTTAAAATTTAGGCGCTTTATAAGCCAGCTTTGATGACACTGAAGCAGGGGGTTCTTAACTGGGGTACCCAGTATAAGACTTAATTATCACCATTATAACTATGGATTAAAGCAGTTCCACATTTTGATTTTGCACGAAAACAGCAAAAATCTCACTAGTTGTAGCTAATTTGTGGATTTGTAATTTACCATGTTTCTATAAATATGATAAAATTCTTACAATTTAATTTCAGCTGCTCTTTTGGTAGCTCTCCGAATGTGAAGTAAACCCAAGGTGCCGGCAATGAGTCACAATAATGTGGCTGATGTATGTTGACCAATCCGCACACTAGAAAATGAAGGGACGACAACGTTTCGGTCCGTCCTGGACCATTCACAATCGACTTGAGAATGGTCCAGCTGTGGACTGGTCAATAAACCCAAGGTCTTGACATCTTTTAAATTCACACTGGTACCTAATAGGACTGGTGGGTGATGGTGATTTCATCAGTCTGGGAAAGGAGGTATGGGGGACATATTAGGTAGTCCATTGGGGACTGAGACTGGTGAAAGGGGGTATGGGAATGTACTGATTAACCCATTGGTGGTTCTATAATTCTAAAACGGTTAAGAATTCTTGCATTAAACAATGAGTGATTACTCACATTTACATTCAGAAGTTAGTGGTTCAGTTCCAATCACTGGACACTATTTACATGACAATCATACCTGAAGTTAGCAAGTTGGACGAACCAATGTCAAGATACAAGCCCAAGAAAATGAAACGATTATGCACCTGCATAAACTAATCAACTAATAAAACTTGTCAATTATAAAACACGAGGTCTCAATTTCTAATAACAATAGGACTGACAGGTGCAACTGTACAGGATCTTTGCTTATTCTACCACTCCCATCCAAAAACTTCAACCCATGAATTTCCACTTACCTTTAAGTGACCACTTTGTGTCACTTTAAGTGACACAAAGTGAAGTAATTATAAAAAACAAGGTACCAAGCCAGGAAGACTACATAGCATACATTATTGAAGACTATGTTACCTCTCAAATATTGCATACTACATAATTAACATGAAATAAGTGAGTCATAGCTATATTGTACATTTCTGCAAGTACACCGTATATTTACACAAATAAAAAAATGCTATATACATACCTGTAATACGTCCAATTTTGCCACCGTAAGGCTTTGATGCTATTCCAGCAACATGAGCACCCAAGGAATGTCCTATAAAGTGTACATCTTTCAGATGCAAGGCCTTGTGAGCGGCTAAACTTTTAATCAGAAGAGTTGTGTCATTAGCCACGCCGAGAACCCGACTTACAGCAGTATAATACGTTAGTAACATCCAACCTTGTCCTGCTGGCCATTCCACTGATATTACATTACAATCCAAGACGTCCAAAAGCTCTGTCAAGTAAAAAAAAAATTCCCTATAAAAATCATATGAAATATTTTGTTCAAGGAATGCACGTATATTGTTTGTACACACAAGTACCTATGAGGTAAGGTAGGTATGAGAAGAGAGCACTAAGCCAGCATGACAATATAAAGCATTTGTAATGGATATAGGGACAGACTAAGAGCTGGGAAAGAATGACACTGAAGGAATGGTGCCCTAGCACACGGACCATCAGGGATCGAACACTGACCCCACAAGAAACAAGGCTGTTGCCGTATCGACCAGTGAAGGGTATTGCTGGAGATGGTTCCTTCAAGAACATTGAAGACCAGTTCCTGAATCCATTATGTGACTAAACTTTCTTTTCCCCAACTCCCCACACATTGGGTTTGTGATCCCTAATAAACTACTGTACAGTAATTATAGTAAGCTAAGGGGGGGGGGGAACTTGTGTGGGCCTCTGTAGAGAGATTTACTAAATTAATAAAAATATCCATCCCGCGAGTGAAGGTGAAATGGTTAGTTTTTCGTGGGTCCTTGGTGGCTCTTTACCGATAGCTACAGCCTGTTATACCAAGTTATCACCACTTAAGCCTGGTCTCAGGCCAGGCTTGGGGAGCAAAAGAACTCCTGGAACCCACTTCAGGTATACTAAACTTGAATAGTCTACTTAATTTAATTCCTGCCAAACATTTGGAAGTGCTTGTAAACCCACTGAGAACCAGAGGTCAAAACCTGGCCCCCTTCTAAAGAGGAACAAGGGGGAAGGGGATCTTAGATCACCCTAATCAAGATAAGGCCACCAGAAAGGTGGATGAGCCGACACATACAAACAGCAAAGTAAACAAAGCACAGAAAACTAAACAATGAACCCGAGATGAACAAACCACCTGGTTGTGAAGCAGTTCTCTCCGTAGGCTCCACCAGCGCACCACCTGGGAAATGCACACTCCTCCTCAACTCCTCACTTCTGGAAACCAGCCATCTCATTCATCACCTCAATGGAAACCTCTGGAAACTTAAGCACCTCTGGAAACCAGCCATCTCATTCTTTGCCAGAAAGGAAGAAGAGGGCTGTAAAGAAAGTAAATGCCCCACAAGACAAAACAAGCAAAACTCCCACTTCTCAAATCAAATCAAATCATCTTCTGGATGAAGATGATCAAGACAGGCAAAATGACTCAAAATTCAGATTCAGAACAAAATAAAAAATTACCTGAATAATAAGGAATAAATATTTTTAATTTTTTTTAACCAAACTTAGCCTGGAAATGCAATATTGTACAGTACTAAAATATTAACTGAATTTAGATTAGTACGTGGCTGAATATACAGTGCTAGCAAAATGTTCAGACATCTGTATCTAGATGTTTGGCAAGGAAGTAATATTACCATTTGTAAGGAATTTCAGCAGTATAAATAAGCATATTATGATCAATATAACAAAAAGTATTAATACTATCATGCAATATTCCTATGGTGCAAGTAAAAGATTTGGAACCCACAGGTCCAAAATCAACATGGCCAAGAAACAATGTGGCAATTGTCCAAGAACCAGCATCAGCACCAAAATGTTCAGAGGCTTGTATCATAGGAACCAACGAGTGTGTGAGAGTTGTTGTTTCTGTATCTTGAGGTTATCTCGAGATGATTTCGGGAGCTTAGCGTCCCCGCGGCCCGGTCCTCGATCAGGCCTCCTTTTTGTTACACGCCCCCCAGGAAGCAGCCCGTAGAAGCTGTCTAACTCCCAGGTACCTATGTACTGCTAGGTAACAGGGGCATCAGGGTGAAAGGAACATTTTGCCCATTTGTCTCCGCCTCCACCGGGGATTGAACCCGGAACCTCAGGACTACGAATTGGAAGCGCTGTCCACCCAGTTGTCAGGTAGAGACAGGTATATAGTAGTATATAATGCATCAGCACACACACTAATGGTGTTGTCACCATTTGGTTGCATTTTTTTAATGGTTTTTGGTATGAATGAAAACCAGTAACAGCTCCCCCTATGTTCAGTGGTTCATTCCTTGGGCACCACCAAGATATTATTATATTGGTTTGTTGTATTTAGCAATGCAGGTGTTTAAGGTTAGTTTTTACTAGCTTCAGATATATCATATGACAAAAACTATAGATATATTACTCACTGTCTTTTAAGGAAAGAATCCACGGCTCAGTCCCCCAGCCAAGAAATCCATGGATGATAATATACGTCTTGCGTGGACGAAAGCTACTCTCTATTATAGTATTGACTTTGGTGGGGTCCAGATCTTCTTGCGAATCATTTCCAGAAGTTTTGCTATGCAGAAAGCAAAAAGATCAAATTATGGAAAGAAGAGTACAAAATAAAATACACTTATTTTAGTTTTATAGATTTTGTATAAAAAAAAAGGTGACATGTTTGTTGGAAAAGAACACAAATTTTTATTCATTATTCTTAGTACTGAACTTACCGTGTCCATAGAAAGAAGTGTTGAACCTTAATCAAATTATCCTTTAGGGAGCCATTTTCCACTGTACGAAACTGATGATAATCGCCATCATCGATGTCTGTATGATCAATATAAGGCCTACTCCAATTTCCTGTTGGGATGATATAGAAAATGTCCATAACAGCACAAACTACAACAAAAATAAATTTGTACGTATTAAAGAATAACAGATTCTTTGCCTTTTCAACTACCAAGCAAATTTACAATATATATTATAAAGAGAATATGAAGGTCACTGGCTGAATTTTACAGTAATATACTTTCAAAATGCATCATGATCACAGTTACCCTGTTTATCATTTCAACGAATTGACGAGATAGTGCCGTCTTAACACACAGCTTAAGAAAATATAATATGAATTGTGAGACAGTGCAGAATATACAAATTTGTATTAACATTTCAACATTCCATATATACACAAAAATCACAATAGCGTGATGCGTCAAATGAACAAATCCACAAGGGCGTAGGTTCGAATCCTCATCACGGCTCTTGTGGATTTGTTCATTCCATATATTTCTCAACATTCCCCAATAACGAATGGAAAATATTGTTGAGTATGGTATTGGTCTGTTTGCAGTGTCAAGCAAAAGTCAGCGTCAGTACAGGTATTAGCCAAAATAATATTTTGTTTATATAAAAGTACAGACATCTGATACATGAAATGATGGAAACTAATAGGTAAGAAATCTATGCTATACAGTACAAAGTTTCTAAAGCACAGAGCATTTCTAGCATAATGTAAACAATTAAGAGATTGTTTACAAGTTCAACGAGGGGAGGGAACTCTCAGGAGAAACCGCCAAGCCATTATGACTATATAGCACTTGGAAAGGATCAGGATAAGGATTTGGGATGGGACAGGGAAAAGGAATGGTGCCCAACCACTTGGACGGTCAGGGATTGATTGTCGCTCTGCATGAAGCGAGACTATTGCTCTACCGTCCAGCCCAAGTAGTTGGGACAAAACCACTTTAGGTAAGACTTAACCCTATATAAGAAGTTAACTTTTTAACTGTTAGAGAGAATTAGCAAATGATTTAACAAAATTTATGTGATACAGTATATAGAAACTACAATTTTTTGCAATACACATAGTACAAATACTGAACAGTAACTAATGTTCACAATACCAGCCCAGTACAGCACGTGTACTGTACTAGTTCCACTGTCTTACCTGCAGCTGCAGGTACTGCTGTTACTTGAGGAAGAGCTGTGGTATTAGCAGGAACGGGTTTCAGACGACTGGCCTCCGCAGCACTTAACCCCCAAAGTAACAGGGATAAAATCACAATATCACAGTGCATCATGATATGATGGGCACCACTTCTAAACGAAGATTTCATCATCATCTGATCATTGCTCTCTTTAACCTACAAAATATTCATACTACATCAATTAACACTTATAAGCAGATGAAAAAGTTTAGTTTAGTTCATTTATTATGCACCCCATACCCATCTTGTGGGCAGTAGTGGAAAGGGTTACAGAGGCACATAATGGGCTCAGGGACTGAACCCCACAATTCATTTAGCTAAGCAAGTTACAATCTTGATGAGCTAGTTACAAAATTCAGTATGAAAAAGAAAAGATATTTTCTAACAAATAGCCTATGTGTAGCCTACTTTGTAATAGGCCTTTTCATGTAAAATGTAATTACTGTAGACAGTGGAAACGAACATGTAGTAAAAATAATTTCAAAGCAGCACAACTCCATAATGAATAGAATATATATACACACACAAAATCGGCATCTGTGTTTAGCTAGTTTAAATCTATGACCTCTTCTTAAAAAATCTCTTTCCCAACCATCTCTTTCCTGTAATATCTCTGTTGCTCGATCATAGAAACTGAGTAAATTCAATACACAGGATCTTCCAGATCAAAAACCATACTGTCTGTCTGATATTATATCATTTCTCTCCAGGTGTTCTACCCATTTAGCTTTAATTATTTTTTCCAATATTTTGACTATTACACACACACACACACACACACACACAAGAGTTCTTACATTCTTGTACAGCCACTAGCAAGCTTACACACTGTACACGACACAGAAGAGGGGGAGACGAAGAATGACAAGAGCAATTCTGCCAAATTGAACACAGGCATTTCAACAAAGCTTATTTGTAATTGTTAAAAACTATATTTTATTAGGCTAGACTAGGTTAGGTTAGGATTGATTGAGCGCCAATCCTTAACTGTAGCTTCTGTTCGCCCGGCAGCGAATTTGTACCTGGCTGTTAAACAATTTGGCGGGTCGTATTCTGGGAAAAAATTAGAATTAAGGACCTGCCCGAAACGCTATGCTTGCTAATGGCTTTACAGAAATGTAACAACTCTTGTATATATAAATACAAAAAAAATAAGGCAGGTACAGTAATATTTAATATTAATTCACTGTATTGGGGGACAGGCAGCCAGTGTATCTTTTATCTCGCTCACACCCCTAAGGTTGAACTACTAACCCTCTCTAGGATATAATCCCACAAGCCAGGACTAACTCCTGGGGTACCTAGGTGAACAGACGCATTAGGTGATAGGAAATGCCTCCCAAGTACTCGTCCCATCCTTGGAATTCTCAAGAGTGGAGAAAAAACCGTACTACCGAGACCCATATATTAAAATGTGGGCGTTCCCGTATAAGAACTTCAGTCGCAATAGGTGATTACCATCTTAAATTAACACAAAGCCTTTCATTAATCAAATGAATCTTCAGTACCAGTTCTGTGTACTCAATCCCACCCCACACACACACTAAGTGGAACTAGACGAGTACATACAAGTAGGAAATAAAGGCACTCAAGACATGCTCTAAGAACAAGTCACATACACCAAACGTCTCAACACATGCGGAAATTAAACCCCCCCCCCCTCATCATAGCTACCCATCTTCCCTCCTCCACTCAAGTCAAGCACTCACTAGAGGCACTCAGGCACTCACAGCAGCAGCACCGAGGCCCTCAGAGGACGGACTCAACGTCAACACTGAGCCAGACCACGAACCGTACCTGTCACAACAAAGGTTAATTAATTGACGGGTCCCACACGTATAAAATATAGAGTAATATCAATATATATATATATTACTTCTATGGTACATATTGTAGTATATATATATAAATAAATACTATATATAGTATTTTTATATTTATATATATATTTTATATAGTCGCATCCTTACGAAGCTTCGGGCGGAACTTTGGAGCTTCGTGAATCTAGGTTCAGATATAACACAAAGAAGAAGTATAATATACTAATATACACACGGTATAATATACTCGCAACGGTATAATATACCCCCAATAATATACTCGCTACAAAGTTAAACAAGCCACAATGCAGGACTGACAACATGAGATTGCTTTTCACCCACAAGGTTATAAACCTATGGAACCACCTACCCGCTGAAGCCGTAAATGTTAAAGCACTGCTTAATTTTATGATCCAGCTCGATAAAATCATCAGAACAAATTGGAGGACCTTTGACAAGCCGCCGGCTTCCTTTCCCCGTCAAGGGAAACTCAGGAAAACTTAAATAATCCGGACCCGTCTATGACCATCCCTAACAGAGACCAGTCACCCTGCAAAGTTTAGTGAAACTATAACTCCTTAATTAAGCGTCTTAACCTGTCACCTTGGAGGCCACTAGAGAGAGACAGTGACTGTGACAGTGAGGTAAATTCAGGTAAATGCCAAGTTTTATAGCCTAATTATCAAAAAACATTTCTCTAATCAACTAATTTGAAGTTAATCGAAATTTGTGATACAATTTTAAGCATTAACTCAGTGAAGAAAATAGTAGTCCTGCATTTACTGATTAGATTAATAGGTAATAATGAATAAATAACACAGAAAATGGGAATATCAGATGTAAACAACTGGGGATTAAATTGGGTAGTTTGGCGTTTAAGTGGACGTTAATTAATTCGAAGTTAATCGAATTTTGTGATACAATTTTAAGCATTAACTCAATGATGAAAATAGTAGTCCTGGATTTAATAGGTAAGAATGAATAAATAACACAGAAAATGGGAATACCAGATGTAAACAAATGATGGGATAAATTGGGTAGTTTAGCGTCAAGAGGCGTCAAGAGCAGACGTGTTCGACCCCTACTGAACTAGTGGGCACACCTGCACCACCATGGCTCCTCACACACCTGCTGACATTAAAGTGAGCATATATGGCTATCTGGGAGGGTTATATAAGGCTTAGAGAGCAAGTATTTGAGTTATTAAAGGGCATTCTTGCCTCCTTTAGTGACACGTCGACGAAAAGTGCAACAATGAAACTACTCATTTTAGACGTAATAAATCAGATTATATGAGCTATTATCAATTTATATGTGAGGAAAAGTGTGAACAGACTTCATATATGTATGTACAGTATGTTAATACATTGTAACTAGTTCATCAATGCTGTAACTTGTTTCACGAAACGAGTTTTAGGGTTTAGTTTCAGAACGAATTGTGTTATCATAACTTACCTTACCTTACCTTAACTTCCTCTACAACCACTTAGGACATGAGTATATGGGGTGTACAGTAAGCTAACTTAAAGCTATAGAGCTTGTATTGAATTTGGTAATGCGAGTGGCAATGAATTGAAATAAGTTTATTGAGGTAAAATACACACAAAGGGATGAGGTAGCTCAAGCTATTCTCACCCCATTCAGTACAACGTGTTAATATATACATAGACACACATCACAAATAAACATATTACCAAACATTCTGAGAGGTAAACATATACATTTCCTCCTTCACAAGTAGTATGGTAGGCAATGAATTATTTCGTATGAATTATTTACTTCATTAATGAATGGCAAAAACTTTCATGAATAACATTGCACTGACCTGCCAAACATGTGTTTATTTTAGTGGGTATCTCACGGGCAGTCACGAGGGATTACGGGGTAGCAAATTGAATAATGGTTCAATTATCCATAGGAAATTCATTAAAGCTCAGTTTTTAATTGTAAGAACTGATTAATTGCTAAATTAAGCTTATCTATATTATGCTAGGCAAGGTGGAGTTTTGATACAACATAAAATCTATTGACAAACTGTCTTGTGTATGAATTATCCAATATCAGTACTGTATCTACCAGCTAGGTTCTAGCTCTAAGGTAGCAGAATGTTGATTTCTAAATACCTAACATACTACATTACCCTATTATGGCATGATGTGGTTTGTATCCGACCCTAGATTGGCAAATAATATTTGTCAGTATTATTGTTTATTTGGATAAGTCATATTGCACACACTGCGGTTTGCCAACAGACTTGAAAATGTAACTAACTTTATCCATGCTAAGTTGACCCAAATCAACCTCAAACAACTGATCCAAGCACAGCCTAGCCTAAGTTAATACATTTTAACAATATTTACAGCTTTAACAAACAGAAAACATGCTTTGTCAAACCATCTTGTGTATGATTTGACTATACCCCTATTTATTTACCTGAGAGCAACTAACACACTTGTGGCCTCAATGAGGATAGGCAGCTGGCAGCTTGTCAAAGGTCCCCCATTTGCCCTGCTGATTTTTTTTTCCAGCTGGATTATAACTGAAGAGAGTTTTGGCACTTACGGTTTTGGCAGGTAGGCAGTTCCATGGGGTTTATAACCCTGTGGGTGAAAAAGCATCTCCTGTTCTCATTCCTGCATTGTGGCTTGTCGAGCTTGAAACCGTTGCTCCTTGTTTGTGTTACATCTGACCTTTTGAACAAATTGCCCCAATCAACATTCCTCCAAATTGTTCAGTACAGATCATAGGCCCCCAATCCCCTGGGCAGTCCTTCCTCTCTCCTCTCGTTTTACACCCCCTACCCCGAAACCTGCCACCCCAGCACCTCTCATTCCCCGTACCTCGAGCCACTGCTGTACGGAATTAATACGGTATGTCACGATGCCTGTCTGCGGATATGGCAAAGTTTTGCCAAAAAAATATTCGGCCACGAAAATCGCTGGATAACCCAAATACAGTATTCGGATCAACGGGCTTCAGATAATCGCTCTCATGCTGTGTATGACACTATAACTCGATTGGATTTTTCAACACTCAAAAAACATATTTACATGTATGTAGTTTTGTATAGTGTTCATAACAATGCTAATTATCATATGTAATACTGTAATTAGAAATAGAAGGAAACTAATTTTCAATTTTATTTTTATTAAAAATTACTACAGCTGTATTATTAATAACTAATGGTATTAATTACTTGAACTTACTTTACAGATCTGATGATGGAGACATCCACAGCATGGCAAGAACACAGAGAAAAACATCTCACTATGTACATTGGCATTCACCATCCTTTTTGCCAGTTGAAACCGCCTTGGTGCACGTTACTTTGTGCCCTCATGATCAATTTCACAACCTTGGTATCTGCCAAGAACAGAGTGGACCCTTCGGAACTCCATCATCGAGGAGATCTACACTTCTTCCGGGAATCTCGCGTGCACTCTCTTGCTTGGGTGGTAGAAATCCGTGAAGAATGTCATGTCAGAGATGTGATTGACAATTTTAGGAAAATAATTCTTCAATTGAAAAACGATAGCAGTAATGAAATTTATGCAAAATTTAGATACAATCAATCCCAGAATTTTTTAAGTAGTTTAAATAAAGACAGTGACCAAGAATGTAGTGAAAAAATTTACCCCCTTCAACAAAACAGTTGTTTTTGTGATATACCATTGCAACTCATTCTCGTAAGAAAATTGACTTTCTTCAAAAATATGTATATTATTGCTCATCCTTATTTCCGTTTTTACTCGCAAAGCAAAAGAAAATGGAAGGTTAGACAAAACAGAAGAGTACAAAGTGTGATCACCAGCAATAGATCTGCTTTGTTTGGTGATTACAGGAAACCCGTCACGAATAGTGAAGTTGATTTCCTCAAAACTGAGGCATGTATGGAGCACTATTTTAGTAACCATCCCTGTATTAAATATGCTAAACAAGAAGTTCTTAGACCGCGGCAGAAGAGAAGCAAAGTAGAATTTCTTGATCCTTTATATGAAGAGCAGTGGCATTTGGTAAGATTTTTATAATATATAATGATTATATAATATATTTACAGTATTTATTTATTAAGGATTAAATTATCCTTATTTCAGCAATGGTCCTCAAGGGTAATAAATGATACTGTATTTAGCTCAATCTATATTAAGTACTGTACAGTACTGCATAGGATTCTACTTATAAATTACCAGAATTTAACATTTCATTGGCAGTTGCTAATAAAATTATAAATCTTATTATTACTGTGTGCATTGATGGCCATGTTAGTTTGATTATTATTATTATTATAATTATAATATGTTGTATGTATGTAATATGCACTGTGTATAGTACTGTATATAGTATCTATATGCCAGAATAGCATTCTGAAATTTATTACATTTTCCAATGCTTGTGTTGCAGAAAAATGGAGTGGCGGGCCAGTATGATATCAATGTGGTAAGTGCGTGGGAGAGTGGTATTACTGGCCGAGGTGTCACTGTGTGTGTCATTGATGATGGCTTGGAGTGGCAACACCCAGATCTACGCGACAACTATAATCCTGCCGGCTCGTATGACCTCAATTCTGATGATCCTGACCCCTCTCCGGTAAAAAATGGAGGCACGTACCTAAATGCGTACAGAACAGAGACAAATGGTATCTCTTACTGCTTTATGAGTACAGGTACTCAGTTGCACGGGAACTGGGGTGCTATATTATATTTATAAATTAGAATAGTGTTAGTTTAGATCACTTGTATGTTAAAACTGTTCAAGAGAGCTCCAAGAGGTCCACAACTTCTAACCTTCTATTGTATTCACCAGTGTATAACCTGTAATCTTTTAATACCTAATAAAGCACAATAGAACACAAAGAGAAGAGGGGTGATAGGACAAAAGAACATGGAAACTGCATTGGAGGGGACCCGAAAATCCCCCCTCTAATGCACTGTTTGGGCTTTTCACCGAGACTGAGGTCCCCCCTTTCTTCCAGCTAAAGGATATGTTTAGCATATGTAATATACTTACATTTCTAATTTTAGAACGAAATGAACATGGTACAAGATGTGCTGGAGAGATTGCTGCTGTTGCAAATAGTGTTTGTGGTGTTGGTGTTGCATACCGAGCAAATATCTCTGGAATTCGAGTGCTTGGAGGACGCATGACGGATACCATGGAAGCTGCTGCATTTATTCAAGGGCTAGAAGTTAATGATGTATATTCCTGTAGGTAAGATAAGTTGAATTTGTTATATGAGTGATTATATAAAAATCTTCTGTTTTTTGGCTTCTGTCCCATAATATGCAACAAAATCGTAGTTTATTGTGGTATTGAACAGTATTCAGTGTCTTTAATTTTTTTACTTCTGAAATTAATATATTTTTGACCAAACAAATAAGTGAGCATACTGTGTGTAAAACAGTATTTTTAATATGCAATCTAATGTCCTTAGAACTACACACACACATCGGTTTTGTCATTGTTCAGGACACTCATCCACTGTAACCCATAAATTTAGTCTGGCAATTTATACACCCTCATTTCAGTATTAATACTAATATTTATTATACAATTAATACTAATTGTAGCTATACTATGGTGCAATTCAAATAGGAATGCCTGCGATACCTGACCTTACACAAATACTTTTACAAATTTTAAATGTACTGCTGCTCATTAGTAAAGTTGGGTTTGTTCTCGACTCACAAGTGGGAAACCCATGTTTAAATCCTGGGCAGGATAGAAATTGTTGGGCATGTTTCCAGTTACCTAATGCATCTGTTCACCCAGCAGTAAATAGGTACCCAGGATTTAATCAACCATTGTGGGGTTGCATTGGGAGAGGGTCAATAGTTTGACCTTGGGGAGACTCTGGATAGAAGTCAAATATACTGTATATATTGTATGTGTGTGTGTGTGTTGTGGTAGACATGGGTGGATGCGTGCGAGTTTGTATGTATGTGAATGCACCAAGACATTACTTGCTTCAATTTAAAATCTCTTGTAAAAAATCCTCGGGAACAATGGAGGAGACCTTTAACAAGCCACTAGCTTCCTGTCCCGATTGAGGCCACTAGAGAGATGGTGACACTTGGGTAAATTCAGGCACATAAATAATACATTTTGAGTTGATGATGGTAATATATAATACATGCTGTATAAATAAAGTTGACCCTTTTCCTCGTGGCAGCTGGGGCCCTGACGATGATGGGAAGACAGTAGACGGTCCTCATCACTTGGCCTCGCGTGCACTGGTGCACGGTATCACTTACGGCAGGAAGGGTTACGGGGCCATTTATGTTGTTGCCTCGGGTAATGGTGGAAGGAACAAGGATAATTGTAAGTTAGGTGAATTGTTACTTTAGTGCCTAGGGCAGTGGCTCTCAAAATTTGTTCTCCGGGCTGCACTTTTGAAATAAAATTTTGCTTGTGCCATATGAAATTTTATTGATAAATACATTCAACAGGAAAAAAAGACAACTTTTTTTTAATGCTTGATTCATAACATAGACCACAATTACTTTATAATGATTTTTAATAAAATAATATTTTATAATTATATGATCATGGGACATCCAGAGAGTATAAAAAAAAACATCTTTACCTTTGCTTTACCCTAATAGTGTTAGATCAGCATTAAGCAAAGGTTAGACATGTATACAAATGAGTTTTGGCTCATATAAATAAGAGCTGCCTCACATGGGTCAACAAGTCCTTGGCAGTTCCTGTTATTTTTATGTTCTTCTGTTACATGTGATAGAGAACAAGGCTAGATGGCAGCCATTTGTGAAAAATGTTTTGCTTATAGAGTACTGTATATGACAACTCCTGAGAAGCCCTGTATATCCAGTCTTATACTGTTATGAATGATTGTGCTGGTTCTTCGTGATGTTCTGTATGGTGTGTAAGATATTGTGACTTAGATGGGTCAAGTGTAATACATACATGGGCCAACAGCTTCAAGCCCAGTAAGACATAGTGTAGGACAGAAAACAGGAGATAAGATAAACCCATTTGGTTTATAACCCTTTGGGTTATAAACCAGATGGACCTACCTGTCAAAGCCATAAATGTCAACCTGTCGATTATCTGTTGATTCCGAGAATCAACGTACCTGTGACCCAGTCTCTGATGAGGCCTGGTCATTACTTCAGTTCAAAATCCACTTACAAAAAATTGTTAGGAAATACGAGGGGAACCTTTGACAAGTCAACAGCTTCTGGTCACCATCGAGGTCATTAGAAAAATGGTGGTCCTCGGGTAAATTTGTTTAACTTCATTGGCCTGCATTTTCTATACTGCTTCCTTAGAGGTAATTCCTTTCCAACTTGTGTACATGAGAAACTAATAATGGTGGTAATTTGTTGATCATAATTTCCATCCTTTGCATTATGATAGTCTTGAGTTGTATTTTTTTTAAACATTGTTTCAGGTAATTTTGATGGTTATGCCAACTCAGTCTACACGGTTACAATAGGGGCTGTAGACTTCAAGGGTCGAATGCCATACTATGCAGAGGAATGTGCAGCAATGTTGGCAGTGACACCAAGCTCTGGGAGTAATGGTCGTGACATTGTAAGTACACTTTACATTATTAGAGTCTGAATGTCTGTGGCAATATAGTTTTGCTATCTGAAAATATCATTCTGCCTGGTGTGTGTGATCATCTGTGGTCATTGAACATGGTCATGTAGCCAGGCAGGACGACATATTAGACAGATAAATGAAAATGGTAATCAGAGGCAATGTATCTGACTGGAGGAGTACCACAGGGTTCAGTTCTTGCCCCAGTAATGTTAATCGTCTTCATAAATAATCTGCCAGAAGGAACACAGAATTATACGAACATGTTTGCTGATTATGCTAAGCTTCTAGAGGAAGATAGGAGATGTAGACGATTGTCATGCCCTTCAAATTGACCTAGATTAAATAAGTTCTTGGAATACCATGTGGCAAATGGAATTCAATGTGAATAAATTGAGTACCTCTGAGTGGCAACATTGCTTGCTCAGAAAGGAACTATTTACAAGCTCAAAGCATATACTTCAGTGGGGGGAATTCTGAGTTTGTGATTGCATTTAACTGGATTATATTATTTAATGAATTACATTGGTCCTTATTTCTCATTATTTTCATATTTACATAAGGTAACAACTGACTGGAGTGAGATCAGCCCATCTGGGTGCACCAAACACCACTCCGGCACTTCTGCCGCTGCTCCTTTAGCTGCTGCCGTAATTGCTCTGGCTTTTGAGGTTCAGCCTTGTCTGTCTTGGAGGGATGTTCAGTATCTCATTGCGCTCACCTCCAGAAAGGTTGGTATAATGTTATGGTGTTGGAATAGTTAGTGTCATTGAGTATATTATTGAATATATTAGAATAATTCTAACTGCAACCATTTAGTAGACCACTTATATCAATAAATATTTGATTTGATTTAATATCCTCCTGAAGATATTTATCCAGAGTGCAGCAATAATTGAATAAAGTTTTACGTTAATGTTAAGAAATCGCCTTATTGTGATTTCTTTGTGTATATGAAGTTGGATCATATGATGGATGAACTACTTTAGCTGCACCTGAGTGCTTGGGGAGGGGGGGGGGTTATATGTCAAATTTAGACAGACTTCAGCAGGAGCCTCCAGACTTCCTGGGGGGTTTCAGTAGAATCCTGGTTATATAACTTTGAGCAAGTTGGGGAGGTACAGCGGTAAGGAGAGTAGAGTCCCTTGATCGCTGGTTCGAGTCTCCTTGAGGCTCCAGTGGACTTTTACATAGGTATAGTAGTGGTATATAATATTTGGGATACGGATAGTAATGGTATATAGACTGTGGGACAGGTATAGTAATGAATATGTGATAGATTTGTGAGTGAAAACAATTAGGTAATGAAATGTTGAGTGAGTGAAGTGTAATACACCACGGTTGTCGTACGGATGTGTTAGAGGGATGTCTGAGAATTGTTAAACAAGAAGAGTGTACGAAGGTGAAAGAAGGGGATCGTGTGGCAGAGAGTGAGGACCAGTGTCTTGGAAGGAGAGTGTGTGCAGCAGTATATGAAATAGTGATGGAAGGGTAAGAGAGCCTGAAAGAGTGAACGATTTGTTTCCTTTTGTGCTGCAGTGTCGTAAATTTGTGTTGATTATCGCTTTAACAATTGACTTGAGAATGGTCCAGGACGGACCGAAACGTCGTCGTCCCTTCACTTTCTAGTGTGTGGTTTGGTCAACATATTTCAGCCACTTTATTGTGACTCCTCGCCTGCAGATTTGTTTTGTGATAGAGGATCTGGGGAAACCTGCTGTGACGTCCTCATGAGGGGGAGCTCCCAGGTGGAGGTTTTATTTTACTGTGATATGGTGCTCCACCAAGTATGCATGTCATTTTGACCCTGTCAACAAATAAATTGCCAAAGATCAGCAATAACAAGTGCATGGAAAATCATCTACATAGATGCCTTTGTGATGGTTTAATATTATTGATAGTATTATACTATAAGTATTAATGTCCTAAGCTATTTTTCTTCATCAGATTGACACCACAAACTCAGATTGGGCTAAGAATGGTGCTGGGCTCCACCACTCTCATCAACATGGTTTTGGTCTTATTGATGCTGCAGCAATGGTTTCCGCAGCAACTATCTGGGAATCGGTGCCTTTCTCAACCACTTATACTTCAGAGAAAATGGTAGTCCAGCTTCCTATGCCGTCAGAGAGACTCGGGGAAGTTATGGTCAAGCACACGGTTGATGAACAAGCGCTGGAAGGATACGCTCTCAACATTTTAGAATTTGTACAAGTAAGGCATTAAATCGGTTTTCAAATTGCACTTACAATAGATAATAACTTTTGATATGAATTTCATCTATGAAACATTGAGATAATTGCAATTAATGCTTTGAAGGTATCATAAGTTTTTTTAGTTATATATTTTTTTTATATTGACTAGATAATTGGCAGTTTTTTTATCTTTTAAGTGTTCCAGATTTAGTGCTGTGACAGGTGATTGTTAAGTGTAACAACAAAGTCAGTTTACAGAATTCTCTAGTATACTATTTTTTTGTATTCTGTAGTTCTTTGATGAATACAAGTGGCTGAAATAGTTATAGAAAAACTGGCTTGGGCCAGTTGAGTTGACAGTGAGAGTTAAGGGTATGAAGCTGTGAAGGAAAAGGTGCCAAGCTAGTGTGAGGAAAAATGGTAAATAACACTCAACTTTTACATTTGCGGTGGAGTACATGTAGAGGACACATACACGCAAGACACATGTACATGTAGAGGACGTATACACACAAGACACATGTACAGTACATGTAGACAACACACGTAGGACACTGTGCTGTATTTTCATTTTAATTGTTAAATTTGTTGTGTATTTTTATTAGTATTTAAGCTTTTATTGTTTTGTTTTATTAGTATGGTGTATATACTAGCAGAGGAGCTAAGGTCATATTTTTTATTCATGTATACAGGTACGAGTAACTGTAGAACATGATTATCGAGGCAGCCTAAATATCGTCCTGGTGTGCCCCAGTGGTACTAGGTCAACACTTGCTGCTCCCAGGGAGGCTGACAAGTAAGCCACTTTACATTTTAATTTTGGAAGTCTTGTATCCACCATAATTTTTCTGTTGTGCATTGTGTAAACAGTCCCGTTTGTATTCAGAACTATGTAACTACTGTATTGTATTTAAGTATTTTGAGTATGTTGACCAGACCACACACTAGAAGGTGAAGGGACGACGACGTTTGCGGTCCGTCCTGGACCATTCTCAAGTCGACCATTCTCACAATCGACTTGAGAATGGTCCAGGACGGACCGAAACGTCGTCGTCCCTTCACCTTCTAGTGTGTGGTCTTGTCAACATACTTTAGCCACGTTATTGTGACTCCTCACCTGCATATTTTGAGTGTGACTTGCTGTGTAGTATGTTATATGAATATACTGTATGGAGAAAACCCTTTTTCAGTTCTACCAAGGGCCTTGTGGACTGGCCACTTGGTACTGTGCGGTGTTGGGGGGAGAATCCCGTTGGTACCTACCAGGTAACTGTTATGCAGACTCGTCACCAGCACCTAAATGGTCGACTGGTGTCTTGGCAGCTAGTTCTTCATGGCACTTCCATGACACCATCTCAGCTACAGGAGAGAAAAAGGTGCGAGATTGATATATATATATAATATGTTGTTGTAACTTGCAAGTTCATTACTGGAATGTGGAACCTATATTCTTGGCTTTATTCACTTTTAATGTTATTGCAAATTTCAGGGAAATTACAGAAAATTTTTGTTCATATATAGTTCATATAAATGCTAAACGCTTGGTATTTTAAATACATGTCTGAGTAGAGTACCTTCGATTGCTCCTGTGCAAAGAATAAAGGTGTTAAATATGCCAAAGCTAGAAGATGGAAGAAAGAGGTGATATGCTCATTACATACAAAATAGTAACAGGAATTGGTAAACTTGATAAAAGAAGAATCCTTGAAACCTGCATCTTCATGAGGCCATAGACTCAAGCATGACAAGAAGGAAGATGGGTATTAATTAAAAAACTTTAATGGTGACTAATAATTAACTTTTATCAAATACATTTCACCAAATTCCTCTAAACTGACTTGAAAGGTTTGAACCAGTATCACAGTACAGTATGGGGGGATTATTTTCATTTTGTTTCCTATGTATTAGTAATATTTTGCGCTTATAAATTAAGCATTGTGGTTGACGTGTAATTAGCGTACAATTTCCGATAGATTGGTAGAGAAGGCCGTGCGAGGTGAAGTGGTTCATGTGAATCGCAGCACGTTGTGTCATCCACCAGAGCTGAGATTTGAGCCTTTTGAACCTCTGCCAGAACGCTGGCTCAAGGTAGGTCCTCATTAGCATTACATTATTACTCTACAGGTACTTTATGATTTTCTTAGTAGAGTGGAACCTCAGAAATCTGAACTGCAATATAACAAATGTTATACTGTATTACCAAAAAATATTTTTCTACAGGCACAATATTTCAAGGTGTGAAGCTTTCAGAGTGTAGAAATGTAGACAAATTACTTGGATTATTTGCTCTCTTTTTTGCCATTAGTAGTAAATATTCCCGGAAAGTCACGTTGGTTTCTGAGCACAGGGTATTCATTCGCTCCCTCAGGCAATAATTCGCCCCCTCAAGGACATTGTATACACCAGTCAGGGCTCATTAAGCAGATGATGAGTCACAGTAACATGGCTATAGATATGAAGACTAAACCATATGCCAGAAGATGAGACGACGATGTTTCAGTCCATCTGGACCATTACCACAATCTATTTGATAATGGTCCAGGATGGATCGAAGCATTGTCGTCATCTCCTCATCTTCTGGTCTGTGGTTTAGTCTTCAGGGCTCATCAAGACCTTACTAAACACTTTAGTGCGCGCGGCACTTGCTGAAAATAAAGCGGGTTGTGCGCGCGGCGTTCTGGGCGCTCAAGCGTAAACACAAAAAAGTGTATAATCTTTTCACGCTCCTAACATCAATTCTCGAGCTACGTTTTTCATTTTGGTATCAATGCGTTGGCAATAAAATTCTCTACAAGATCATATGCATAAAATGTCACCAAAGCATTTGCTATCCCACCACGAAGTAAATAAACACGAAGATGACTCGCCGTGACACCCAAACAGGAAGTAAATGTTCATACTCTTTTGTTTGTTGCCAGCCTCACAGTCATCCTACAGCGCTTATTTTGATATCACTGAACTCGCAATAAAATTCCCCACCCAGACATATGCCTATCAATGTCTAATTATGTTCCGCACGAGTGTGAGAACTGGGCGAAGCGTTAGCCGTGATTTCAGCAGCGACGACACTGTTGTGATGCAGCGCTTTGAAAGTTTATACTTATTTCACTGTCCTGACAATATTTCTTGAGCTACGTATTTCATTTTTATAGCAATGTGTTCGCAATAGAAAGTTCTATAAGAACATGGGTAGAATTGGCCAACAGAGCGTCAAATAAATTTGCGGCGAATAAAATCTTACGCGAATCTTACGCGTGTTTGTACCCGTGAGCGTAAAAAGTTTTTACTTTGCTCATGTTTTTTCAAGTTTATACTTGATTCACACCGGTTTTTTTGTTTGTATAGTGTTCGGGATAAAATTCTCTACACAGACATATGCATATAAATGTAGAATCATGATCGCGACCAACACAAGAGTGTGTGAAGTGGGCGATTACCCTCGTTGTGTCACCAACTCAATAGTCTCTCCTCTAAGTTACAATACATTGCGGTTTTCTCAAATAGGCACTGTGCCTATTAGAGAAAACGAAAATTTATTGGCAAACATATTCATACAAACCCCAAGTCGATCGAGTAGTAAATACCCAATATAAAACACGGTCCGTAAATTTACGTCGTGATCCGACAAGCGGTTAAGCAAAACGCCCGTAATTCCAAGTGGAAAATCCAGGAAAGTGTTAATCACTTCCAGGCAGGATATGGGCACAAACAATAACCAGTTTAGAATAGAACATTTCTTTACATTCTGCAGTTTATTTTTGTAATATTCACTCCTTATGGCAAAAATAACTGCAGTCACCAGGTGAAGAATACCAACAAAAAAATAGGAGGTAACTTACCCATGCGGCAAAATGACCAAGAGAAGGTAGAAGGGGACAGATAGAACCAAAGATAAAAAGGAGTGCCACACTATCTCATCAATGGGTGATGCATCTCAAGTGTTTGGCAGCGGTAGATGCCTGCAGTTTTCACCCTTAGACAGCCATCTGGCAAGGGTTGTTTCTTAGTTTTCCTCAAATTTTTTCTTTCTTTTTCTCAAGCAATAGGTTTTTTGGTTTCACGAATCTTTCTGGTTGGTTTCTTCCCCTTACCAAGTAGAGCCAGATTATGGACTTGGGTTCCTGAAGGTCTGTGTGGGTCTGGGGCCTTTCATGGCCTTAATTGAAACTGCAGGTGAGCACCAAGGAATGACAGAGGGCCCTGCCAGAAATAGCCATTTAATTACATTCTGCACTTTATTATTATTGTACTTTATTTGGTTATATTGAGTATACACGTCTCTCAACTATGTACCATCTTAAAAAGATAGCCACTAGAATTGCCAGAAATTTTACGTGAATTTCCATTGGAACCCATATTGGCTAAATTTTTACATCGAAAACAAAGCTCTTTGTATCCAGCTTTCCCAAAAGATCCCATTGTCCCAGGAGAAATCCACTTGATTTAAATAAAGAGAAAGTTGTAACCGTATATCATACAGTTGTTCCGAATTTTGAGGTTCCACTGTGCAACACATACAACAAGTTAACACTCTATAAGTTCTTCTTAAGCAGTGGGCAGTACAAGATTTTATTGTACAGTATTTTTGTGGAGTGTTAGGCTCTTTGGTTCAAATTTCATTCACATCAACACGCAGTTTACGTGTTAAATAATTAGTTAGAACCCATTTTGTGTTGCAGAGCATCTCTGACGTATGTGTCATGTGTCAGTGCCAAAAGGTGTCATGAGAAGTGGTTTTTATTTTTATTTTTAATTTATTTTAATTTTGGGGCTCAGTTTTGAAGTTTCCTGCTGATGTTTATGACACAGTTCAGAAGTTTGACGCTGCTCAATACTTCAACTTATATTTTGGCTCGTGTCATCTAACAACAGTACTGTGTAACCCATATAGTGTGGAAATAAATGTACAGTTCTTGATAATTGAGAGATTTCATGTAGGTTTAAATAAAGATGCAGTAACTAATAGGTGTATATATAAAGTGTTACAAATTAAAATGAACAAAATCTATTTTGTTAAGTTTTGTGCAATTTTCAGGTGCTTGTCATTACTGGGTTCTTTTTGATGTTTATGGCAATATTCAATTCCCTTGAGTATATCTTTTGCTATAATGATGAGAAGGAGAAGTTCTACAAGAAACTTCAAGATGTCTCGGCCGGCCGGGCCATGCATCAGAGAAACGTCTTGGCACGACGCAACACTAATGCGGATCATCATTATGGAAGCATTGACGATGGAAGCCATTCTCAGGACGCAGTGGAAACACACTTGCCCACAGCAAACCCAAATGAAATTGTTCCTCTGATGGTGATAGAGAGAGAGACTTCACCATCACCCTCTTGTGATGCCGATATATCTAGTCTGGATTGTGATAGTGATGAGGGTAATCTATCTTCACATTGTACAAGTGATACAGTTATACCAAAGGACACCGATGTTACCGACTTCACCAATGATGAATTTTTGTCGGAAGTTGATGAAGATCGGAGAATTCTGCAAAAGGCAGAGTTAATGGATTAATTTTGTAAGTATTTTTCTACTGCTCATATCTTGTACTGTAGATAAACAAAAAAAGAAATATTTAATAAGCTTTTACATATGGGTTTTTAAGGCATTATTAAGAGATGGTTTTTGTAATATGCTTCATGATGGTGGTTTAATATCCGTGATACCATGCAAAAATAAGGTTCAGATATTTATGGTTATGGTACATAGTATTGGATAATTTGCTATATACAAAAATTGGTTATCATTCAAATATGAATTATGAATATGGCAATAGTTTGACTTCTCTGATACAAGGTATTGTAGTACAGTACTTGGAAAGATTTTTGTAACTTTGCTGACCTTACAGTGTTGCCTAACATTCCATAGTTTAAACTATAGACATCCATTATTCGTAAAAATAACGTACAGGTATATGCGAGCAGTACACTGCCTCCTCTATCCCATCTCGGGCAGTTAATTGTCATAAGCACTTGTGTTTTACTTCATTTTTATTGATATATCTCTACCCATTTCTGAGCTATTCTATTCCATTTGTTTCCGCCTCCGTTGGGAATCGAACTCGAAACCTTAGGACTACGAATCCCAAGCGCTGTCCACTCAGCCGTCAGGCCCCTCTGGTAGAGTAGAGTGTCATTCTGCACCAGTGCAACACAGATCTTTTCAATTCTAACTCAGTCAACCCTAGAGTGACTAGAAAGTTAACTTGTACCATAATTCGAGCCTTTCAAAAGCCATACTTAACATCACACATAATGCTTTCACAAATCACAAATCACCAGCTGCTCACCAGGGCTACTACTCATCAAGCATTTATGCAACCACTGGTGTAACCTTGTCATCTTTCCTCAATCACAATCAAAGGTTATTTTTGTCATAAACAACCTCGTAGTGCTTCGGAGCTCATGAACTGCTAAGTAAATGTAAACAAAGCTGCCAAGATTGAGGAAAGATGCACAGGTTTTGTAAGTGGATATGTAAATGCTTGATGAATGCTGGCACTGGCTGCTACCCATGACTGCCACCATATTGCATGACCCGCACCAAGGCCAGGTACCCCTGCTTCAAGCCCCATTATGTTTTTCCTGGCGTGTTCCCATGATGGTTGGGCACACTTGAGGCTAAATTTGGCCAAATGCCTTGTTTTTGTTCTTAAGTGTCTTGGTTTCACTGTACATTGGGCTCATGCTGTGTACTTAAAAAGGCAGCACATTTTATTAGAATGCATCTCGTGTATGAGAGGATTTGTGTCATGACGTAAATGGCTGGTGATTCAGACTGTTTTGTTGTGGTCATCAGCAATGTGTTGTTCCTCTCGGAGTTCAGACTGCATCTACTTTTCGTAGATGCTTTGCTCCTAGACTGGATGGTTTGTGCTAAGCAGTTTATTAAGCAGCTAAGGAGGTATACAGTACTTGGTTGGTTTCATATGTGGGAAAGTTGTTTGTTTAACACACAAGGCTAACTTTGTCCAAGTTTTGTGTGACTATACTGTATTCATTTTTGTAGTTTGTTTTGGTTATAGGCAACCCTCACCTTTCCTCGTTCCAAGGTTTGGTTAAGAGGCCAAGGTCGACGACCGGGCCGCGGGGACGCTAAGCCCCGGAAGCACCTCAAGGTAAGGTCAGCCAGTAACTCTGGCCTCTGCTCCCAGACCTCTTCCTTGCCTGCTGTGGCTGAGCTTGAGCATCTGGTACCCCTGTTAGTGGAAACCAGTCGTTTGCCATTCCATATTGTTCATAATCCTTGATTTGGTAGAAGCAGGTCTGCTGCCATATGCAGTATTTTGCTAAGATGGCTGCACTTTCGGCCTTCAGCCTTTTCCCTGTTGGATTCAGGTTTAGTAGCAGCCAGGTAGTCAACAGGTAGGACTTGGAAGCTTTTTCTGGTGCTCCTTGTATTACCGGTGGGGGTTAGCAAGGATTTGAGTGCTTATTAGTAAACTTTCTTTAGTCTGGGCTGGACTGGGCTTTTTTTCGGAGTCTTCATAGCACATTATGACTAAACAGGTACCTATGTTTGAATAAATCCTTCTTGTGCGGGTGCAGAATATTGCCCTACTCTATCACGTTCCTGTCCATTGGAACCTTGGGTGATCTTGCATAGAGATCATGCGAGTCTTTTTCTCTGAGAGGAGGATTTCCTATTTATTTATTTGCCCATTTTTGAATATATTTATTTGCCCATTTAAGTACCTTATTTGCACAAATATAAGTCACTCCAATTGTAAGCTTGGCCATTACTTCTAAGCCTCATCCGTTCAGTCGTTACTTTAACAGCCTAAGTTCAGTCGTTACTTTAAAACTGTACATCAAAATTATCCTCACGTTCTAAATTACTATTAGCTCAATACCTGTTGTATATGCCAGTATAAAAGATGGCTATGCAGTCTAATGAATAGCCCTTAAAAATTACACGATGCCAACTTTCTGGAAAGGATATGCATTTCTTTAGAAGCATGGTAAGGGGCAACATTTTCATTATATGTAAGCATCCAGGGCTTGCATAGAAAAGTGAAGATCCTGGGGCATGGGCATATGGGGACTGTTTGCAGGCAACGAGTCGCAATACAGTACTCGCCTAGTTGTGCTTGCGGCTCTGCCTGAGCTCTGGCTCTTTGGTCTCGTCTCTACCCACAGTAATGTGAGTGAAGCATTGACACGCAACCTGAGGCTTCACTTTTGTTGTCTTGCGAGTGGTAAGAATGTTCCTCAATGCTGTTAAGCAATGAAGTTATTATTTGTGAATTATCATTAGGTGGAGAAAATTATAAGTCATGTTATTGGGGACAGGAAGCCTGTACTGTACTTAGGCTTATTGACGTCCCCCAACACTAGGCCAACTATTAACCTATCTTACAATACTAACCAACAACAGTTGTTTAATTCCTAGCTACCTATTTTAGTACTAGGTAAACAGAGGTATCTGGTGGAAGGAATGTGCCAAATCATTTGTGTCCTATCCTGGGATTGAACCCGGGATCCTTGATTGTGAGCCAAGAATGTAGACCACTACCACACGACCCATATCATGTAATAGAATATCAGGACACTTTGAGTGGCTTAATAATTTATTTATATTGAAGAATTAACCCTTTGGTGGTAATGAATGACAGCGATCGACTGCCAAAAATATGCCTTAGAATGCAATAAGCGGACTGAGTCCACGTGCCTCAAAAAACAAGTACTTAATTCAAATAATTGGTTACTATACACTTTACATTATACTTTGGTGCTACATAACCTTCCCGGTTTGGTGCCTTCTTTTGATAATTACTTACTTACATTATACTTTTTAATTATATACAGTACAGTAATTTGGACTTTTTACTATTTTGCAATGCTTCATCTTTGCCATCAATATTTCAACTTGTATTTAAGTAATTAATTTTAACCCTTACACTGTGCACCTGTTTCATGTGACAACTTCATGTTACAGTTGTTAATGAATTATTAACATTAACTTAAACAAATTTCAAACTAGAAAAAGATGTCAAAATACTACCAAATTCAACAATTTTCATTTCAAATCAGTGGAAAAAAAAAAACATGAAAAACACTAAAATTTTACTAAATTCAAACATTTTTTGCACCACCCATTGACAATAGTGCTGTGGTTAATAAAAATAAAGACAAATATGAAAGAAACAGAAGTAATTCGTGCATTGAAAGGCATACCCTGTTTCTTGGTGCAGTACTTTCCCCGGTACAGGTTTCCCTGGTACAATACTGTATATACAATACATGAATAATTTACTGTTGTCATGGACTAAAGTTAAGGTCAGGACTAAAGTATAACTGCTGGTTGATCAGCGAGGTATTGTAGTGGCCTTAATAACCCTGCAGAGGCTGGTAGGCCCAACCCTAATCCAAAGTGACATTAAGAGAGGACAATTGAGAGATTTGTAATGTTATTTATGAACAGGTGATGGCTATAGTGGGGAGCGGAGGTGGCTATAGTGCGGGGTGAAGGTGGCTGTAATGGGGGAATGGAGTCAGCTATAGTGAGGAGTGGAGGTGGCTATAATGCGGGGTGGAGGTGGCTATAATGCGGGATGGAGGTGGCTATAGTGCGGGGTGGAGGTGGCTATAATGCGGGGTGGAGGTGGCTGTGGTAGAGAATTGTGCAAGAGCTTGCATAAAGATTTTTCAAGAGTTGTGCATTATAGTACATTGTGAATGCCAGCCCCACTATATAATGTGTGGCATATATTTGTGCAACCAGTACATGTTAGTACAACTTTATTGTATATTATTCACTAGTTGATGATGATTTTGTTGCATCATTTTGGCTATAGAAAGTATCGGTGCATTTACATTAAATCGCAGAAATGTTGCTATAAACTGCTTATTATATATTTATTTTTTTGTCTTCACATACTCATATGTTTATTTGCTCATTGAAATACTCATTCATGCAACTTTATTATGTAATAAAGATTAGCAGTGACAACGAAACACAAATATTTTGTCTGTAAAAAGCCGCAGTACAAGACGACGATGCGCCTTCTTGCATGGCCATTCTCTAGTGTGTCGTCTGGGAGCTGTACACCTGTATTTTATTTACTTTGTTCATGCCTTTATTTATTACATTCAAATATGCATTGATGCAACTCCCGGAACATTTATAAGAAACAGTATTACTAAATTATTTTGGTAGGGATCTGCTTACACTGGTAATTAAACTAGGCAGGGTTAAGTGCCTCTCTATCCTGGGCCAAAACAAAACACTTTCTTGCAGGTTGAGGCTGAATCCAGGAATGACAAGTTGTACTGTAATATATACCAAAATGTCTTATTCAGTGTTTGTATAATATTTTGCTCTGTTTCATTCAAACAAATTGTAAGTACTGTACTGTACATTTTTTAATAAATCCACAAGGGCCGTGACGAGGATTTGAACCTGCGTCCGGGAGCATCCCAGACATTTGTTCATTTGATGCATCACATTAGTGTGATCTCTGTGTGTAATGATGTCTGTACATCTTTATTAAACCTGCACAACAATGGTTCAAGTAGGCCAGGAAGAGCTGGTCATGTAGCATGTGTACAAACATTCATAGATAAGAGATCTATAAACGACTGAAAGCACTTGACTACCGTACTCTGTATCAAGGTTTAACTATACTCGTATTGTTAATTTTACTGTTTAAAGTCAAAGTTACACTGAGAGTGATGGGTGTTATATTTGAGGCTTTGACCATGTAATGTGTAACTCATACTGGTTACCATTTGGTGTAGAGGCAGGCATAGCGTATATTTGGTGTATTGGCAGGCATGGTGTGTATTTGGTGTAGAGGCAGGCATGGTGTGTATTTGGTGTAGAGGCAGGCATGGTGTGTATTTGGTGTAGAGGCAGGCATGGTGTGTATTTGGTGTAGAGGCAGGCATGGTGTGTATTTGGTATAGAGGCAGGCATGGTATGTATTTGGTGTAGAGGCAGGCATGGTGTATATTTGGTGTAGAGGCAGGCATAGTGTGTACTTGGTGTAGAGGCAGGCAAAGTGATTATTTGTTGGGGTGTGTATACTTAGTGTTGGTACAGGCAGGATGTGTAACTGCTGGAGTATCTAGTATTTAGGCAGTCAGAAGTGATAATGAGATGTGATATAACTAGCTAATAACCTGACATTAACTATAAATTTAACTTTTATAGTTTGATGATAAGCCTATACTGCAGTTGATGCCAAAATTCTTACCTTTACACTGTGTGTGTGGACTGAATCACTGTTATGATAACTTATTTGTGCGTTTAAAGTTTTATTTGGAGTTCTCTGGTAGATTAAGTTGATTCTGATTTGGAGCTTAATGGGTAAAGGATATAAAATTGGACAGTCCCATCAGTGCAAAAAGTTAGTTAATAGCAATGTTAGTTAATGTAAACATATTCATATTACTCTATTGTGGTGTCTGGGCATTCACTCAGAATGTTAAAATTATCGTCAGGATTCTGGTATGTGCTCACGTCTGTTGTAGAGATGATAGAACCCGTAGTAGCAACAGTTGGAATTTATGAAAGGTTGGTAATCATGAATCTCTATTAAACATGACCTATTGCTCTCAGGCAGTAACCTATACAAAAAGAGTATTAAATATTTAAAATAATCCCATAAAACAATAACATTTTAAAATTATTGTAACTTAAAACATGACAATCTTCGCTTCAGAGATTTGTTCACTAGTTCAGATAGGGCGAAACTAGCTCGTGTTAGTTTCACAAATTTTTCATTGTTTACATTGTTGGGGGAGTTTTGGTTATTTTGAGGCTGTAGTCTCGTTTGTAACCAAACTGTGCCCTGATTTTTTTTCACTTGACACTCTGGGTGCCGTCCCTTGTTGGTGGCCAACATGAATAAATTCACATAAAATTTTTCATACAGCTACTGCTCCCTGGGCCTCTCAGAGGAGGGGCCAGGTTCTGGCTCAGGGTCCAGGTAGGACAATAAGAACTTTGCGAGTGATGGCACCTTGTATTCTGGCACTATGTTAGTATAGTAGCTTCAGGGAGCCATAGGCACTCACCCAGAAATTGGACTTTCATTACATTTAACACTGGTTTTTTAGCACCATATTTATATATCTTCTACAGAAGAGATTGTATAATTCAGTGAGAGTTTTGCTTTTACAATTATTCATTGTACAGTGATAATGTTCATGTAATTTGGTAAGCCTTCAAAATGTTACCTTTTTTGAAGTAAATGTAAAAATTTGTTGCTAATTATCTTGATTAATTTTTGTTTACTTGCAATGAATGTAAACATGTCTAATCAAATGCATAATACTGAAATAATATAATTAGGCAAGAAAGGATTAATGACATTTGAATGTGTGGATATTAAAAAGATACAATGAATTATGAAATATAAAACAACTGTATATATGATCAGTGATGTATATGATCAGACATATATGTGGCCTTAGAACCGAGTGATGCATGTTCGGTACAGTTTTATTACCGAAACTGTTTTCTCATCTTTCCATAGTGCTCGTGAGATCATAACTCCAGTGTCCATTACATAATTATGAATCTGACATTAACTTGTTTTACTAACAAAAATATTTATCTTTACCTAAACTTTGCTCAGCTGCCAATTTCAGCAACAGTGACTGATCAGTTGTTTGCATATTTAACTTGCCTGAATTTACCCAAGGCCCACCATCACCCTAGTGGCCTCGATGGGGGACAGGAAGCTGGTGGCTTCTCAATGATCCCCCATCTTCCTCCAAATTGTACCTGAGGATTCTTTCCATCGGGACTTTGAACTGGAGCAATATCTTAGTATTTTTTGCTTCAGCAGGTAGGCAGTTTCATGGGTTCATAACCCTGTATGTATGTGTACACACACACACACACACACACATACATTAGTATATACAGTACATCTACCTTTACATGCACATATGCACTTGTTCACAATGGTGTGATGATACGAGAAGAGATGGAATAGGGAGTGCGGCAAGGAAGGCAAGTAAGAAAGGAGGGTGGATAGGCTAGGAGGGTGGATAAGCTAGGTGGGTGGATAGGCTAGGAGGGTGGATAGGCTAGGTGGGTGGATAGGCTAGGAGGGTGGATAAGCTAGGTGGGTGGATAGGCTAGGAGGGTGGATAGGCTAGGTGGGTGGATAGGCTAGGAGGGTGGATAAGCTAGGTGGGTGGATAGGCTAGGTGGGTGGATAGGCTAGGAGGGTGGATAGGCTAGGAGGGTGGATAAGCTAGGTGGGTACTGGTTCTATCCTATCCTATATAGGTCCTATATATCCTATATCCTATCCTATATCCTATCCTATCCTAGATAGTTCTATCCTATCCTATCTAGCCTATCCACCCACCTAGCTAGGTGGGTGGATAGGCTAGGAGGGTGGATAAGCTAGGTGGGTGGATAGGCTAGGAGGGTGGATAGGCTAGGAGGGTGGATAAGCTAGGTGGGTGGATAGGCTAGGAGGGTGGATAGGCTAGGAGGGTGGATAGGCTAGGTGGGTGGATAGGCTAGGAGGGTGGAGCAAAATATAAATGAGCTAGGAGCAAATATAAATATATATGTATATTCATGCATATATACAATACATAGCCAGTATTGACTCCCGGTAGGGTACGAGACCATGTTCTTGGTAACACCATCTGTATATAAAGTATGCATATATATGATGTAAATACAGTAGCAAAACTACAAGGTAATACATCATCCTGAGGGTGTAGTGCTCTGACTCTCGTAAGTGAGAAATAGAAATGATAAAGCAGTTCTTGTACTTAAGCTACACAAAGTACTTTAATTTTGTTTTGATGCTCTATATCTGACTTACATTTATGATTGTATGAGATTACAGTACCATGATCAGGTCCCAAGTTCTTAATTGTCTGTGTGTACACTTTACAGTGTTGATTACATCCTAGTGTTGTTTATATCCTATAGTGTTTACATCCTACAGGGTTTTTTACATGCTACAAAGCACTGATGTCCTATCACTGTTGCCTATATTGAGGCATAAGGGCTAATATTACCTCTACTTTGATTTACACATACTGTGTTTAAAGTACTGCACAGAATCACCTTATTGCTTTCACTCATTTCCTCTAGTGGCTGACTGAGGGCTTGGAATGTTTTGTTGCGGCTACAGAATTTTAACATGGTTTGCTTAGCTGCGCAGTTCACAGCAGTGAACAGTGCATGATAGTAGTCACAAGACCCTCCCTCTCCAGCTAATCTGACCTCAGACATGAACTTTGCATTTTTCTAGTCAAATTCAGTTTACAACAGACACAAATGTGTTAGTTTGAGATCAGCAGTGAAGAAATTTTACTGAATTTAAGGACATGTTCCCTTAAGAATACTGTACAAAAATGGCCGAGTTATTGGGACAATTCACTATGATGACCAAACCACAAGTCGGAAGATGGAGAAGCGACGACATTTTAGTCCATCCTGGACCATTATAAAGTCACGAGATCACATGATTTAATAATGGTCCATGACAGACTGAAACGTCGTCGCTGCTCCATCTTTCGAGTTGTGGTTTGGTTGTCACTTCTTCAGCCACGTTATTGTGACTCGTCGTCTGCACAATTCACCTTCGTTCAGCAGTTAAAATTTAATGCATTATGATTTGTATACAATGCTGCTTTTAAGGCATTAATATTTATTGCCATATTAACAAAAATTATTTCAATTATGTTCATTGCTTTTGATGCGATTTTACATGCTGTAAATCCATTAAAATACTTGTAAATCAGATGTTGGCAAATCAGCATGACACTCATAGGAAGCATTGCAACATGTACACAAAACTTTTAAATACTAAATATGGCATTTAATTACACAAAGAGGAAAATGTATACTGGTTGCAGCATAATAGAAAAAAAAAATCTAAAAATGTAGCTAGTTTGATAGCTTGAATCTAGTCGTTTCCATTACACATGTTTATTGTTTGTAATTATTTGTTTTTTCAACCTACATGATGGCAGTGTTGTATACACTGTTATAACACCAAATATATTTGTTTCTATGTTCATGAACTGCATTATTAAAATGTCATCTTTATCTTTATATTCTACTGAGTTTGCCAAGAGCAAATTGTTTAATGCTGTGTTATATGTATTGGTTTTTAGTGTTGTATGGGATAGTGTTTTCTAGCATTGACGGAATAGTGTTTTCTAGTGCTGATGGGATAGTGTTTTCTAGCACTGCATGGGTATAGTGTGTCCAGAGCCGCATGGGCAAAGCGAGTGTGTAATGTTGTGACAAACATCCCGGTGAGCACAATATCAGAGAATGTTATTTCAAAGTGGAAATCAACATTGATAATGTTGACTGAATTAATGTTACTCTTGGCTAATGTACCTACAGGGATATGACACGTACAACACTAACGTGAACATTATTTTTTTTCAATTGCTAGAAGTTGGGCATTACAATTTTAAATTGTTGAAACTACAATATTTGTAGTGTTAAGTAATTAAATAATTATCTAGAGAATTTACTAAGCCTGAGACTATTTAACACACTTTGCAGTGTTACGAACACACTTTTGTGAGTATAAAGTTTGCAGTGATTGTTTTGCTGAAAGTCAAGTGATGATGACTCCTTAGATTTTGTTTTTTCTTACAGCAAAAGTGTGTAACTTGAAATCTGTTAATCAAAAATGCTGAAACAGGATGGTTCAGAAATATTCCCGGTGCAGGTATATATTTTGCCGCAAGTTAAAAAGCAATCCTGGATAAGATTTTTGCTTATCGATGAACCCATTAAACTGACTCGAGTAAAATAAATAAATTATACTATATGTACAGTATATTATATAATTTATCTGGTTAATTTTCAAATTTTTAAGTGTTTAAATGCATTTTTATATTTTGTACGTATAGAAATGCAGCCCTAACATTTTGTTTGCTCAAGAAATGTATGGTTTGTAAAATATTGCAATTGTTTGCACTTGAATTCCTAGCTATTTATATTTTAGTATACACAAGTTTACACGTTCAGCAATATGTTTCGTCCAAACAAATTTTTAATTTTCTTTTATAATTTGCATTATCATTTATTTACTATTCATTGCTAACGAATAAGATTATTTATCTAAAAGATGTCAAATCTTTTTAAAAATCAAAAATTTTGAAATTGTATTGATTTTTTTTTTTACCCAGCATCTGGATTAATTCATTCTGGAAAAGAGGTTTCAGGATATTTGCCTATTTTTGGATATTTATTGCTACTTTTGTTGGGCATTTTCTTGTATGCAAGGATAAAACACATCTTGCATGTCTTTAAATACAACTAATAAACAGTATAAACAAATGTTGTTGATATACTGTAATAAAAATATGATTAGGATGATGTTTTACTTGCCTTACTAGTGATCCATATCCTGGTTACCAACAGGATATGGAATCCCGTCTAACCAGGCGCTATGGTAACGACTGGTTACCATGGCGCCTGACAGCTGGGTGGACAGCACTTCGGATTTGTAGTCCTGAGGTTCCGGGTTCGATCCCCGGTGGAGGCCGAGACAAATGGGCCAAATGTTCCTTTCACCCTGATGCTCCTGTTCACCTAGCAGTAAATAGGTACCTGGGAGTTAGCTGCTGGGGGGTGTGTACCAAAAAGGAGGCCTGGTCGAGGACCAGGCCGCAGGGACGCTAAGCCCCGAAATCATCTCGAGATAACCTCAAGACGGACAGACCACACTCTTGTGAACCATTTGTCTCCTCATGACAAGTTGCTTGATACAGTGGGGAGGGTGAGGATGGCTCAAGTGCTTTAATAATAAATTAATTGTTAGGGGACAGGCAGACAGTGTGTATATACATATTAGGCTTGTATTGAGGTCCTCCCTGGGTCAAACTACTGACCCTTCCACAGGATGCAACCGTGGGTACCTATTTACTGCTAGGTGAACTGTCCCATTAGGTGATAAACGTATTGGACCATTTCTGTTCCACCCGGGATTTGAACCTGGAATTCCCCCTTGCGACTCGAGAACGAACCTAACTGTATTACAGATGGGTTTGTCGAGAACAAACCTCATGGTACCACTCGATAAAAGAACATCCTCGTGCCTTCGGGTTTAGAATATAGTACTGTATTTAATTAAGTATGCTAAAGAAAAATAAATATGCTGACTAAATACTGCAATGACAGTGTGGACCTCTTCAAAATTTTTAAAATGCTGAATAATTTGGAGGATATTGATGCAGACAACTTTAAATGGTCATATGTAACAAGGAACAACGGTTTCAAAAGCTCAACCCCAATGAATTACCAAGAACAGATGGTTTTTCACCCACAGGGTTATAAACCCATGGAACCGCCTACCCGCCAAAGCCATAAATATCATAACATATAATACAGCTTAAAAAAAATAATCAGGGCAAATTGGGGGACATTTTGACAAGCCACTGCCAATTTTTTTTTATTATTATTAACAAGCATAGGTATTACACTATTTATTTTATTTATTTATTTATATATATACAAGAAGGTACATTGGGATTGTGAGGATACATAGCATAGTAACATTCTTGTAAAGCTACTATAGAAGTTCCAGAGTGTTCCAATCACTGCAATTTGTCCCATATTATTAAGTATTATAAAAAAAACTACCACCACTTGCAACAGTAAATGAGTTAAAACAATAATTTAAAATCCAAATGAACTCGCGGGAGCAACTGGGTAGAGCCAGCAGCCCTGTGCTGTAGCTGCCCCTAACACAATAACAACAACAGACCCTTGGCGTCTGCAGGGCCGCGCTGCCTGCTGGGTCCCAAGCTGTTTATAACGCCACATCAGGCCACAGGAGCACAGTTACGACAGCCCACGGGAGCACAGCTACATCAGGCCACAGGACCATAGCTGTGATATGCAGGTAGAGCAAATGTCCTGGATGTGATATGCAGGTAGAGCAAATGTTCCCTTGCCAGAGTCCTATAGATAGCACCAAGCCAGAGTCAGGTGCAGTAATCTAAAATGGATCTTAAAATATGATTAAGCTTGAAAACAGTGTTGTGGATATATGAAACAAATTACCAGATAACATAGACATGGGATCGCTGGTTTATTTCAAATGTAGGTTTGATATATACAATATATTTAAGACTTTGGGTGGTTATAAATCAGAGATGCTTCATATGGTTCAATAGGCCTCCTGCAATTAACTTTATTCTTATGTTCATGACTGAAATATCATCAGGTTTGCTTTTCGGCGTTTGTGTACAGTGATAAGGACTCTTATGTTGGTGCCTCATATTCCAAAATTATTTCTTGGCAGAATATGCAGTAATGAGTTTCCTCCTGTGTTGTCATCTATTGTTGACAGTCAGAGAGAGGCATGGTCGAGTGCAATGGCAGAGATGGTCATTATATATTAGGTCAGGCCATTGTCCAGGAGGAAGACTTGCTGCACGAGTTCAAGGGTCACCGCAGCATCTCCATTCATGACATCCACAACATGTGCCTCCAAAGTGGCGGGGCACCTGAACGCACCAGGAATGCAGTTTCCATGTATGTAGTATATATGCGCCTCCACGTATGTATATGGAGTAGCATTGTGGCAGTGAAGTTCAACTGTTGTTGTCTTCATATAAAGACAACGGCCTCAAATGAACAAATCGGTTCCATCAAATGAAACTTCGGTTTCAACTCTTCATGACCATGTCGTAGCTCAGTCGATTAAGGCAGCGTCTGGGATGCTCCCGGATGCAGGTTCGAATCCTCGTCACGGCCCTTGTGGATTTGTTCATTTGATGCATCACGTTATTGTGATTTCTGTGTGTAACAACATCAGATGTGATTTATTAGCTGTATTGTTTTTCATTGTTAATGATGTGTATCAATAACGATACATAATAATATGTAACGATAATGATGCATATTGATAGTGCTATGTATTGATTATGATATATAATGATATGTATTGGTAATGATATGTAATGAGAATGATACATATTGTATCATACACAAATAGAAAATACATATATACATGCACACAGGCTTCCTGTCCACGACAAAACTGAAATTCATTTGTATGTTACAGTACACGCATATTCACTTGATGGTGACTGGTTATTTTCTCTATTACGCTGTGTACAGAAGTATTGGGGCTATGCTAAACTCTGGTTATGGAGGCATCATCTACCTTGGGGTCACTGACAACGGTCAGGTGAGAGGACTGACGCTTACCAGGTACGTGAGATTCTCGTATTGTATAGAAATGTTACAAGATGTGAAGTAAGAAGGAAGTACATTTCTTCAGCATTACTGGAAGATACAAGTTTGGTCTCGTAAGGTGAACTGTTCTTTAAGATATTTATTATTATAGGCTGGGGGGGGGGGGGCAAATTTATTGTTTATTCTATTCTGTCTTAGGAAGTTGAAAGTTCATTGTCTATGTTACATTATACAACTTGGTCAGTTTCCTAACTATTTTAGTTCAATTCTGTCATACCTGGTTTATTGAGTTATTAATCATGCAAATTTGCATGAAAAAATTATCAATTTTTTTTTATATCTTGAGCTAATGTAACTCACAAGCCTAGCAACATCATCGACGAGACGTCTCATCGATGTCTCATTGATGCTGTACTCGCCCAACTAGGTGAGTACAGCATCAATGAGATGTTCTTTTAAAAGCATAACAGTAGAAGTGAAATCCTCCTTTAATTTTGTAACACAGTACAGGTATAGTGTGTATGTCATGTCTTTTTAATGTAATTACCTAATTACCTTTATTAATTACCTAAATGTAGTTACAGGATGAGAGCTGAGCTCGTGGTGTCCTGTCTTCCCAGCACTCTGTCATATAATGCTTTGAAACTGCAGAAGGTTTTGGACCCCACTACTTTCTCACTTCACTTGTTCCAACCGTCTACCACTCTGTTTACAAAAGGAAACTTTGTAATATTTTTTGGCACCTTTGTTTCTTTACTTGTTCTTGAGGTTGACTGTTTCAGGAATTCATCTTTGTAAATATGGTCAGTTCCCATTATTTTGTGAGTGGTGATCATATCACCTCTTTGTCTTCTATTTTCTAGCTTTGGCTTATTTGAAGCCTCTAGCCTTTCTTCATAACTTGTTTTTTCAGTTCTGGAAGCCATTTTGTAACATGCCTTTATATCTTTCTAGTTTATTGATGTGCTTCTTGAGATTTGGGCACCATACAACTGCTGCATATTCCAATTTTGGTCTTACAAAAGTCATGGACAGTTTCTCTACTATTCAACCATCCAAACAATTAAAAGCGAAGTTGGAAAGTGTTGCATGTTTTTCTCACACAAAGTTCTTTCTTTGTTCTTCTGGCAACAGTCTACTATCCAGAACCACCCCTAGATCTCAATCTTTGTTAGAGTTGTTTAAATCCTTTCCACATAATTTGTATGTTGTGTGTGGTCTATTTTCTCCTATTCCACAGTTTATAACATGTTATATATTCACATTAAATTCTATATGCCACATGGTGCTACACATTTATTTTACCTAGGTCAATTTAGAGGCACAACAATCGTCTACTTCTCCTATCTTCCCTAGTAGCTTAGCATCATCAGCAAACATGTTCATATAATTCTGTATTCCTTCTGGTAGATCATTTATGTAGACAATGAACATTACTGGTGCAAGAATTGAACCCTGTGGTACTTTGCTAGTAACACTCCAGTGAAATAATAATAATAATAATTATTATAATAATAATAATGAAATTAATAATAATTCATTGAACCGGACTGAACGGACAAGCAGCCAGAGTGTATTCATGCACATTAGACTTATAAAGTATCGAGGCCCCCTTCCCCCCAAGGTGGAATTACTGACCCCGCTCAGGATGCAACCCCACAACAAGCTGATTAACTCCTGAGTACCTACTTACTGCTAGGTGAACAATCCTATTAGGTGATAGGAAATGTGCCCAACCATTTCTGTCCTTCCCGGGATTCAAACCCTGGAACTCTCGATTGCGAGTCGAGAACGAACCCAACTGTACTACCAGGACCCTGTCTACTATTGACTATCTGTGTGACTATTTTCATGTGCAGAACACTAAGGGATTGTTCCCCCTCCGCAGATACCAGATGGATCATATTGAGGCATCCCTGGAATGGACACTGGGAAGATTCACGCCACCAGTCCCTGACTACCGCTACCGTGTGGATTTTGTGCCCGTGGTCTCCAACAAAACTCAGAGGCTCTCTCATGATATTGAAGAGTAAGCTGTTATGTTCCCAATCAACATAATATTCAAGAGCAATGCCAATTCAATGCCGAATCAGCACAATCAGCATTAGGTTAATGTTGATAGCATTGATTTAACATTGAACAATGCCATTCCTGAATATTGTGCCCATTGGGTTGTGTTCCAGTTCTGTGTATTATTACATCCTCCTGATAGGTAAAACGGTTGAGCGTTATTCTTGGAAGCAGCAAGTAGACAATGTAAAGGAATAAAGGTTCTCCTTTATGAATTATCTGTATACTGTACTCACGTGAATAAATTAAATTTCTATTTCATCTACTGTTTCCTGTCATTGGGTCGGGAGTTGTCGTAATGAGCAGACTTGGCTAGTGAGGGCTTGCTGCCTGTTGTGTGCCCGATTGTGACAATGTCTCACACTGTGAACTTCGAGAAACTTGTGTATTACAGTGGCTGTCATGTAGGGCACAGTGGGAGCTTGTAATACATAGTGGCTATTGTGTAAGATACAGTGGCTATTGTGTAAAATGCAGTGGGAGCATGTAATACTCAGTGGCTGTCTTGTAAAACATTGTATAACTCTCATGCAGAACTACTTTTTTCTGTGATAAATACAAAATGTGTAATTCTTAACATGTGTCCTATATCACTGGTGCAGACATGTGGACTCCAAGAGACGTAGTCGTCCACACCACGTTGCTCAGCCTAATTACTGCTGGTGTGACATCGATGCTGCTGCACAGCAGGCACTGGTTAGTTTTCTTTTAATCACCTTGAAACATATTGTCCAATTGATTGATACTTAAAGTGTTATGAGTATAACTCTACAACTTGGCCAATTCATCGTTATGTGCCATTTTTGTCATTGCAATCAGGCCAAAAGAAACAATTGTGTTTTGACTTTTGTAAAAGAGTGGTCTGTTTCAAATAAGTATTAGAAGTACAGCATGTCACTAAATAGCATGGTCATGTTGCTTATATTCAAGAAGAGTTATAATACCCTTTTATATATTACAGTACTATATTTTCTTTCTCCTTGGGCACTAGGTGCCTCGAACACCCATCCCCTGACGTGGAGGCGGACGCTCTACCGACTGTACTATGGGTTAGCCTTAAAGGAGAATGTTTCCGAAGCAAATAACCACTGCCCAGATGGAAATTGCCTATCTACGTGGATCTACAGTTGGTAGAGCGTCTCCCTCACATTTGAGAGGATGGGGTGTTCGTGGCACCTAGTGCCCACGGTGAATGAAATGTTACATCGACGAGTGTTGTATACCGTTTATATTACTATAGTATTTGTTTTAACTTATGATACTAGATTAATCTTCATTTGGTTATGGCAAGTAAAAAATTTGTTTATATCAAAAGTTTAAATTTAATTACAGTGAACTGCTCAATTGGAACTTTATTCATTTGAAACCAAAATGCCGCATAAGGCATCTATTCAGCCAGTAAGATCATTGTGATTATTTACAGTGGACAGTAACACTGTGGGGTTAGTCTATGCTACACTATATATACTACACTGAAATTTGCTGCCAGTGAACATAAGAATTTAAAAAAAATTCTAAAGAATCTTGAACCAAGTGATTTTGATATTAAAATACAGTACAGTATGGCAAAACATCTTTTATCATTTGCACTAATTAAAGCATAATAAAATTTGGTATCAAATAGCAAAGCTCAAATGCAATGAAAGTTTTCTGGGGAAAAGCCATTTGAGGCTTCCTGAAGCTATTACACTGATCCAGCTCACTCGGAAATTGACATTTCATTACATTCAATACCGTTTTTATTGTGTGTACAAGTCTAGTATAGAGTTGATCATTTGAGCACATTATCCCACTTGCTATTTTGTGATTTACGAATTTTACTGTTTTTCATGGAGGATACACAACTAATATTTCCTCAGGGAAAGCTTCCAATATTATACGTAGTTGAGATTCACGTGCGTCCCTGGGAGCCCCACAGCTTGCAGGGCAGGAATTTGGGGATTTCCCAAACACCTGCTCTCCCTCCCCTTCATCTCAATGAAGCTTCAAGCTGCTTCTTCAGGCAGAGTTGTCGGCAGCCGCGGGTAAGTCTGCTTGTGTATATTTTAATCTTTTTATTTATTAAGCATATTCAAATACTGTAGAGAAGTTGAATCATTGTAGTTTCTATCGATTCTCGTAATGCTTGAAGATTTTTTCACTTCTTGAGAGCAATGAACAAATCCACAAGGGCCGTGACTAGGGTTCGAACCTACGTCCGAGAGGATGGGTGTGAGCGGTGCTCTTCAGTATAACAGATTGTGTTTATATGGTAACGAATTTAATTCACTTGGATTATCGGGGATTCAAACTCGGACCTGAAAAATACGAGACTCTAAACACCTGGCCAGAATATTCACTAAGGAAGGATCATGATAGGTAAGTACCTAACTTGTGCTCCAAGTAAATCAAATGTTATAAGATGCAATCCACAACATTGTCAGTAATGGATTGCTACAAGTCACAGTCAATGGGAGCCGGTCGGCCGAGCGGACAGCACGCTGGACTTGTGATCCTGTGGTCCCGGGTTCGATCCCGGGCGCCGGTGAGAAACAATGGGCAGAGTTTCTTTCACCCTATGCCCATGTTACCTAGCAGTAAAATAGGTACCTGGGTGTTAATCAGCTGTCACAGGCTGCTTCCTGCGGGTGGAGGCCTGGTCGAGGACCGGGCCGCGGGGACACTAAAAGCCCCAAAATCATCTCAAGATAACCTCAAGATAACTATAATGGCACTCCAGGAAAGGTTTAAATGTTCAGTCAAGTACCAGTTAAGTACTTTTGAAAACATACCTTAGTGTCTTGGTCTGGTGGCGAGTTTGATGCTCGTGTTATTCAGGCTCGAGTTTGACTTTTCAATAATCAATCTTAAGTGATCAATCAGTTAATAAGATTCCTCAAAGGATATATGTAGGTGGAAAGATGGATGTAATATTTCTTGAGTTGTTGTTACCAGTAAATGAAATGCAGCCTACTAATAAGTTTATTGTTGCATTAGTTGTGCTTAGAGGACGTGAGACGATTACTGGTGCATCGTGTTCAGGAGCATTACACACTCAAGCTGGCTGCCCTCGAACACCGGTACGAGGCACTTCAGCACCTCGCACGCCAGCACAATGTAACGTTTGCAACAGACATGCACCCTAGTGATGTCGATGACGTACAAGTGAAAAAGTGATGATGCAATGCAAAAGATATTTGTACTTTCTTAGAACTAAAAGTACATAATTGCAGACGATGAGTCACAATAACGTGGCTGAAGATAGCAAGACTAAACCACACACCAGAAGATGAGGAGACGATAATGTTTAGGTCCTTGCTGGACAATAGACTTGATAATGGTCCAGGACGGACCGAAATATCCTGGACCATCTCCTCATCTTCTGGCGTGTGGTTTCGTCTTCAAAAGTACATAATTGTTTTGGACTATTCATGTACATTAAATGTTAAAATAAATGTACAAAATGGGAAATTTGTACTTTGGTCTTTACAAATATACTGTGATATACTTTTGGGTATGTGCAAAGTCAAATGCTGTGTATACCTTAATATGAACAAGAATACAAATACTGAATTATTGTACAATACTGTACATAAAAGCTTTTCAGATATATTTGAAATTATTTTTAGAAATTATCCTTAATTTGCCAAGAACTTAATGTTGCCGATTACTATACGTATCTATGCTATTTTTAATGAATAACAATATTTCAAATTGTCAGGTAAGTGGAAATTACTTTGAACAGCAAAGCGGCAGATTTTGAGAGCTGCAGAGATTGACGTTGCACATTTGGAGTTGGCAGTGTGAGTATATTGAGCATGAGCATTTTTCACTTCCACATTTCAGGGTGTTTTGAGAGAGACGTCAACCCGTCACATCTTCCTCCCTCACCATTTTTTAATATTTTAAGAGTACTGTATCTTGAATCCAACATTTTTGGAAATCGATTTAAACCCCATTTCTTTTTAAAAGCTATTGAGGTCGAGCCATGGGTATTGGTTCACCGTGTAAAGTCTTTTTCAGCAACGTGTATTTATTATTTTCTGAAAATAATAAAAATCCTATACCCTTGACATCACTTGCCTGTTTGTTGAATTTTTGCTATTGTATTTGCATCCAGAATGATATTTAGGAACTTTTGAATATCCCATGACACAGATGGTATAAGTCCAGCTTGGTGCCGTCTTTTGATAATTACGTACTTGCTATAACTTGTGTTTCTGATTATTCATTCATTCTCTTCATCCCTCTCCCCCATTCACTTCTTTGTTCCCCATCGACCCCCCTTTCTCCTTTCTTCTATCCCCCCCCATTCTCTATCTCCTCATTTTTGCCCCCCACTTACTTTCTTTCCATCTCCCCCTCCCTCCCCTTCCATTTCCCACTTTCTTTTTCTATTTCCCCCCCTTATTTTCAATTCTCCCCTTGCTATGCATTCTCTTTAATCCTCCCTCTCTCTCGCACACGTGAGACCAAGAGTGTGCATATGCTCACTACATATAAGTGAAGTACACTAAGTTATGCTGTTATAATTATTGTATTTGTTAAAATTATTGACAATTTGTTCAGTGTGGAAAGAAACACAGGTATTGATATAGCATTTATTGTATTAACATTCTAATGAAAAAGTATGATCATATGAATAATATTTACAAATTATTAGTGTAAAAATAATGTTTATGTACAAAAGCAAATACTGATATATAAAAACAATTTTTTTCTTTAGTTACAAGACATTGATCATTGTTACAAGTAAGAGTACAGTAAGTGATAGTGTCTTGGGAATCATAATCATTGAGCGGTGACGTATGGTACAAGGAGTTTCTGGGTTAAATGTGATGTGAGCTCGTACACAATGTAACATTACTCGTGCATTGTCACCAAATGTTTTTAATTGGGTATCTTATTACCCATAAAAATCTATACATGGATACAACAAAAGAATTAGGATAAAACTCCATTTAGTCTCTGTTGAGAGAAAAAAATACATTCAGTTGTGTTGCAACCCCAAACTGCAGGAAGGTTGGTGTTGAAAACTTGCTCTGCAATCTGTCTTCAGACCAAGTCCATTCCATCCAGCGGTCAACCCCAAAGCCGCATTCACTGATTTTAACATGCTGTTCATTCAAAACTGGAATTCTCATATATAAGTTTTGTTATATGTTACCATGTTGTGCATATTTAGGCACTGATTAGGTTCTGTTTGCAATTATTTGTAGTAAATGGATGAAGCATTTACAGCATTGTGGTTCAAACAAAAGTTGTCAGCTAAGCTCTTGTTCCAGAAGTGTTCGGACGTCATTAGTTGCAAGCCTCTTGTAAACCGTTTTTCATTCATAAACAAGGGGTTGGCGGGTGCATGGAATGGATTTTGGCCTTTGTTTATGAGGACGAGTTGCACAATGCAAAAAAACCATTCTGTTGTGAGCTTACACTTGAAAAGTATGTTGAGTTGGAAGCGTGCTGTCACAGAAACCATTTTTCATTATTTGTGCTTTAAGGCAAGTCATCTTTCAGGCTCAGTGCCCACCTTTTTTTTTTATAATTGTGCTTTAGGGCGACCCTGCACTAGGCCTAATGTGTACTGTGTGCCTTGACTATAATGATACGCCACAAGCTCACGTCACTGAAGAAATAACAAATAACAGACAGGAAATACAAGTTTATCAACAATACCTATAAGCATGGGTAGTTATTCGTCAATAATAAAAATAATTATTTAAACGCAGGTGAAATATTGTAAGATCATCATTTGCAAAAAACAATAAACTTTCAAAACATAACTTGAACCAGATAAACATTGCCTATAGAAAATCGTGTATTTACATATACAAGTTACAAAGTGGAAACATCGCTCGAGCTAGGTTAAGGACTGTATTGGAAAAAAACATACAAGATAAATACAAAATACACAATTATACAACAATGGCACAGAATATTATATAATTACAAATGCCAATAACAAAATCGAGGGGAAATAGTGACTGATGTGAATAATGCTATTGATAATTATGGTGTTGGCGATGGAAGAAGCCTATGACATCTTGACTATAGTTATGGACAAGAAGGTTGAGATGGCCTAAGGCAGCTCCAGACTGAATTACACCTGTCAAGAGTTAATGCCCATTACCAAGTTTACAACAACAGTGGCGATTACAGTTACTCAAAGACTGATATCTTTTACAGTGAAGGTGTCATTATTAACCACAGAAAACGATACAAATGAGAGGATAGCTGTGATAATGTTATCCACTGCCACAACGGTACCCGGAACACGTGAGCACAGCCACTTATGAAGATGCCCAAAACGGTATTAAACACGAACACAACAAGATAGAGTAATTGTATACGAAAGGAGGATGAAGCTGGCTATATGTGAGAAAGAATGAAAGACCATGCGATAAAAAGTTGAGCCTGTGTAGGGTTACAATGTGCAACTAAAGATGAACTTGAACATAAACAAAACGTGTAGGCAACGACAATAAAGGGTTGTAGATGACATTGACAATGGCGAAAATGATTGATAAAAAGTCGTGGTGCATTTGGACAGGCGTGAGAATATGATAGATGGTGTGGTAGAGGTCAAGAGCAGTCAGCAAGATGAGAGCAGCTTCCCGGCGCGGCTGTGGGAAGCTGCCTCTGCTGCACACGTCCTTCATCGTCGGCCACGTCACTCCTGCGCTGCTACCTGCCTGGGTAGGGACTCGCAAGTGGCGTTATCGTGTATGTATGTATGTGTACGCAACCTGTCCTCTTAAAAAAGAACGTCGCTTTTGGCCGTTTGCCCATATGGACGTAATTTGAAAATGAAAAAAAATTGAAAATAAATTTGGGATTTTTTTTTTCAACAACAGTAAGTTAAGGGTCGTCTGGTAGGTTAGGTGGGCAGGAAATTCTCATAAGGTTTCAAAACGGTATGAAAAACGTTAATTGAAAGTTCCTCTTCTAAGCTGGCCGAGTAAGCCGGGCGACTCGAACAGAAAACGGAACAGTACGTCACTTTTGTGAGTCGATTTCATTTCAAATTACTTCCAAATTTGGCCATAGCGCGCATACGAGCCAAAAGTGACGCTATTTTTAAGAGGACGGGTTGGTGTACGTGGGGCTCAGTGCTGGAGACGTGTAGAAGTGTGGTGTGTGTGTAGGCCTACGATCTGTGAAGACTGGCTAGTACAGGCAGGTGGGGACCTTCGACAAGTCTCCGTCTGCCTGTCCTCGTCGAGGTCACTAGGGTTAGTGGCCCTCAGGTAAATCAGATATGTATGTGTGTTGGGAGGTGTATGTATGTGCCATAGTCACTGTCGTTAAGTTGTCTTGAGGTTGTGAAAATTAAAGTAAGATGAGGAGGGATAGAGACCATTTGCATTGCCGTACAGCTGTGGCTCAAACGACGATACGATCGGATAATGTCTACGACGTCGGGCGTGAACAATGAACTGTATCGGCAGTTCTTGCGTTGAAAATGACAGGAGTCGGTTCAGAATTCGATCATTTTGGTAATGACACTATTGTAATTTTCAGCGCTACAACCCAATAGTTCATTATTCACGTTGAACGGTATGAACAATACGGCCACCTGGTTCGTTTGACCCTCCCTGATGGTCGTGTGATATCCCCGTGCAATTTGGAGTCCATTGACGACGAGAATACGCGCAAGAAGGTGTTTGAGTGACGCAGGTCTGTGAATGAAGGTAGGCCAGCCCACCTGACATCTGCCATGAATTATAAAACAGTGAAGGCGATTGAATAAACCCGAGGCAGACAGCCCCGCTCCTGTGCCAGGTAAATCCATTACGGGCTCACCATAGCCCGTGCTACTTGCAACTTGTTCCTAGTAGCTGAATCTATAACAAAAACTGAATAAACGCCTTACGGGCTATTCATGCTCGTGTCACCTCTTGGGTGACTTAATCTTTATCAATCATCAATTTGAATAAACGTCAAAGCTCCAGTAGAATGACAACCGCGAATGAACCCGAAAACTTAACTCTAGCGCCTTATGTGATCTCGGTTTTCCAGGATGTACCGAAATGGAAAGAAGATATTCGATAGCTAAACGGCAAGTCAGAAAGCACACACACGAGAGGAACTGACATCAACAGATTGATTGATGAAGATTAAGCCACGCAAAAGGTGGCACGGGCATGAATAGCTCGTAAGTGGTGGCCCTTTTGAGCCATTACCAGTATCAAGAACACATCAAGAGCGAACAGCGGCGTATATAACAGGAGGTCTGGCGATCCGGAGCGCCAGCTGGGATTATTAACTAGTATAGGGGACGAGTGGCCGGGTTTGCAACAAGACACTTGGCCCCATTCTTGTTGACGCCACTGGTCGCCCTGCAACCATCAATTGAAGACGCAACACATCTGGCGCCAACAGCTTACAGGAGATGCGGGCAATGTCAGTGGCTTCACACACCAAACCACTTATAATAACCATTAAATGTGAACTCGCTGATGGCGGAATACAGGTTCAAACATGTTATATCTTGCGGCATTCTTCTTATGAGTAAAATATCTCAAAAAATCTATATATAAATGAAGCATTAAAGAAAACGCATTTTCACCGGAACACAACCCAGACTGTGGTGGGGCCGCGGCGACCATATGGCTCCGCCAACCCATCTCTTGCCCGTTACAACTTTCATGAAGCTTACCACACTTGTGTTATTTGGAAATATATACGGGCTCGCCATATCCCGTGATACTTGGAACTTTTTCTTCCAGGTAGCGAATCTTTAACTGGATAAACGAATTCGATAACACTGGCTTTTATTAACCCATAAATTCGGTTGATAAAGTATGTTTGTATGTTTGTTTTTTTAAGTTGCTGAAATGCCTTTGACACCTATTTCAATGCCCTAACTAATTTTGTTCCAGGTCTTGGAGACCATTATGCGGCGCTGTAGCCATTGGTACTACCAGGAAGGTAGTAGACTGGTTATGGAATGCATCAGTTGACCAGACCACAAACTAGAAGGTGAAGGGATGACGTTTCCTGGACCATTCTCAAGTCGATTGTGAATGACAATCAACTTGAGAATGGTCCAGGACGGACCGAAACGTCGTCCCTTCACCTACTAGTGTGTAGTCTGATCAACATACTTTAGCCACGTTATTGTGACTCCTCGCCTGCATCCATCAGTCTTAGGAGATTGCACGATATATAAACATTAAAAACGGTCATCTATTGTTTTTTTCACCTGGAGGATAAGGCCAGCAAAAGTAAGTAAGTAATTATCAAAAGAAGGCACCAAACCTGGAAGGCTATGTAGCACCATCAAATGTGCAGAATAACCAGAGGGCGCTAAATATCACCAAGGATGCCAATACGGGAACAAAAACGCATAAGGCGAACGATATCAAAAAGGCCAGCAAAGTTTAGAACAACTTTTGCATGTCCAAGGGTTGCAATCGTGCAATGAGAGCAGGTGTGAGAGACTAATGTTGCCAACTAGTATGTGAACACAACACTTGCCTCGCCACCCTCCGTATGGCTCCCCTTGTGTCCGTTATCTTGCTAATTATCTTTATCCTCGTTAAATTGCACACTCCATACTAAATAGTTTGTTAATTACTACTGTTCCGCTTCTCTGATCTGGTATTACATCAACACCTTAATTCATTGCAAGCTACTATAGAAGATCATGTATCTTTGAGACACCAGACTGAGTCTTTAACGTCATCCCCTGAAATGGTCAAGATTGAATGATTAAACGAAACGCCCGAAACGCTGTGCGTACTAGTGGCTTTACAAGAATGTAAATACTGTACTATCCAATGTATTCTCACAAACCCAATGTACCTTCTTATATATATAAAAATAAAATAAAAAAATTAAACCCAAAATGCCCAAAAGGTGGCACGGGCATGAATAGCCCGTAATGTTAAGACCACAGTGGCGGTAAGCTATAGACAACATGATAAATCCCAACTCGTCACCACCACCTCCGTCAGAGACCAAGTTATATGGCGACACTTCTACTCATCAGAGCTTACTAGGCTACTCACAATCTAATTTTCCATCGAAACCGCTATTTAACATTAAATTGTAACCTCTGGCTAGCTGCATCATCATATATTAGCAACATTTGTTTTGATAGATGCTTATAAGTTCTCGTTTTTCAAAACGCCCGTAAATTGAGATTATGGATAAGTCTATCCAGTCTATTGAGGGCTGGCGCGCTGCACTTTCACACGCACGCACGCACGCACAATACCATCAACTTTAGTGTCCATCCACTGTGACTAGTCGGTAGAGCGACGACTTTCCTTCACGCAGGTCAGCGTTCGATCCCTGACCGTCCAAAAGAGTTGGAATTCGTTCCTTCCCACCGTCCTCATATCCCATGTGCTATATAGTCAAACTAACTTAGTGCTTTCTCTTCATACTTTACTTTTTACAACTTGACGGAACGGCTCCTTCATAAGCTTTATAGCAACTTAAACATTACCATACCACAGTAATAATAAGACCGTAGCCACTTAAAAACATAATTGCTTATTTTAAACCCTTAATTCCGACAAGCCGCTGTCTAGAAACTGAACAGCAATGGGAGCCCTGTTCTTAAATTTCATATGGACGGAATACATTGAAAAACAATTTAATAAAATCATCGCTTGTAATATACTTTACTAAAATTCATCTACTTTATTTTGATTTAAACTTATTTTCATAATTACATACAATTATGTCAAATTGGCTTCAGACCATGAGAGCGATTTCGAAAACTGGCGATGAACCCAATGACAAGCTGCTGTAACGTTAACTTTAGGCTCAACCTGAATTGGTTTAAGAGAAACTCATTGCAACTCATTTGTAGAGAGAGAGAGAGAGAGAGAGCCAGACAGACAGAGAGAGACAGACAGAGAGGATGGGTGAGGGAGAAAGACCCCTGTATACACCTATACACAGGGCGGGCCTGGAACAGATAAGTCATACATTCCTTCAGTAACTACAAACATTGCCAGATGCAGTGTATAAGAATATCAACTAATCACGCAGGCTACAAACACCATATTCTTGACCCCCAAGACGAAACAAGTAGTTGGCTCTATTACACATGATTAGTTTCGTAAATTTGTCGAGCACATAATTTCACTAAGTAACAATGAGACTAATTTGTTGTAGCGAAAGAGCTTGAAACCCCACGGACCTAAAGTTTTATATAGACAAGTCAATTGATTAGTTAGTACTGAGCAAAGAAAATAAATGCAAGAATAGGCTATCCTATACATAGTTATATTTCCATATTTAGATATCTAAAATAGAAATAAAAATTGGGTCGTATTAGTGACATTGAATTATCAACTTCTTATTAAAACGTTGATTTATTATATTATAAATTATGCCGAAGACGAAATATAGAATACTATTGGATTTACATTTTATATTCGAAACGACTTTAAACCAATTTAAATAATCAGTTACCAAATACATTAGAGTTTAACGAAGATAGACTTGGTTAATTTAAACAAGAGACGAAAATCATTAATGTGATGTGAACTGTCTACTGCAGTCCAGGATGATGTGAGCTGTCTACTCCAGTCCAGGATGATGTGAGCTGTCTACTCCAGTCCAGGATGATGTGAGCTGTCTACTCCAGTCCAGGATGATGTGAGCTGTCTACTCCAGTCCAGGATGATGTGAGCTGTCTACTCCAGTCCAGGATGATGTGAGCTGTCTACTCCAGTCCAGGATGATGTGAGCCGTTTATCGTAGTCTATACAACCAAATATGTTTCTTTCACGCACAGGAGATAGGAGAAGAGGACAGACAGGCGAAAACTATCCGAAGACAATGCACTTGGATCATCTTGAGAGTCGTTAACACGAAGAAAGGCTTGTGCAAATGTGGCAAAATGTGGGACGAATTAAATATCTTTCCTTGTGAAAATTAATGACACTGTCGTATACAAATAATTAACTAATTCAGGTGTCGTTCGGATGTACAATATTCTGTATTTTGGTATAGTTTGTTGATGGATTTAAGGCCAGATAACCTCAGGAGAGTTAAGGTCACCACACTAACTTACTAACCAACAGTAAATATACTTTAATCCAGGACTAAACTCGGTGAATATACACCGAGAAGCGGAGTCTATCTCTTAGTGTATACATCCCTTGATGTTCTTACACTGACATCAGTTTTGGCGGTGGGAAGAGGAGTTCAGGACGTGGGAGCAACCTAGACAAAATTGACATCACTATCACTCAACACTTCCCTGGTCACTACTATAGAAAATGGCTTGAGGAACAGTTGGGGGGGAACTTGACTACCCTTGACTCTGACCTACAATGTGGGTGAATAATGAACTTGAACCTTATTGTCAAGATGGCAGAGTCACATGTCTTACTGCCCCCATGAACCAAGCTCACTGCACCGTGGTCTATCACACACTATCAATGAACCACTCGCTATAACCATTACGGACCTACCACATTGTACTATGTACCGCACTAACTGTACAATGCATCTCACTCATTGTACGTACACATGCAGTTTATATGCACTTGTTTTCCGGGACGAATGTGGGGTAGACGAGTGAAAAACCCAAGGGCCCGCTCACTTCACGAGGCAGGGGGTCCGGCCCGGTCCGGTCCGGCCCGGCCCAGCTGCTGCACTCTGACGCACTTCACTGTCATGAGTAACAAGCGCCATCTGTCATGAGTTACCAGTCTTCACTTATGGCAGGTAACCCAGTGAGTTCTCTATATTTTCAGAGAACAGGAAAGAGTTATTGGCTTGCATGGAGGAATAGGCATCGTCTTCAGACTCTGATGTTGATTGACTGTGGTGGTTGATGAGGTCGGTTGTCTGGTTAAGTTTAAGCTCGGAGAAGAGGGCAGCGATCTCGGCGGTTTTCTTCATGGAGAGGATGGAAGCCGTGTCGCTGTCTTCACGCTGCTGGCGCTGTGATGCTCCGCGATACACAACCTTCCCGCTGGGGTCCACTGCCGACACCAGCAGAATCTTCTGGTGAGACGTTCCCGACCCCCTGGAGCCATGGGAGCGATGCGTCCCTGCCCCACTTCCGCTACCTTGAGACGACGCATGAGAGCCCCTGGAACCGCCCGATCCTAAGGAGCCCGACGGGTGTCTCCGGAGCCTAGGAGACAAGAGGAGACACTCGGTGCTTGATGCTCGCTGATGAGGTGGAACCCGACATCCTCCGCTATCCTGGCTATGGTAACCAGACCCGTCCGACGATCGTTGCATGGTTGACATCTCTGAATCTGTCGATAAATTTGATGACAGGCTCTTTTTCCGGATGACGTCTGGGTGCATTGAAAAGACGGTGCCTGCTGATCGACTCTTGCTCTGCTCCGTCAGGTACAAAGAAGAGCTCTTGTGTTGCGTTGTGCTACTGGAGGATCCACCGGTGTTGCGCTTCCAGGAAGTAGCATGCGACTCCAATTCGCTGAGGTTGGAGTGCGACCCGTATCCTTTCTTGTAAGAGTTGGCGCTCTGTACAGTGTTGCTGTCAGTCTCAGAGTCGAGGTTGATCTCGTACATCTTAAGGCCGTTTTTCTTGACGCGCTTGAGGGAACAGTAACACTTTTCACTCTCGGCACAACTCTCAGTGTCACAGTCGCACGGAGAGTCGTGGCCCTTATGAGCGTGTTTATCGTGTGGCAAGACTGAAGAGGACCGCCGGGGCAGGGAACAGTAACACTTGCTGGAACATTCACTGTCGTAACCACACTCGCTGCACGACACGTAGCCTTCGTTGGCCCGGGACAGGTTGCGTCGGGGCATAGGAGTTTTGGGCGCCACTTTCCTCCCATTGCTCTCTAGCATGTGACTAAACTCGTTCTCTTTGTTGTTTACTCGTCTCGTAGCGCCGTTGGGGCATCCAATCCTTTCAAACGTGTAGCGGCTTTTGTTGTTGACTAACCGTCTGAGTGGCGACTTGTCCTTCAGGTAGCTGGACTGTAGACTAGAGGCGCGGGAACCAAGGCGGGAAAAGGATCGCTTAGTGGCCTTGAGAACGGAGGAGATGGTGGACCCGTCGCTGTCAGAGTCCATGAGGTTCATGAGGGAGGAGCTACGCCCCCGGGTGTGTTGTCTCATGATGTTCTTGGACCGTTGGTAGATCTCATCCTTGGAGAGAGTGAGAGCCAGCTTCAGCAAAATCTCCCGCTGGTCAGGATCCATTTCGCTGAATGACATCCCACGCGGGTTTATCACCTGCTTCAGAACCTCGTCCACACTGTTTAAGCCTGTCTTTTGTTTCACGTCATCCAACAGGTCTTGGAAATTGTACTTATTAGTGACGTTCATGAAAGACTTTGAGCGAGGCAGCGCCACTCTGGTGTAAACGTCGCCAGGATCCAGGAGGAAAGCGCCCTGGTGACGCTCACTTATGGAACGCTTGAGTCGACGTTTGCTTGCCCGAGAATCGTCAAGAATAATGTGCGACTGCAAGATGTCCTCGCTGTTGGCCCGTCGCAGTCCCTGTCCAAAACCCGGAGACTCGGAGCGGTGTGAGCGTTTTTTACGTGGCGGCCTGACAGGCACCGTCTCGCTGTCACTCATCACGTGTCTATCGTCCTCCCGCGTGTCACTGGAGGCGTCGCTGGGGGCCTCGCTGGGGACCTCACTCCGCATGTTCTCCAGCAGTGCCTGGTACAAGTTGGCAGCCATCACTATGGCATCCTCGGACGACTGGCACACAAAGCCGTGACACTCGAGCACTTTGGGCACACCCACCTTCCTCATGACACAGGCGAACATAGGTGGGTGTTGGATGACCATTACGGAAGGCTCGGCCACATTAAGCGGATGATACAGGTTGTACTTATCCTGCGCTTCTGGGTCACAAATGAGCGGGAGGAAAGCGTACGTGAAGCCCACCTGGCCGTGGTCCAACAGCTCCCTCCGGATAACCAGCTTCACCGCCGCCCACACCGCAATGGTCGGGAATGGGTTAGTAAACTCCAAGTGGCCATCAGAGGAGTCCGCACTGCCATGGGTTATTCTTAGTCCGCCTTCTGTGATTTGCAGCGTCCCGGGCACCGGCCGCTTTCCCCTCGACACGCTCAGGCGATACTTGTAGTAAAGGTCCTTAAGAGGCGCCTGAAGCACGTCCAGACTGGTGGCCTTCTCTGCCAGCTGTACTGCCCCGAGGTAATCCACACGATACTTCATGTTGGAGAGCGACGCTCGCGGTGTCGCCGCCTCGCGCGACTCTGCTCGACTGATTCCACCGCCTGTGGGGCGACTGCTGGTAATGGGGGAAGGGGAGCGAGACTCTTGGTGCCTCGGTGGGGTAGGGGAGGCGAGGGGTGGTGGGGAAAGTGGAGGGTCTGGAGCGCGGGGGGCTGGCGGGGGGACGGCGCGGGTGCCAACTATGGGTTCACTTGTGGCATCAGCAAATAACCTCTCAATCTGTGCCTGGACAGTGGCACGCACATCCAGGAAGGCTCTCTGTCGCTGGTCTCGCCCTCCGAACATCCGCTCCAGCTCCTCCTGCACCGGGTTGGCCTGCACAGGCGCGGGTTCGGACCGCAATGGCGCGGAATCGACCCGTAATGGCGCGGAATCGACCCGTATTGGGGCGGAATCGGATAACAGTTTGTTTTGGCGCCTCTTATCCCTAAAGAGGGAGTCAATGCGTTGTTTATGTGTAGAGGAGATGGTACTGGTGTCGGAGTATATACCATCGTCCAGGTGTGAGAGCCGGAAACTGTAGGTCTCTTCCTCGTATTTCACCATGACTCCGGATCTGGTGAGGGTCAATTAGGTGTGTGTGTGTGGGCTGCCTGGTGACCCGTCAACGCCACACTGCCTCGCTCAGCGATCACCAGCTGTTGCAGAAACAAAAGAAAAACATTACTACCTCCTCTGTATCCCGTGAAAAGGCTACAAGGCCAGCGAAACATATAAGGTAAGACCAATATAATGGTTAGTCTGAACGAATGTTAAGTAGACTTCAAGATGTGTATACAATCTTATGAACTATATTTTGATTACATGATAAAGATTAAGCCAACCAAAAGGTGGCACGGGCATGAATAGCCCGTAAGTGGTGGCCCTTTTGAGCCATTATCAGTATCAAGAGCTGATACTGGAGACCTGTGGAGGTGCGACTGCACCCTGCGTGACGGGAGATGTCTCCCTTGTTGATTACATGATTGATAGATTGATTGATAAAGATCAAGCCACCCAAGAGGTGGCACGGGCATGAATAGCCCGTAAGTGATTACATGGTTATGGAAAATAGTGTATATTAAGGCTCTGCCTCACATTGTCACAATCTGTAACAAATATGTTACACCAAGATTAACACAACCGAGTCTGGATTTCATTGAATTTTTCCATTAAATATTTTAAAATTCCCTTTTTATAACAATGTCGAACTGATGTTATGACACCCAGTTCAACATTTTGTTTACAATTACACTCTTACAAATAGACAACTTGAGATGTGTAGTATTACAATATAGAAAAGAATGGACATTTTCTATGTTTGTCCTATGCCCCTGTTACCTAGCAGTAAAATAGGTACCTGGGTGTTAGTCAGCTGTCACGGGCTGCTTCCTGGGGGTGGAGGCCTGGTCGAGGACCGGGCCGCGGGGACACTAAAAAGCCCCGCAATCATCTCAAGATAACCTCAAGATTGTGTAAAGATACTTAAGCTGATAAAGTGTAGAGGAACTGCTTATGTTGGCAGTCAAGGCATCCATACAATTGTATCCTATAGAATACTATATAGAATCCTATATAGTAGTATCCTATAGAATACTATATAGAATCCTATATAGTAGTATCCTATAGAATACTATATAGAATCCTATATAGTAGTATCCTATAGAATACTATATAGAATCCTATATAGTAGTATCCTATAGAATACTATATAGCATATATATTTTATATAGTATCCTATAGAATACTATATAGCATATATATTTTATATAGTATCCTATAGAATACTATATAGCATATATATTCTATATAGTATCCAATAGAATACTATACAAAATCCTATATTTTATTTTATTACTGTTGATTGATTGATAAAGATTAAGCCATCCAAAAGGTGGCACGGGCATGAATAACCCGTGATCCTGAAGATGTTTTGTGCAAGGGGATACAGAAGAAGGCGCCTGTTGAGTCCTGCTAGCAGGCTTACAGCTCTCGCTCATTCACCTTAAGTTTCTACCTAGAACACGATCTGCCAATCGGCTTACAACCAAGTCCCCCAATTACTGCTGGGAGAAGTTAAGGATTAGTGCCCAATCGTTTCTCGCGTCGAAAAATGAGTTATCAGGAAAGACTAGAGGGACGCGCACGCGTTCACGCACACGCGCGCACACTTTCAGTGTCAGAGTAGTTAACAAATGGAATGCATTAGGCAGTGATGTGGTGGAGGCTGACTCCATACACAGTTTCAAGTGTAGATATGATAGAGCCCAATAGGCTCAGGAACCTGTACACCTGTTGATTGACAGTTGAGAGGCGGGACCAAAGAGCCAGAGCTCAACCCCCGCAAGCACAACTACGTGAGCACACACAGACACACACGCAAACACACACACACACACACTATTGAGTGTTGGCCAGATTAATTTTATTGTGCACCCTATAATCATCATATGAGCGAACTCCAAAAAAAGGATTACAGAGGGCATAGAAGGTCTTAATCAGACCTCAGCGTAACATTCAACATCATCTATTACACACTGATCACACTATCAACTAACATCAAACTCCTCTCATTGCAACAGTAAAGATCAGCACAAACACTGCTTGGCGTGGTCCTCGATCTCTGCTTCAATGCGCTTAAACAGGTGCTCAAAATATCAATTATCGCGGGAAAGTATGCGTTCCGCCCCTGCGCGAACTCACTGTGACGCGCACTGATAACACAGCCTCAGCACTGGTCCATGCGGGGCGGGGGAGTGCACAGGTTGCCTCTAGTCCTTGTAACACAGGTTCGAACCCTGCTCGGGTCATTCACTTAAGTGATTTATGGCTTGGGGCACCATGGACGCTTGTGTGTGTGTATTCACCTAGTTGTGTTTGCGGGGGTTGAGCTCTGCTCTTTCGGCCCGCCTCTCAACTGTCAATCAACTGTTTACTAACTACTTTTTGTTTTTTTCCCACACCACACACCCCAGGAAGCAGCCCATGACAGCTGACTAACTCCCAGGTACCTATTTACTGCTAGGTAACAGGGGCATTCAGGGTGAAAGAAACTTTGCCCATTTGTTTCTGCCTGGTGCGGGAATCGAACCCGCGCCACAGAATTACGAGTTTTGCGTGCTATCCACCAGGCTACGAGGCCTCCGTGTGTGTGTGTGTGTGTGTGTGTGTGTGTGTGTGTGTGTGTGTGTGTGTGTGTGTGTGTGTGTGTGTGTGTGTGTGTGTGTGTGTGTGTAAATCACGAAAAAACATGCGATGAACAATATGATTGTCAGAGGATTAAGACAGGAATTTCCTTAAGTACTTTCGTATTTAATCTTCAGAAGGATCCTTCTGAAGATGGATTATTAAATACGAAAGTCCTTAAGGAAATTCCTGTCTTAATCCTTCCTTCGTGGTCTGACACTGTCACATTACACACACACAGGAACAAGTTAGGGGAGAAGGTGGTGGAGGCCAAGACCGTCAGTAGTTTCAAAGCGTTATATGACAAAGAGTGATGGGAAGACGGGACACCACGAGCGTAGCTCTCATCCTGTAACTACACTTGGGTAATTACACACACACACCTATGTTTCCCGTCTCACAAAAATGAATAATATACATTTATTGCTAGGCCTAGTTTGGCCTAGTGGACCAAGCTCTCACAAGTCAAGCCTGGCCTCGGGCCGGGCTTGGGCAGTAGAAGAACTCCCAGAACCCCATCAACCAGGTATATGTGGGCCTGCGGGCCGCTCCAAGCAACAGCCTGGTGGACCAAACTCTCACAAGTCAAGCCTGGCCTCGGGCCGGGCTTGGGCAGTAGAAGAACTCCCAGAACCCCATCAACCAGGTATATGTGGGCCTGCGGGCCGCTCCAAGCAACAGCCTGGTGGACCAAACTCTCACAAGTCAAGCCTGGCCTCGGGCCGGGCTTGGGCAGTAGAAGAACTCCCAGAACCCCATCAACCAGGTATATGTGGGCCTGCGGGCCGCTCCAAGCAACAGCCTGGTGGACCAAACTCTCACAAGTCAAGCCTGGCCTCGGGCCGGGCTTGGGTAGTAGAAGAACTCCCAGAACCCCATCAACCAGGTATATGTGGGCCTGCGGGCCGCTCCAAGCAACAGCCTGGTGGACCAAACTCTCACAAGTCAAGCCTGGCCTCGGGCCGGGCTTGGGCAGTAGAAGAACTCCCAGAACCCCATCAACCAGGTATATGTGGGCCTGCGGGCCGCTCCAAGCAACAGCCTGGTGGACCAAACTCTCACAAGTCAAGCCTGGCCTCGGGCCGGGCTTGGGCAGTAGAAGAACTCCCAGAACCCCATCAACCAGGTATATGTGGGCCTGCGGGCCGCTCCAAGCAACAGCCTGGTGGACCAAACTCTCACAAGTCAAGCCTGGCCTCGGGCCGGGCTTGGGCAGTAGAAGAACTCCCAGAACCCCATCAACCAGGTATATGTGGGCCTGCGGGCCGCTCCAAGCAACAGCCTGGTGGACCAAACTCTCACAAGTCAAGCCTGGCCTCGGGCCGGGCTTGGGCAGTAGAAGAACTCCCAGAACCCCATCAACCAGGTATATGTGGGCCTGCGGGCCGCTCCAAGCAACAGCCTGGTGGACCAAACTCTCACAAGTCAAGCCTGGCCTCGGGCCGGGCTTGGGCAGTAGAAGAACTCCCAGAACCCCATCAACCAGGTATATGTGGGCCTGCGGGCCGCTCCAAGCAACAGCCTGGTGGACCAAACTCTCACAAGTCAAGCCTGGCCTCGGGCCGGGCTTGGGCAGTAGAAGAACTCCCAGAACCCCATCAACCAGGTATATGTGGGCCTGCGGGCCGCTCCAAGCAACAGCCTGGTGGACCAAACTCTCACAAGTCAAGCCTGGCCTCGGGCCGGGCTTGGGCAGTAGAAGAACTCCCAGAACCCCATCAACCAGGTATATGTGGGCCTGCGGGCCGCTCCAAGCAACAGCCTGGTGGACCAAACTCTCACAAGTCAAGCCTGGCCTCGGGCCGGGCTTGGGCAGTAGAAGAACTCCCAGAACCCCATCAACCAGGTATATGTGGGCCTGCGGGCCGCTCCAAGCAACAGCCTGGTGGACCAAACTCTCACAAGTCAAGCCTGGCCTCGGGCCGGGCTTGGGCAGTAGAAGAACTCCCAGAACCCCATCAACCAGGTATATGTGGGCCTGCGGGCCGCTCCAAGCAACAGCCTGGTGGACCAAACTCTCACAAGTCAAGCCTGGCCTCGGGCCGGGCTTGGGCAGTAGAAGAACTCCCAGAACCCCATCAACCAGGTATATGTGGGCCTGCGGGCCGCTCCAAGCAACAGCCTGGTGGACCAAACTCTCACAAGTCAAGCCTGGCCTCGGGCCGGGCTTGGGCAGTAGAAGAACTCCCAGAACCCCATCAACCAGGTATATGTGGGCCTGCGGGCCGCTCCAAGCAACAGCCTGGTGGACCAAACTCTCACAAGTCAAGCCTGGCCTCGGGCCGGGCTTGGGCAGTAGAAGAACTCCCAGAACCCCATCAACCAGGTATATGTGGGCCTGCGGGCCGCTCCAAGCAACAGCCTGGTGGACCAAACTCTCACAAGTCAAGCCTGGCCTCGGGCCGGGCTTGGGCAGTAGAAGAACTCCCAGAACCCCATCAACCAGGTATATGTGGGCCTGCGGGCCGCTCCA